AGAGGCGCCTTGCGCCTGCTCTCTTATTTCTGTCTTGAGGCAGAGAAAATGGTAGCAAGATCGTGAGAGACTATCAGGCGTTCCAATTGAAACAAGAATCTCTTGGTTTGCTCGCCGGTGAAAACGGCTGTGATTTCCTCTAGGGTGACATCTCACGCGATTGAGGTTGATCTAAGAAGATGAGAAAGTTGTGTAATTAGGTGAGAAGATAGAAGAGAGGCTCTTATCGGCAGTAATTCTTCATGTGTTAGTGGAAGACGTACTGGAATAGGATTGACAGCTGCTACAGGTCGTTTTGCGTCATGTCGACTAACTTATCGGTTGGATTTTGCTGAAGAGGTGGCTCTATTTGGCGCCAGCTGGACATGAAACAGGGCATGAGTGTTTTGAGGCAAGATGGCTACAGTGCCAACTCCCAAAACATGGCAGCTGAGAAGGGAAGAAGGCTCCTGTTACTAAGTTTGCAAACGTTGCTACCCTAAGGTAGCTCATTACAGAGCACTGAACACTTTCACCAGCAAGAACAGATGAGTAAGTCTAGATGTTTTAGACAGAGTGATGTATATGGTACCTTGGCGTTTGCCAAGCTACCTTCACTTGCTAGCCCCCATTTAGAGGAGACGAGATTCTGAAAAGCCACAATTCCGTGGTGGGAGAATTCTGCTTAGATACCCTGACCGTAGCAACACCTTTCACGCTGATGTAGGCTTCGATTCTGATGGCATAAATAATAAAAGTGAGCAAAAGCGGCAAAAAGATATCTTCATAATAATGACCTCACGGAAAAACGGACATAGCGAATGAAAGCGATCCAGGGGGGTCTGATGAATGTCATGATGAAAGTTGAATGAGCCAGGTCAAGAAAGGCCCCCTTCGCTTAAGAATTCTCAGGTGAGCGGTGCAGGGCCTGTAAAACTGGAAAAGTGTTGTTGAATCAGAGTTGAGATTACGTAAGACAGCGCTGAGCACCGGCTCCCAATAGGTTCACGGGTACCCGTGCGTGTAAAATTTCACGGGTACCCGTGGAAATGACTAAGCAACCTGCCCACGTCAATGAACGCGTCTTGTGTCATACACCTTTCACGCGTTATTTGCATCCAGCACTTCAGTCATATATTCTTAAAAATGGAAATAGCTCTCAAAGACTCAATACTCACATTCCCAGACGACAGTCTCCCCCCTGAAAGCGATCATAAATCTCGCGATGAGCTTTTTATGTCAATCAACAACTGGGCGGCGACAAAGGGATACGCATTCACTACCGGGAGATCAACAAAGGAGAAAAGCGGACGACGGACGATTACATATTCATGCGATAGGTCGTGTCATCCGCCAAGCACATCAATAGCGCGGCAAAGGCAAACTACTAGTAGGGGGACTGGTTGTCAATTTTCCGTCCTTGCTAAGGAATCTTTGGATAAGAGCACATGGAGCTTGAGACACCGGCCCGATAAGCGTTTTTCTTCTCATAATCATCCCCCAAGCCAACATCCGTCTGCTCACCCAACGCATCGCAAGCTATCTGAGGAGGATCAAGCCAAGGTGGCCGGTCTTTCAAACGCTGGCGTCGCACCCAGGGACATCAGAACATACATACGACAAACGACAGACTCTATAGCGACCCAGCAGGATATCTACAATCATATTGCAGCCGCTAAACGAGATGTTCGTGAAGGGCAGACCTCGATCCATGCACTTGCCAATCAACTTGATGAGGAAGGCTTCTGGAGTCGCATGCAGTTTGCACCAGATGGCCGAGTTACGGCTGTCTTGTTCGCTCATCCAGATTCCTTAGCCCTTCTCCAAGCCTACCCAGACATCATGTTACTAGACTGTACCTATAAGACTAATAAGTATGGTATGCTACTTCTTGATATAGTTGGCGTCGATGCTTGCCAACGGTCGTTCTGTATTGCGTTTGCATTTCTTAGCGGCGAGGCAGAAGATGACTATACCTGGGCTTTGGAGCGGGTCAAATCCTTGTATAGTCAGTGCAACGCTAGCCTACCTGCGGTTATCCTCACAGATCGCTGCTTAGCATGCATTAACGCTGTTGCAACCATCTTCCCCTCTTCTGCATCTTTGCTTTGCCTCTGGCATGCGAACAAGGCCGTTCTTCAACATTGTAATCCAGCTTTTGACTCTACTAAGCCAAAGACAGTCAACAATCCTGCAGCGCTCAAACCTTCAACTCAGAGCTGGGAAGAATTCTATAACTCCTGGCATTCGATCATCAGCTCGCCATCTGAGGTGGTTTTTGAGGAGCGCGTTTCCCAGTTTGAGGAACGCTATCTTCTGGACCATCTCGAAGAAGTCGGCTATGTTACGTCCGTTTGGTTGAAACCATACAAGGAGAAGCTAGTGAAAGCCTGGGTCGATCAGCATACCCATTTTGGCAATGTGGCTACTTCGCGAGTTGAGGGTATTCATGCACTACTTAAATCGCACTTGAAACGATCCACATTAGACCTTTTTGAAGCTTGGCGAGCAATGAAGCATGCTTTACTAAATCAGCTATCGGATCTAAAGTCAAATCAAGTTAAACAGCAAATACGGATACCAGTTGAGCTTTCAGGGTCAATGTACGGCGCAGTGCTTGGCTGGGTATCGCATGAAGCCTTGCGCAAAGTAGAAGAGCAACGGAAGCTGCTCACGAAGAAAGACACAAATCCTTCCACAGCCTGTACGGGGACGTTTTCTCGAGTATATAGTCTCCCATGCTTACACAAATTGAAGACTTTACAAGAACAGAATCTTGTTCTTCTACGTGAGCACTTCCATGCACATTGGCATTTGAGGCGTGATGGAGCGCCGCAGCTATTGCTGGAGCCTCGCCAGCGCATAGAGCCCAGGTTGCAATTAGAGAATCCCAGTATTCCCAAATCAAGCACTAGACGAGAGCCTAGCGGGTTCGAAGTTGTTGAAGTTGCTTCACGGGCCCCAAGCAAATGCAGTAGGTGTCATACAGTTGGCCATACTATGACTTCAAAGGCATGCCCTCTGCGATACACGCATTTATTGCCTGAACCGACACCTACTCCAGATCCAGCTACAGTATCAACTGCGATATTTACCGGGACGACGACAGATACACAAGAACCTCCTTCAAACGCCGTGCAGGACGTACCAGAGTTGGTTCAACCGACTATTGCTATAGTGGTAGAGACCAGTATATCACCACCTCGGGTATTATCACCATTTGCGCATTCGCATTCACCTTCGCTGCCAGGATACGATTCACCTCAGGCGATATACGGACGGTACTATGCAGCAAGAAGCGCCTGGTACGGTGCTCAACCTCGTGGGAGTGTCAAAACAAACCAGGAGTATCGAAGGGCAATGGGACTTCCGCTACGTTATGACAAAAAGTGTTATGAGTGGTGTCTTGACTATAAGCAGATGAAAGGACGCTGCACTACCTCATACGGGTCAAGGGATTGGACGAAGGAGGAGATGATGGCTTATCTGGACTGGGATAGGGCTGAACACAAACGGGTCGATGAGCTGATTATTGCGGAAGATGGACAAAACCCCTTTAAAAACAGTGAGAGAGGTATGAGCGAAGTCTGGAAACGAGTCGAGCAAGATAAGGCAGAGCAGGAGGCGTTATACGCTGGTAGTAAGCCCGAAGAGTGCATCGTAGTAAAGTCGTAAACTTTCCGGATAAGTTTGATGCAGGCCGTGCCTCTCATTGGCTCATGAGCCCCATATCAGAGTTGCTTAGTCATTTCCACGGGTACCCGTGAAATTTTACACGCACGGGTACCCGTGAACCTATTGGGAGCCCTGAGCACCGCTATCTAACATAAAACTTATGAGAGGCACGGAACAATATCAAAGCAGACACCCGCAAGCTGCGACCTTCTGGGACGTACTGCGGATTTGTATTCTCAGTTTAAAACGGAGAAAAAAGAAGCTGGATTGATTGTGCGTAGGGTTGGGTGAATAAGCGTCTCCTGATTTGTTATAGCAGAGCAACAGAGGCGCACGGTTCAATGGCTCATCACTAGAATCCGTTGCAAATGGTACCTCATAGTATTATCGGCCAGACCGTTTAGTGCTTCCGACATGATCACTACCAGTACTACCATACGTATTCTACTTCTCTCTGTATGAGGGACACTTCCCAACTTTCCTAATTTTGGTTTTCGTGAACACTGCTGTTTTCACCACTAAAACTACCAAGCGGGACGCCATTGTTAGTTGACCTGACCGAAATAGAGTGTCTGGTCCCCACCTACATACTCCTTTAGGCGATGATGCGCACAGTGATTGGCTGCACCGTCCTCTCCATTCTCAACGTAGTGCACCGGCCAGAGTGTGGACGACTTTACAACACTCACTACATTCGCTGTGGGTAATTTGCATAATCAACCCAAATAACAAGAGACTCTATTGTTATGTATTAGTCGCAGTCTTTTTTTTTTTTTTTTCTTCAAATTCTGAGTGCACGGTCGCTTCTGTACCTCGCCCAAACTGGCACGGTTGGTTCGCGCTGGATTACATACTTATTTGTACCTCCAGTACGTACCCAAGCCCTCAGTTACAGAGCTGAGGGGGTTTGACAGAGGTAGTGGTATGTAATACGATGGATTGGATGTTCTGAATGCACTTAATGGGTGAATCTAACTTATTGGGCTTACATAACAGGGTGGCTGTTAACAGGGGGCGTGTCGACCAGCAATCAACCACAGCATACAGGGGTTGCGCAAACAAAAGTGGATGAATGAAAGACAAACACAAACAAGCAAATTATGATAACAGTAGAAACAAATACTTGGTTGTACTAAGAATTACCGGCGAGATGTCATTTATGAAGACTTTAATGGCTAAAAGACACACGTAGCGATTTAGATGTGCCTTATTCAGATCCTTCCAACTCTCCTTTCCGTTTGGCCAATGAAGAAGCTATCCACCCCTAAAAAGACCTTACTACAGCTAACCAGAGTAACTGCTAGCACTAACATATACTTCCCAAGCTCGGCAAGTCCACAGCTGCCATGGCCCGCGAGGCTGAGGGAGATTGTGACTGTGAGCCTGAGGCTCATGTTTTGGCTGTGGCTGAACCTACTACGACCGGAGAAAACATCACCACAACAACACCAGTCAACTCTGACGCCCGCCTTTCGCCTTCTCAATCTCTTCTTCACCAACCCCGAATGCAAAAGTCTCCAACACATCCACAAGACGGCTTCAGCGCTCTTCGTTTCAGCGTTGGCATCCCCTCTCGTCGAAGGATATCAACTCGCCCCAACTCGAACCCCAACCACGATATCAACCACGAAGTCGACGTCGACAACGATACCGTTTTGCAACCCCTCGAGATTTGCTTTCATGCCTCCTTTGAGCCCGACCCCGACCGTCCCCTGTCTCTGCATCTCAACGACCACCAGAGCATTTTGCTGCATCATTCGCCCCCCATCTTGTCGACCCCAACCCCGCCACACTTCATCCTCGAGTGCGACCCCGTTATCATCATCCCACCGAGAGTCCCTGTGGACTCAGCACAAAAGAACCATGACCCCCAATCGACAAGAAGAAGTACAAGAGTGGCGATTTGGCGTCTGGCACTTGGTTTCCTCCTCCCTGTCATCCTCGCTGTCGTCATCCATCTCCTCCTCTCTGACTTCAAGAATACCTCGTCCTCACCAAAGCCTCTACATCAGCCACAAGAAGAAACGGATTGTTGTAGCGAGAGAAGAACTGGTGAGGTGGAAAACACAGAGGTCCTCATGACCATCTTGGATGATCTTCTTGCCCTTGCCCAGGCCTGGGCTGCCATACCACAGACCATCCTCACCATGGGCCGCACTGGCGCCGTATCGGGCCCTCGACCTACCGACGACGCCTACCTTGTGCGAACCTATAGCAAAACATCACCACTATCGGAAGCCGGCGATCTCTCTCGCATTATTGTGCGCTCACTCGCCCGAATCCAGCCTCTCAACGACAATCTTCGTCGCCCTGCCCGCTACCTGGCCCTCGCCATCCCCAAATCCGCAGATGCCGCCAAGCACATATGGGATTTTGACCTAGAGAACAATGCCGGCTTCCTCTGGATTCCAAGTGTGCTGTCTGCCCTGGAATGGGCACGTGACGAGCTCAGGAACACTGTCATTGATCCTGCTGCAACCTCCTTCATTGCCTCGTCAGGGGCTGATGACTTGAGCGCTTTGCGGAAGAGAAGGCTTCGTGCCATAAACAATACCGACGGAAACTTCAATGGTTCAGAGCGCCTGGCGGTTCACGACACCTCGAACGCGATTCGTCACGTCCTTGACATCTACAACAAGACCATTGTTGACGAACTCCTCATTAACGAACACTGCACTTTTTTCGAGCTCTGCCGCTCCGACGACGACGCTTACCGCTACCACCCGGTCTGTCAAATGCCGAGACTCGACCCTGATGATGTTTCCGCCACCGCAGATATACGACCTCTCGTCAACTTCCTCGAACAATGGCGAGATACCCAGCATGAGAGTGGCAACGGCCCAGGGGCGGCTCAGAGCACGGGAAAAGAAAAGACTCGCGGCCTCAAGGAACCTGCACTCGTGGTGCTCGCACGCCATCTGACGGGAATGGCAAGCGAAATAGACAGCCTCTTCCGGCTCATCCGAGTCAACAGAATGTGGAATCCGCTCTTGCCTGCTGAACAATCCCGCCCGTCTGCACGGCCACATCTCACGCTCTGGGAACAATACTTCAGTTCCGACAAACACCGAAGACGCAAAGAGGCTGCTTCTGATCTACAGCGAGCCGCTGCCCGTCTGTCGGTGCTGCGCACGTCATCCATCATGGACCAGGAGATGGCTGTGGTTAGGGCGACCATATCGGCTCGTTCCATCTGCACACGCCTGTCAGCCCTGCAGTCTTCTCTTGGGGACCTCCAGGAAGGCTACGGCTGGGTCAGGGTCTCGTACGAGGATGCGCCATCTATTGAGTTTACAAAGGACGGCCGGGAACTACTACATATACACCCACCTCGTCGCGCGCAACTCTGGCATAACGTCATGCCACATCCATTAGCACAAGCTGAAATGGTGGAGGCGGTACGCGCAAGAGTGCAAAGCATGGCACTAAATGTCTCGGCAGATCTAGCACGTCTCGTGTCAGCACAGAAGCGCATGGCCTCAGAATCGCGCTCCTTGGTCGCCGAGCAGTTGACGACCGCCGGTGGAGATGAAGTTGACGGTGAAGTTTTCGATGACAGACCCATGACGGATGACGAAACGGAAACATTTGCTCGAATGGAGCCGGTTTTCGGTAATGCTGCTGCATAAATAAAGAGTGCTATTGTAGTATATCTCGTGGTTCTATGCTGTCAAAGTGAGTTACATAACTACGAGGTTTGGTTGATTACTTGGTGAGGGAAATAACACCATCTGTATTTAGACCTCCGTAGAAGAGATTATAAAAGCCAAAGTAGACATAGCAAGTTTACACCCTAATAAACCAGCCACAGTTGGTGCTTTTGATGAATTCAACTTGCTCTTGCTAACCGGGGACGTATCGGATTACGTAAGCAACATCCAACCGCAGCACACGAGAAAAGTTGGTGGCGTCACAACGGCACCAAGCAAAAGGACAAAATTAGTGGTAAAAGTGGTGTGTCTCCGCTAAGTTCCTCGGTGCCCCCCGGTTGGTACCAAATACACATGCTGAGTCATCAATACCCACCTGCCGTGGCCAAGTGTTGCCGCCTGCCAGCAACACGTAGTTACGTCCTAGGGCTTTTACTCTCCTGCTCCCGACAACTAAAACAACAGCAACAAGAACACCTCTAATACTCAACGTAACATCAAAAACCCTACGGAATCAAACTTATTTGAACTGTACTCGTGGGCCACCTAGCAAGACAGTGCTACATATACGGAGTCATTGGTCACACCAAACCCAGTCCCTGCATTACTCCGCCGCGGCATCGGGTCTTGAGAAAAAGACCATGGGTGATCAAGCCACAGTCTTTCTCTCGAGACCAAAACAACCCCAGCGGTATACGGAGCTGGGACAGCACATGCAGCAGTTGACTGATAGTTGACAAAGGGTATTTGGTAAAGACCGCAGATACATTCAACACACGACCCTAGTCACGGCCTTTGTCATGCCTCGAAATCTTACGACTTCGTTCCACGCAACGTACCAAACCTTCAGAGTTGTCTCAGCACAGGGCTGCTAATTTCCTATTCTCATCTTCCACTTGTACGGCGTCCCATCGGTTGATGAATATGGCTGGCCAGACCACACACACCACACGGATAAAGGAACCCAACGAGCAGAGGATAAGGTAGAGGGAAGCGCGCAGCCCCAAGAAATTTGCACCAGACCAGACCTTACTCTTCCGAAGGTAGGACGCGACTTTGTCCGATGTGCTTGATTTGGCATTCTGAGTCAGGTGGGTTTCGCTTAGTGCGGCTCACTCTCCCATTCTCATCCTCCACTTATTAGGTATCCTTTCCATCGATGAGCATGGCTGGCCAGACCACACACATCTTGCGAAAGAAGGAACTCAATGAGCAGAGAATGCGATAGAGGGAAACGCGCTGCCCCAAGAAATTTACACCAACTCCCCTCATACCGAAGCTGAGCAGTGGGAGCCCACCCTCGATGTGACTTTGTCCGACATACTCAACCTGACCATCCAAAAGGACGTTAGGGAGTTTCGGACGTGCCCATGATGTACGAAGTGTGTGGCGAGGGACTTGAGGTGGATGTAGCAGATCGAGGTTGCAGGTGCGAGATGGACGACTAGCATTTGCTACTGCTGTTCGGAATATTGCTTGCTCCTGATGCCCTTGTGTGGGTGACGTCTGATTCAAGTCAGTCAACGGGAACACAAACTCCAGCATCACGTTCCGCGACGAACCTTGAAAAGGGACCAGTCATGCTACAACCTTCTGTGCATGAGGAAGATATTGCAACTCATTGAGAAGTGTATTTCATGAGACTCATTGGGTCCGTGATGGGCCCCCGAAGAGGGCATCATTCAAATCTCGTCAATTTCCCTCTTTTTGATGTGGTTGTTGGTTTTCAGAGTGGAAGTGTCAGGACATTATACACTGATGAAGGGAGAAACAGGTGTAATTATGGTAGAGCTGGTCAAAGGTCAGTCTATCCTCCCCTTCTTCTACTCACGCGCATTGAGTAGAACGTTAGTTATGTTTGTCGTGTCCTCCATACTCTGACTTCTTCTTGTCTCACATTGTTAGGTTGACGACCCTGAACGGCGAAATTGAGTGGACGAAAAAGTGTCTGTATGACCTAGACATACAGACCCACGGTTGCGACATGTCGTTTGACGACGAAGTTGTCGTTAGCTAAGTGTCACTCACTTTGGACTCACAGCTCTGCGGCCAAAGGAGCGGTGAAGTAGCAGAATGACGACAATTCATGCGAATTCGTGCGTGATCGTCCCCAGCAGTGGGTGAATAGCGAGTGGTGATGCTGGCTCTCTTGGCCGGCCTTCCGCATGGGGTTCCGGATGCCCACACATATCTATTGAGTTGCATGAACATGTTCATCCCTTGCATGCATGCATCCCAGAACTGCATACAGAGCTGCACACACGAAGTGGAGGGCACTACGGACAGCAATCGCCGTGATAAACAGAAGATTTGAGGTCTTGAATTCAACTTGAGCCGGGTGAGCTAAACCAAGCCAGAGCACACAACGCTTGAACTATCTACTGTCCGTCCTCATGCAACAAACGGCTGAAGGCGTGACGGAGGAACCTAGTGCTTCTGCGCCATGCATTCACATCAGCCTTGTCCACCGCCTCCTCCAGTTGCGCCCAAAGTCTCACCCGATCTCGAACCAGGCCCGCTAAGATGGCCTCCACATCTTTGTCTCGCTGACTAGTAACCGGCGCGGTGTCCCTGGGCAGCGAGGGAAATCGGAATCCGCGCTCTTGCATCGCTAGATCGACCATTCTGCGACGAGTTGCGCGGATATGCTGTGTGAGGGACTCAGACTTGACTGCGGCAAAATCGGAGACTGAATGGTTTGTCGGGTTTGCTGACTCTGATGAATCTGAACATGCAGAAGAACCTGAACAGGAGGAGCCAGATGAGTCCGAAGAGTCATTTGAATTGGGTGAGCTCGAGCTTTCGGAGACAAGATTGGGTTGCATTTCATCGTGCAGCCGTGCTTGAGTGAGTGTAGGGGGGGCAGAGTGAAGAGCTCCACGATCCTTGCTCTCGACCTCTTCACCAGACTGCGTCCGTCCCGGCGAAGTTTCTACAGATAAACGTGGGACCTTTTCGGCGATGTTCATCCAGGCAATGCGGATCTCTTCATTCCACGTAAACACGAACCCACCAGCATCGGCATCGAATTTCTGCGTAACAACGCCATCATTAACCCAACCGCTCATCTGGTGCGCAAAGTGCGTGAGCATGCGATCTCTAAACCCGAACCATTGCGCGTCGGTGATGCGCGTCGTGTCTAGGTCGATGGAGGCGGCGACAGTTCTCAGGTTCTCATCAGTACAGCCAACGCAAGAGAAACGATCAGATGGCGAGAGCGAAGCCGGCGAGTGCGAGTGACGCGCGAGGAACCCACGCAAAATGTTGCGTTCATCTACAGTCCACGAGATGCGGATACGCCGTGGCGACTTGCGGCCTGGTGTTTTGGGTACCAGCTGGTCGAGAAAGCAGTCCCGCCACTTCACGAGCATGGGTGACTCTGAGCCCGGAGTTAGGCCCGGTTTTGCCAGAAGTTGCGATGATGTTGCCATGCTGGTTGTGTAAGAGAAAGATCTTAGCCAGGACTGTCCTTGAATGAGAGAGTTACTCTTACCAACAGATATGAAATGGGCGCCGATAATGACTGTTTGTACTCCCCTTCCACCTCTTCCGAGCCTGGACCAGGCTTGAAGTGATTACGTTATTAACTACATCCTTTCCGTCCGTCCACCGTTTGCATTCTCACCGCCGTTATCTGTAACGTTGAACACAAGGAAGCAATCTTGTACGCTTGGAATCGCATTACTTTTCGTTGCGTCTCTTCAAGAACAGATCAAGAGAAACACCCTCCATTGTCTCTCATTCCCATTCCAGTCATCAAGTCGATCGTCGAAACGCTATGGCTTCATTTTCAACGGCGGCACCGCCTCTTCGAAGCCTTCGGGTACAGCCAATGTCTTCCTTGTCTTATGACAGCCTGCAGCGTTTAGAGAAGGGGGAGCCGGCCGACACGCTCAACTTCTCGCCAGTGACGTTGGAGGCTGTCCAACATCTAGCTGCCGGAAGGCCGTGGGAAGATATGCAACACGAGACGCAGGTCCGCACAAACGACCTCATGACCTACTTCCCTTCCCTCTTCAACAGCAAGCCGTTGACCGCCGCCCCATCTGTAGTTCCCTCCGACATCAGCCGTCTGAACTCCTGGCCGTCGACGCCTGCCCGGCTGCCACAAGAAGCCCTCTTAGACCGCCAGGCACGGTCGTGGCATTATCCTCGTGATGAACCGTCTCGCATGGGGGATCTCCTCTCCAGCCCTCCTCTAGCCCCACGACCTGGTAAAGGCCCCCCTTACCGAGGCGGTCTCAAGTCTCCTCTTCATGCATGCTCAGCTAACAAACTCAACCTAGCAGCACCAGCTTCAGTTCACACGCCAATAGACCTTGCAACGAGCCAATTCCTCTCGGGCCTCCAGCTCGCTGCCACACCGCCGCGACCGATCAACGCCTCCATCCGGGACGACAGCCGCACTCATCAGCATTATAACCTGCCCACACCGATACCCGCCGTGCAACCGAGTGCGAGGACGAACGAGCAGGCTAGGCTCGATGAGCTGACGCAAATTCACAGGCTATCCTTGCGTCGGTGGAGAGAATTGCTGGATAAGGTATTTGACGAGGAGGAGACAATGGCTTCGATCGAGATGGAGGCATCCAGGCTCCAGCATACCATTGCGTCTGTGGGAATGGTATCGCCGTCCAATACTAAGAAGACGCCCCACGCCGGTGGCAGCGATTTCGGCATTAGAGGACTATGTGATCCGTTCATAGTGGATGCCGGTGGTGGTGCTAAAGACGATGATGATGGCCAGGGGTCCTCGTCGGAGATGAACTGCAAGACGCACCAGAAGAAGAAGAAAAAGAAGAACAAGAAGCAGCGGTCTAAGCATGGAAAAGGAAAAGAGAAGGACGTTGTTGGGAGCGCAAGCGAGGAGGCGACGACAGGTAACTAGTGGAAAGTGAAATGTACGTCTGCGTCCAGACCGAAGCCTGGGCTTGACTCGAAGATTCGGGTTCTATGCGGTGGACTGGAACCTCCATACAGGTTTTTGAAGCTCTTGGTAATTCATTTCATTACTCAACTCAGGTTCGATCAGAATACTGAAACACACATACAACTCTGTTTGAATGGCACTGCCCTACATGATGGATGCGTCCAAATGCCACCTAAACCGCATTTACACGTCTTCTCACATAACAACCCCCTTTCAAGATCTCCTCTGCTTGCCATGACCTTTGCTCTCCCGGTACCAAGCGTACCATCCCGCGTCGACCGTGCCATCAGGCGGCTGTGATGCTCTGGCAGCCATCATCTCGGGGATGTTACCCTTCTCGCGGGCTGTGGCCTCGACGAAAGAGACGTAAGATCCAAAGGCAGCTGGATCCAGGTCGGTCCTCGTTCCCCAAGAAGGCCTCTGGGCGGGTCCGTTCGAAAGCTGGAATTGTGAGAACAGTCGACGAGCTACCTCAGTCTCTGCCTCGTCTTCCGTTGGAGATGTACCCGTGTTGACTGGCCTTGCTGTTGCCGTCTCAGTTGGCGTTTTGTCCTCACCAGCTGGAGGAGATGAAGACGTGGGAGGTGTATTCGGAGGCAAGGCTGGGAAGGTTCCCGGGACGTGTCTGATATCCTCGCCAGTATCCCGATCTTGAACGTCACCGGCCTCGATTCCTCTCACCGGTGCGAGAACGAGCCACTTGCTCATGTGATTCTTTATGTACCCCGCCAACGCCCCCTTGTTCTTGACCCAACTCGTCATCCACACCTCCTCATCTTCCTTCTCATCGGTGGTGGACGCCAGGTGCGTGATAGCCTTGAGCCCGGGATCGATCCGTTCCAGTTCAGCGTTTGCTTCAAAACGGTGCGTCTCCAGGCTATCGTCGGAGCTGCGGAGGAATCGGAGCACCTGTCTCGCGCGTAGCCCCCTGTCGACGGCGGAAGTGGCCATGCTCCTCCTCAGACGGTCGAAGCCTTGCTTGTGTCGCGCGGCCAGGTCTGAAATGGAGCCTGGGTGGTGGTTGTCAGACATAAGTTCGCGCAAGCTAGATCTGTAGGAAGAAAGACACTAGGGACAATGCATGGACTGGACGTACTCTCGCCGGCTTGAACGAAAACTTGACCGGAGAAGGCAATGCTGCTGCTGCTTGGCTTGGGAGAAGTAGAAGTGTGGTTTGCTGCGTGTCTTTCGGACATCATGATCCAGATGTTTGTTTGCCATGCCACTTTTTGTTATTGATCCTAGGTATGAATACACTGGGAATTATCCTAGCATCTTGGCCTTCTACCAGCTTCGTTCATCTCTGGTCAGCTTTTGTCTCGATATCAAAGACACACACACACCGCCATATTTCTCTCCCGTTCATTCCCGCTCGTTCCCGTATGAAAAGACCGGCAGCCCGGCTTGGCGAGACAAAGACCAGGGATCGACTTTTAACGGGTTCCTGCAGACGACGTAAAACACATCAGACTACTCCCTCATTCTTTTGTCCTCCCCTTCCACTCTGCACGCCCTCCCACATCCTTCGCGCTCGACATGCGTCCCTCAACCAGAGCATCATAGCCTCCTTTCGGGCCCGTTCAGTCTCCTTCCCTACCGAAGATGACGTTCCCCGGCGCCTTGCGATCGCGGCGTTGCCTGCTTCTGTCATCTTGGGAAGCAGCTCGTAAAGGTACATCGCCCGTGCGTCGGCATCCTGCAGCGTCGTGGCGGCCGCCACCATCGCGTTTGCTGTTCTCCTCATGCCACCATCGCCCGATGGCCAGTATTGATATCCGTCTGCCCCATCAACACTGCTGTCGTCTTCTCCGAGAAGCCGCTCGTAAGCGGTGACCCAACCGAGCAGCACGGCCTTTTCCTGCTGTTTGAATGACGACGCTGCGGCTTCAGGGTCTGACATGACGAACGGCGGTTCCGATACGTCGATGGACAAAAATTCGTCCAGTGTTGGCCATGAGGCGCCGGGGGAGAAGGGGAGGCTTGAGACTTCATAGGAAACCTGGCAGATTTTGCGAAATGCTTCCGTGTGGGACGTGTCTCTTGTGCTGGGTGCTGCAGCGCGTTGTGCCGGTTCGTGTGCATCTGGTTTCTGGACCAGGGCGATGGAAGATAGCACGGCGAGTAGCATGCCGCACCCGAGAACGGCCGAGAATTTGCGTCGCCGCTGTGTCTGTGAAGCATGTAGGTCTAGTGTACGGGGAGGTTGTGCTTCAGCATAGTTGTAGTCGCTGTCGTTGTCCATTTTGGAGTGTCGTGCGTTGTGAATATGATTGGGGTCTGTTGCATTGCAGGAGGAGAGAATTCCGGTGAGGGATACCCAGCTGAGATACATTTCCCGTTTGTAGTTCCCTCGTATGAGTTTTCCAAAGGCTTTATGTAAGAGGCCTTGATATTGATGTTTCTATCATTAGTTAAACTGGTTCTATATAGACATGAGACTTGACAACTCACTATGTTCCCCTTTGTCTGTCCAGGCCAGCTTGTTTCCACACACTTCCTGCGGCATGGAGGTCTCAACAGTAATACCGGCAACAAAAGGCACATTATCAGAGAATTCGGTTTTGGATTCAACCTCGGAAAACCGGTCCGGATTCAACCCGGCCAGAAGAGGGGACAATGAAAAAACAGAAAGCAAATAAAGCAGACAGTCCATGATGTTATAACTCACGAATACCCAGCGACGCTCATGTCTACAATCCCTATCTCTCTGCCAATTTTGTTTCATCTTTTGTTTCCCATATCTGAATATAGCAAGATGTCTGGCGCTAACAGCACCAGCAGCCGTATCAATGAGCGACGTGCCCCTGGAGACCGTCCGCGCCGCCCCCCGGGGCTCGAAATCGCAATGCGCAACTTGGCGAACGCCTTCAAAGGCCAGCCAAGCGAACATAAAGCGACTAAGCTCGAGTCAGAGCTCGTTGGCCGTCGCAACTCTACATTGTCACCGTTCGTCGAGAAGAGTTTGAGTCTCCACAAAGCGACGAAAGCATCCTTGACGACACACAACAACGCCACCGTGTACCACGACAACAGCAAGAACAACTCCGTCTTCAACTACTACGCCGCTCACAACAAAAGCAGTAGCAACAGCAAAAGCAACAGCGGCAACAAGGGGCAACAGACCCCAGATGAAAGCGCCATTATCCGGGTCTACGACCAGGTCGTTTCGCCAGCAGCCAAGGCCGGACAATGGTCGCTCACCATCTTGAAGTTTCTCCTAACGTTGTTGTGGTCCAAATATGTTGCCTTTTTCGTCGCCATAACCGTGGTTACTGTCTCAGTGTCTCTGCTTCTCTCAGCTACGTTGGACGCCGTCAGCTCCTGGGTGAGCGCGGCTACCCTTAACTTCCGTTCCATTTCCAAGTGTCTTTCAGTCGTTGCGTGGCTTCGTGGATACTTTGTGTCTCCTGGATCCTCGAGCAACAGTGACGTGACCGTCACCATAGACGCTACGCTGCTCGCTTCGACCGCAGCGGCCTCCGTTGTCCCAGTCATCCAAGCAATCCATGATTCACAGATGAAGCCGCCGTTCCACGGCGCATCGGCGCTGCGTGGTGGGTTCGACAGCATCCGGTTCGACGTAGAGAAGCTATCTCAGCAATCCGGGCACGGGACAACCGTTGGCTCACTTGTCAACACCATCGCTGTCGGCCTCAATGACATGGAAGACGTCATGTCAACGGTACGGGGACTAGTGACGTTGAATCGAGACTGGCGTGTCACTATGGCGAAGCACCTCACGTCTGAGGAGCGAGCCATTATCTCGCTTCGAGCTACGCTGCTCAACTATCCCACTCCCGACGTCCAAGAACCGACCAAAGGAATCGTACGTATTCTGTGTGGGGCGAAGAATGGCAGTTTCCGACAACGATGTATTTGGGCTGACGAAACCGATAGATGATCTCGTTCCTTCGTTGTCGTCTCCTCCCCGAGACCTGGAGTAGGTGGTGGCTGCTTTGGCAACCACCGCAGCACCTGAACCGAGTGCGCCGACGGCTAATCGCGTATGGCGAGATTCTGGCGATGGCAAGATCGCATCGAGCCCCGGCAATCGACCGAGCCGGCTCCTGGCCTAACAGTGATGAGCTAAGGCGAGTCAACCATCTCATGCACAGGGTAGCTGATGAGGCATCGCGAGAACATCGGCGTTTGCAGAAGCAGGGAGGTTGGTCATGCCCCATCTCAGCCATTGTAAACTCTCAGGTGACTAATGAAGGGAGAAATATAGTCCCCTTTGCTGTGAAGGTTAAAAATGACGATGAAGATGTTGTTGCTGTGCCAGCGGACGGAGACGATGCCGCGCTCGGTCAATACTACTCCAACATGGAGCTCTCTCAGAATCTGGCGAATTCAGGTGACCTACTGTCACAGCTGACAACGGAAATGGGAGAGGCAACGAGAAGGCAGATTGGCTTGGTCAAAGACGAGCTGTCTTGGCTGGAGGAGGAGGTTAACAGGGTACAGGAACTGCTAGAGCTCTTGGATGACGGCCAATTGGAGGTGAGGTTGGCTGAGCAGACCATCTTGGAAGGGCTGGAGTACTGGGACGGTTTGAAGGCGTATTTGTATCGGGAGCCCGAGAAGGGGAGGTGATGGTTTTTCATATGAAACGATGACCAAGTGCTCTCCTTTCCGGATTGGATTTGTTCGGAACCGATGGATGTTTCTCTACCATCTGACGATTTGCGTTGTTCGAAGTTCTGGGCACCCATCATGCATGATAAGAGTCGGCCCCCTTATTCGCAGGTTGGATGTCCGATTCATCAGATCACCTTTGTTATACATCTGTGTTCATGTCAATCCCAAAACACTTAAACGCGTGACCGTAACAGCCAGTATTGGCAGTACTAAGACGGTATTTTCAATGAGTGAAGAGGAATCTTTCTGCTACCGTACCGGACTTGACATTGGCCGCTGTGTGCTGGGGAATTGAACAGTGTCCGGTTCCAAGTATACGCTAACATGGAAGGCCGCATCTTCAAGCAGAGCAGCTACCGATATGTTGCAGCTTTCTGTAAGAGCAGGACGAGGGAGGGCGAGCCCGTTGAAGACCCAAAGACCAATATTGAAGAGCCCGCTAGTAGCCATGAAATGATCCCCAAAGCTATTGCTGAGGAAGATGTTTCTGGGAGCCGGAGAAGTCAACAGATCGAGGCTTCTCCTGTACGTGGTCCTCTAGCCAAGGAGACCATCGCCGAACTTTGGCAAAGTGAAATGTGTAGTGCTCTGGGACTCTTTGTCCGGCCGAAATTGTTTTGTAGGAAGGAAAATCGTGACAATCTGTTCATGTGGACCAAAATGTTCGGTCTTCCCATGCCTTTCTCAATGTTTGTCTATCACGGCCGCGGGACTCTGAATCTTAAAGAGTACCTAGTCATGACGACCGGGCTCTGTCGAACCGAGACCATGCCTAGGCTTCAGTTATCATCGAAGCCAAGGCCTAAAGATTACAAGAGATGAATGTCTTATGTCGGCGTTGGTGTCGGTGTTAGTGGCTGCGTAAAGGTTCGCGTACCCTGTGGTTGTGTTAATGCTGGAGGTGGAAATAGACGAAGAAGGCGGTTAGGAAAGATTGATACCGAAGCAAAGCCTGATCTGCCAACAAGGACCGCGGAGCTAGTTCTCTCTGTTTCATTTTGAGAAACTTATCTATGCTATGATACTATTTTCCTCTCATCCCTATTTACCTAGCAAAGAGAATAAGAAATGTGATTAGCGCTTGTAATGAGTCAAGACAAAACAGACCTGGAGGGCTACCCGACATCTTACTGCATTGCAGGAACGCTTAGATTCGGTAGCATCACTACGTTTTTTCGCATGTTATGTCCTCTTTGCATGTAAAGTTTTCCATCTCGCCTTCAACTTTTTAGTTTTGCCCATCTCTCCATCATGTGAAATCCTAGGCTGTGCCCAAAGATTCGACACGTCAACCACGCCATGCCCGCCAGTTTCAGCAGTCAATCAGAAGCAGTTAGCGCGAGGAGCCGAGTCGCTAAGTAATAATAGTGTCATTGTTGTCTACCAAGAGACTTAAATGCGTACAACGCTATATGTATACAGGAAAAGTACAGTATTTCTGAGAGTACGAAGTTTCATCATAAGGAGATGATGGTCGATTTTAATGCCGGCATGGCGCTGGCCGTTGGTTATACAGCCACGCTTTTCTTTACAGGCCTATCCAGGGAATTAAACCCCGAAGACATCTCTCGGCGCCGCAGTAAGGAAGCGGCATTGAGGACTGTCTTCCGGATCAAGGCTGGCGCCGATGCTCTCAAATTCAACGCGGAGCACCTTTGGGTCCTCTTTGGTAAATCGAGGCCAGCTAGGTGGCTTTTGACCGTAGGCGTATTGGTTGGGATCCATATAGAGGACAAAGGAGACAAAGTAGTCCCGCATGTACGAGGCTAGGGTGGCGTTAGGGTAGGCGATAGGAATGCCGCCAGCCCCGGCTGCTCCGGTTGCTAGGATGTCGATTAGTTTTCTCTTCACATTGATATAGGCACCAACTCTCTATACAAGCGTTTTGCGAAAGAAGAAACAGGGGGATGCGGTAAATGAATCTTACGGTTGGGAGAAGAAGAGAATAAGAATTCCATCGTAGCTCCATGGAGTTGAGATCCAGCGTTGAAAGTCACTGCAGAATAAACGTTAGCCGGGTCCCTAGCAATAGCCCCCGAAATAGACATGTATAGACATGTAATCATAGGACGTGGGTTTATGAGGGGCGGTGTTGTAGGCTTTGCTGTATTCTAAGTGTTCCTATGAGGGAGAAATAGGAGTTTTCTCTATAGGAGACGAGTATTGATATCTATCCTACTTACTCTTGTAAGCAGCTAGCCCATTGTTGGAAATATATTTGGCGATAGCGGAGGTTTGGCAATCGATAAGGACATCGGATACTATGTTTTCAAGTTTTGCAAACGAGTTTTTGATAGTAGTATTTCCCGATAGAACACGTAGCCCTCGAAAATCGTCCAGAAGAGTAGCGTTAAATTGATCTGTAGGGTAAAGTTCTAGAACCTGGTTAATGAAGGTCTTGTTCTTAGTTTGCCAAATCATCTCGAGTGACGTAGCGACGTCTTCTTCGGCTTTCGTAGAAGGGTTAGTAAATACGTAACCCTCATAACCTTCCCTATCGACCACAAATGGCACTTTGGTGAAATGACTATTGCGGAACTCGTTAAGAGGATAGTCCCGGATACGTTTGCCGTCAACGCTAGGACCCCAGTAAAATGTTCCGTACCCGAAATCACCATTGTTATAAGCGATCTCAGCGGCACTTTTAGTTGCGCTCTTCAAGCTATCAACAGGGAGACTTCTCAGGCAGGCGATGTCGTCACAATCGGAAGCAGACAGGAGACCCTCATACTGTTTATTATACCAGTCGGTCGGGTACATGGGAGTCATCCAGGGATATTCTGTTTGTTTTCTACTTAGTATGACCGCATGAAAATGTATTGGGGGGGGGATTATTGATCACCGTACCTGAAATCACAGCCCTGAATGGGGGATTTTGCTCGCCTCCATCAAGAATCATCTGCATCACTACACTGCCACCACCGGCACTTCCGCCTGTGATGGTTACCTTGTCCGGATCACCCCCGAAATGATGGATGTACTGACGCACCCATTCAAGTGCGGCGCGCTGGTCCAGCAAACCAGCATTGGGTGTTCCATCTGACGCTACTTCTTCGCCAGCTAGGAAACCAAGCGGGCCTAACCGATACTGGATGGCGACGTAGATGATGCTTCCGTTCGAGTGGTAAACTATGCTGTCTCCCTGGGTTGCCACGCCTGAGACATAACCTGAGGTTCTGTCAGAAGACCTAGCACGATTATATGGTGACATTAGAAAAGGTCCAACTTACCGCCTCCATGAATATTGACTAAAACTGGCAATTTACCTTTGACATTGATCGGTGTTACAATGTCCATTAGCAGGCAATCTTCGCTTTCGATCATTATGTAGGAACTAGCAGGTTGCCACGGAGGTGAGTTCTGCAGGCAAGCCGGCCCTCTGGTGGTTGCATTTACAAAGCCGACAGGAGCATTCCTTGGATCAAGAGGAACTGGTGCCCTCCACCTTAGGTCCTCTGTTGGGGGCGAGGCATATCTGATGCCGTAGTAAGCGTTGACGCTAACTCATGGGGTTAGTTTGTGGTATTGTAAACGTTTGGGCCTGGTGTACAGGAACCTCACCCTGCATCCTCCTTCTGAACTCCTTGATAGGTCGTACACCCAATCTTCACTGAGGGGCTTTCATTTATCGCTGTGGATGCCGAAACGATGCTCGCCGCGAAAAAGCTGATGATTACGCCGACGTTCTTCATGTTGAGAGACAACGGATCTACACCCGATGCCCGTAAAGACTAAAGAGTGTCAAGGCTCCGTAGTCTGGAAAAGAGTTGCGGCTACAAGAGATTGATGAGAACATTTGAGGAAATTTCTTCAAGCAGCATTGTCGTCCTCAAGTATATATATCGTGGGATGATTAATCTTGTTCACGTAGCCGAGTCACGGAGAGGCAATTCCTGCACCCAATTGTGCCTCATGATCCTCGGTCCGCGTATTGTCTTTACTTTGCGAGGATTCTTTGGAGAGTGGATCGAACAAAATCAGCGCTAGTCAGCGGTGGATGTAGTTAAACACCACATACGGGGTGCAATACCCACCAAAAGAAGATTAGCCCCGCTGTCCCAGACCTCCGACCAGGTCAACGACCAGGGTTGTGCCTGAAGCATCCATCAGACTCTATGTTCTGCACAACCACCTACAACTTTGACCAGAGGTGTCATTATCAGATACCACAGCTCGATCACGAAACATAAGGAAATGTCGTCGGAAACAAAGGATCCATTCTTGTTCTACTCATGCGCGAACCAAGATTAAATCAGCCTCCAGGGGTGTCCATACTGCCCAACTATACCAAGATCTACTGCTAGGAAACTGCGAATATGTCCTTCAAACTTTGACAATTCAAAAGAGACATTGAATGAAGATAGAATATGCAGGTTCCATCTAGAGGTCCCAGAAGCTTGACTAGTTTCCACTTCAATAGCTCTCGGACTTTGCCTTGCTACAGCTGGGTCTATGAAGTCCCTGGGCCCCTGGACGGCGTGTCTGACATAGACTTGGTCGATTTCTTCTGGGGTATATAGAATATTGTGGCAGCCACGGTGCTGGTGGCACAGGTAGTGCTGCTGCATGCCAGACACGCCCGCGGCAGACGTCAACTTTGACAACCAAGTTGTGTCTTAAGGCCTTGGGCAGTCGGTGTGTTGGCTGTTCGGTTGGTCATGAATCTCTTGTTGAGCCGCCTGGTTCCACTGTTGGCTTAGGCAAGTGAAACGAAGAGTAGTTGGAAGAAAACGATATTATTCGAGGTTGCCCAGCCTAAATCTGGTTAGAACCTCTCAATGTATGCACGCCCGAGGGTGGCTGCTGATAATGCAAACAATAGTATGTCAATATGTTGGAGTAAGATAAGAACTACCCTGAGTAATTTTCAAGGTAATGTAGGTAAAGAAAGGAGCGTAGTTGGCGTGTGCGTCGAAGGCGCTTTAGTTAATGTATGACTGAAAATAAAACTCAAAATCCAAGGTAACGGTGTAACCAGATATCACCCGCCCACACCCTTATATTCCCTCGTATCATCCCCAAATCTAACTCCTCGCTTGCCAACCTCGTCTTGTTGCATTTCAGTATTAACGTATACTCCATATCTATCATATATGGTACATCAACCATCATGAGAGTTCATCATATTGAAATCTTTTAGCATGTTTCCCCCATCAGGATTCCTGACTAGCTACCTTTGCTAGTAAATTTGCCGAGAAGACCCTGGTGAAAGAATGTTGCTATGTAATAGTACCTCCTTCAGAGGAACTCTGCTTTTCAGGTCTTTGGACCTTTGTATATTCGTGATAGTTTTCACTCTTCTTGCTCAGGCAATCTTGTCATTCTTCAGCCTTATGATTCTCGCTTTTTCTCGGTTAACCAAAACGCATTTTTGCTGTAAGTCATTGATGATCCTGAAGCCCAAGCATTTCTTTCGCACCCCGCACGCAGCTTTTGAGTCTGCTCAAGTCAAGCGCTGTGACGCGAGCCCGTATGTTTTCCGAACAATGAACCCCAATCGTCTCACCACGTGGTAATGAGATCAGCCCAAGACCTAGAAGCCTTACAGAGAACGGTTTCTAAAGAGCAACAAACCTGGTACAGAAAAAATTAGACGAGATGAATGATACAATATTATTCGCTCATGCCTTTCCAGACCAGTCACGCCTTTCCTGTCTGTAAGCCAACGCCTACTGCATTAGCAGTGCACCAACACTACTTGTGTGATATCTCTAAGCATGAAGTTAGATCTGTTGCCAGCCATTGATGGGTTGGCAGTGTTGTAGTAGAAGAGAACACTCGAATAAATCCTTCCCATAATTTCTTTAACATCAACCTGACTTATAGCTGGCGCGTAATCATCGAACTCGTTGCGACCATCGATGAATCCATGATAATCCGCTGTTTGCCAACCGTCAGACGTACTCCAGACAGAAACTCCTGTGGTGTTGTGTGCTACATTGGATTTTGTCTGTAATGACACATTTTCTCCGTACTTCCGTTGAGAATGAAGTGGTGTCCCTGCACTAAAGTTGTGATACGGAGTCTGTTGAACGACCATTCGCGTTTTCCCATTGGGGCTACTAAGATCGAACTTGACTAGCTGGTGATGCGGGTTGTTGTTCGTAATTAGGAGGTGCCCATATCTTGCTAGTCTGCCAAAGCCATATGCCCGATGAGGTGTTGTCGGGTTTGAAATGAAGTACGGCGAGACGTTATTATTATTGATAATCCGCAAAATGCTTGCCGGATAAGCTCCGTTGACGAAAACTTCGCCATCAAGCCCTGGCTCTATATCGAGGAACCCTCCAAATTGGCCTCGTGTAGTGTCTGTCAAAATGACTTAAGAAAGACCTTTTGCTAACCAGGTCGTATTGAATAATGAAATTATCGCCACTAACATCGTTGCCTCCAGTCAAGGAAAACTTAGCAGCTTGGATGACAACTGTTAGGACTCCGCTGGCGGCATCCAATAATATGTCCGGTAACTGCTTGTCGGACACATCTAAGCCGGGATGGCTTAGCCCGGAAAAACTGATCACTTCTAATAGTTCCGACTTATAGGGGTCCAGGACGGCCACAGTGGCGTTAAAGATGGAACTGTTAGTTGGGCATGTGAGCTATCTTTCGGTCAAAAAACTTCCATTTTGTTGATCGTTTACCTGGCATAGATGAGGCATCGCTGGGGATCCCACAGAAATAAGCAGGATATAACTAAAACTAGCTTTTAAATTGAACATCGCTGGTTAGGGGAGAACAAGCAATAACACCCCGTATTACTAAACAAAGAGTCAATAACAAGCCAAAGAACATTATTCTATTTCAGATTGTAGAGAGATATATATATGTATCGATCTACAGACATAAGTTCTTTTTCCAAAATCAAAATCCCCTTCAACTGCACATCTGCCCCGAGCCGAAATGCTTACATTTATAGGTTCACGGACCGCACGACAGGCTGCGAATGGTTCGGCAATCAAACAAGATTGCCAAACTCGACAAGCTTTATCCATACATGTCAGGACAAGTGAACCGAATCCAAAGCCAGGTAATCGGGTCAAAACGCTATGATCAATTTCCGGTGGTACTGGTGCAATAGCTGGAACTTCGGTATGAAGTGGTTCCGCGGGCACCCGGCCAAACTAACCGCCAGTCTGCTGGTCTGCCGGCCTCCCGGTCTCTGCTACTCACCTTTTCAGTTTGCTCGAATTTAGTGGCTTTGACGTTTCTCCGGCCTTTCTTGTCGACACCAGGTGACAGCGTCGGTTTGACTGTGTGCATGGCTATACATGCGGGTGCTGATCGCCCCCTCAGGCCTCGGCCTTTCACAATTTATCCAGGCTTCAGAATGACATAAGCTTCAACTTCATTCAGTCTCAAGCCGAAAAGCCTAATGAACACGTCATATCTTAACTAGTAGTTTCAACAGCCCGTCTTTCATGTTTGCTAGGCCAGCTTAGCTGTACGTACCTATCAGGTCCACTCAACACCGACGTTAGGGTTACATGATCAATTTACTCAACTTGATATCAAGGATCAACTTAGTGGCCAGAGTCTGTACTTACCTAAGTATGGGAGTCGACGAATGTTGGAACCCGCGGACGACGGACGAGGTAATGTAGACCGCCAAAAAGGGCACGGTATGAAGGGAATGCTCCGGGCACCATCATGTTGGTTGCTTGACTAGAGTCCATGGGCAGCAAGGAGTACGGGCCGGGCAGTCACTAAATAGCCAGTAACTTGAATTACACAACGTAAGGTAGTGTAGGGACAATGCTGTAGCTAGACGTTAACTCCCAATCAGGGTCCAATGTCGAGTCGCACCATAGTATTTTATGTTTCTGGGAATTACGCATAGTGGTAGGGGCTTCTCGATATGCGGGCGTGAGAGAAGGAGAGGCGTTGGTGAGCATTGGAGGGGTTATAATGACGGTCGGAGCAGGCATTTTGCGCGGTGTGGTGTTCTTTCCCTCGCTTTCTGCATCATCCATTGCCAGAGATATCCATTGCCAGAGATGATAGCTCTTTAATTCTTATTATTAGCTTGAAAAGGTAGAAATTAATCCATAGATAAGTATTCAGAATTCGGCCCAAGGCTAAACGAATGAGGAGTAGCTTTATTAGCACCGCTCTCTCGTCGGTACATTAGCCCTTCGTGTGAGGATACGCCCTACTATCCTTTTCCATCCTCATAGGATTACCGCAGACTCTCGGGCAAAAAAAAAAAAAAAAATAGGGCGTCAAGCCGACTGAACTTCAATTTACTACACCTGGATATTTAACGTTTTGACGCCGCTGGCAATCCAATCTGACTAGTTAAGGACTTAGACCTAGTATTCAAATTCTTTTTATCGGGTGTCTGGAGTGATAGCTATCAAACTTTTCTCGGGTCTTTGTCTTCGTTAATGCGATTCTAAAAAAACCTTCGTGTCTATTTTGGGCGTCCGCGCACTAATGCCGGATGTTCGCGGGCTCGACATCGTAGTTACACCCACAAGGGGCACCATACCGCTTTACTAGAGCCTTTGCTAGGCGATAAAGAAACACACTGTTGCAAGCTAGCGATGGAATTGACGTCGATCTACATCAATATTCATCTTGCAAAATTGGAAACGCGGTAAAGTTATTTGATTAGATACGCCGGACTAGCCAGAGGTGAGGCATTATACTGCAAGCTTCACCAGCACTCCACCAGCTATAATGATTAAAGCCTTGACGAGCCGGCTTTCTAGTTAAGTAAAACAAAGATCGATATAGGTTAAAAAAAAAAAAAAAAACACTTTGGGCTAGGCTCAGCGTATTGTATTGTAGTGCTCGCGAAATCGTTGATAATCCCGAACTTGACTCATGTTATTTCAACAGAGTTTCTCATTCACGGCTTATTAGCTGCTTAATAGATTGGCTGACTGCGACGAGTCATTGCGGCGGGTATTATAACTCAAAAGGCGGGCAGATTGACGGACTAGAATGCCGCTCGTAATGTAAGTTAATTTCCCTCCAACACTTTATTTGTATGATTCGGGACCGGCGGAGGCGAAAACATGTCAGCCTTCAAAACATTACTTATAAACATTGTCCTATCAGCCCTCCCCACTCGTCCATCACCGGCTCAGAATCACACATCTTGTTAGGCATTCAGCAAAGACCAAAAATCATCCAGCAAACAAAGATCAATCCAGCTAAGATGCCTTCTACATTAAAAATTTGCCTACTTGCCCTTGTTTCCCTAGTTGTAGCGATGCCGTCCTCTCCCAACGCTGATCCGAATGCGCTCTTCGCTGTTGAAAGTCAGTAAAGACTCAATATGCTCCTTTCTAAATATTTTGGCTAACCCAGAGAAAAATAGAGCGCTGCGTAGGGATATATGGGAGATGCAACAACGACTGCTGCGACTCAATGAGGTGCAACTACATTCCTATATGCGGTCCCGGCTCACGTTGCGTGTCCTACGATCCGGCTATTCCGTACAACCCTACATGCAATTAAGGGGCTACTGGTCAAAACGGTACGTGAAAGGTTACTACCAAGAGCAGTAGCTTTAGCAACAAGGACGGCACATGTGCTATGTCAGAGCTAGCCACCGGAATGTAAATGGCTGCCAGACAAATGTCATAGTAGGAAAGATGTTTTGTCAAATTTGGTTCACTGCTTCTGCTAGGAGGTGTTAGAGGGTCAAGCCAAACAACCGTTAATAGGATCAAATTCAGTACCTTTATGACAGCCTTCTAGCCGTTATTATAATGGCGGGTGGAGAAGCTCTGATGACCTAGCATGTAGGGGGCTAATATCAGGAAAAAGCCGCAGAAGATTTAACGATGGTTGAGTACCCGGCCTATAAAAGCTATGGTATGCGCCTGACCTTAACGCCTGAAATACCTATCTCCTCGCTCATCTACACCCCGTTGTTCTTCCTTCCTAAGATTAACTCATGACACTTTACTTGGTGGCAACGGTACGTATATACTTTCAGTAACATGAAAATAGTCTAGCGGACAACTAACAGAAGTATCTGTGCAAGGGCATAGGTACTGATAATGAAGCGGAGTAAGCAGACAGCATAGTGACATCTAGAGAATACACTATGCTAACGTGGGCGGCCATTTATTCTATCGGCATATCGATGCATGCATATATGGATAGGTTTTAGTTTCAGAGTTGGTTGCATCAGTAGGCTAGAAAACAGGGTGAATCTGTAGGTTTCACAGGGGGTGAAACAGGGGGTGAAACGGAATTCCGTTCGTCAATAACAAATAACAGTAAATTGGTTCTAATCGATGGTTCATGATGATAGTTGAAAGTGGTGTTGTTGACTAGAAGGTGGGGATATTCCCCCTTGGCCTGTCACGTGGGTCTGGGAGGCTTGGGCCTCTCAGCCTGGCGGGCGTGTGGCTGGAAGTGCCACACGGCTCCGTATTCCAACTATCGCAACAGAATCCATTCATGTTAGCATATCAGTACAATTCAAAGATGTGATTAATTGACCGCACAACTGACTAATGAGCGAACGGCCGTATATACATATGGAACGTGATGTAGTGTTTTATTCTACTGATAGAAACTAGAATATTAGCGGTCCAGTGCACATATGGTAGTGATTTATCCATTTTGTCTTCTCTTGTGGCATCTAGAGATGCCTTCCACGCGGTTGCACATAAGTCTGTATTGTTAGGCCTTCTATACTCTTAAGCCCTCGAGTAGCTACTTCCCAAGTTTCCTGTCTTACTATCTCTGTGGGTGGCAGGCCTGCCGGAATGTCGTAACACTTCGACATCAGTCGGCTAGGGCATCCAGAGAGCCGGCTGGCGCTGCCTGATGCAGAAGGCAATTGGTTTTCTTGATTGGCGATTTTAATGCTGTTTTTTGTTCACCACCAGGCAGGTGGTAGGGAGGCTGAGCCGATGCAAGTGGAGAGCTAACCCTGACCAGGACTTCGCATTACTTTCACTTTGGCTATTGTAGACCGTAACCCACGTGATTGAGAAAGAAGAAGCGCGCGGCCAACCTCGAGATAGAGGCCAAGTAGACGTTACCAATACAAAGCAACAGGGCACGTCTATACAACTACGAGCTCGATGCATCGCGCTGAGGTAGACTGAAAAGAAATAGGCTAGTTGAATTATGGCTGGACTCTGGCTGATGAAAGTCTGTGTCTCGCATAAATTCAAGAGATTTTGTCAGCGGATGACAGGATACCAAGAAGGGCTTGAAAATCACTTTCCGCGGTCCTCGAAAGGTCCAACGACTGACCTGAACGGAAGAAGTCAAGACATGCCAGCCACGCACTATACACTCTGGGCAAGATTGTCTTCTGTAGTGCAACCGCTTGGAGAATGAAAAGGACCGAGAGGTTATTGACCCCATTGTTATATTAGACATAAGACTTATGAAAATCAGAACTAGGCTGTAACGCCCAGAGAAAATTCTGTCTCACGGAAGCGCGCATTTCGGGGCGATGGAGACGCTGACCAGCATACTTGGTTGAGAAAAAGAGCATACAGAGATTGACTAGCGTTCAGTCAGGTAGATGAAAGGTCGAAGATGATGAATGATTAGATAAATAAAAATCCTCGATTAGATAGATAAAAATTCTCGCACGAGAAGTAGACAAAAGCTGTGAGTATAAATAGAGAACAGAGGCCTAGTCATAAACCAAAGAAGATGAAAATGGTGGAAACTTGGAAGAAAGTTTCTTGGCCTTCGTTTGCTCAAAGGTATCGGAGCCTTAGTGGCACTGAGTTACAAGTGGAAGGTTTCTGGAGCCTACATAATCCACGGCGTAGTTGTTGGAGTGTTATCGACTGTTCATGAACATTGAATGGATGTGTTGTGGTAAAAAGCTGTGCAACCTTGTTATTTAATGGTGGATGTGATGTTGCCTTTTAGATGACGAAGTGAGCCCTGGACCGCGCTGTTGATAAGAAAAAGTACAGAGGGCGGCTAACAGTGGACTCAGTGGAGGAGCTGACGAAAAATCGGCAGCACCTCGCCTAGCTAGGTAGTGCGCCACGCCCAAGATAAGCACCACCCACTATCGTAATGCCCTGCAAATCCACTAGCCAGCAACAAAAGTTGACCCTCGCTGCAATGATGTCGTGTCTCTACGTTTCCGCTCCTTTCGCCGTATCACCAACAGTAGTAGAAGCAATATCCATGGGACCCATCTTAGAGACTTTTGAATTATGCTTCTATATATATAACCAAAAGTTGACTACACAACAACTAAAACCTATAATGCTACGGCTGCGTTCGCATGTTTCGTGCACTCGTCTGCTGACGGGCATTGAGAATGTGGGGCAGATTGCAAGATCTGGGAATAGCTTCTATGCCTAGTGCTTCGGAAAGATGGCTGAAATGGAGTGATAAGAGGATTGAAATACACATGGCTGAAACTCAACTCACTCATCCGAGCTAGCCATGCACCTCTACGTTTTCCTTGGCATGGCTCGTGGTCTGGTACCAAACCCGCACTTCATTCAAAGTACTTGTCACATGGCGGGCCACCGTCCGCTGAAATTGCCCACCTGTTCGACCTTGACGCGCCATGTTAAGTGTCAACATAAGCTTATCCGGGAATACCGATGAAGGACTTTTGAGACACTGGCTTACGAGCATGAGGCCTTGCACAGTTGGTGTGTTGGCTGTTCGGTTGATCATGAACCCCTTGTTGAGCAGCCTGGTCTTAATGCCGGCTTAGGCAACTTTCTGAGCTACCCGGCCAGTCTCCAGTCAAGTTAGCAGAGGAAGATGCTATTTAATTCAGACAGAGAGGAGTCGGAGGAAGACGATGTTATTCGAGGTTGCTCTGCTCGATTCTCGTCAGAGCCTCTCAATGTATGTACGCCTCAAGGCGGCTGCCGCTAATGCAAACTGATGCAAACATTAGTATGTCAATATGTTAGAGTGAGATGAGATCTTCCCTGAGTATTGTCAAGGTAAGGAAGGAGTGTAATTGATGTCCGTGTTGATGGTGGTTTATAATCTGAGGTAACGACCGAGTGTGCCTGGGTGACCTTGCAGTGCTGTCCCCCATAAGTTTAGCAGGTGCCAGAGACCCTGCAAGCTGCTCAGTGAGGCTGCAGGAGCAACGCTCCACCTCCACTGAGCAGGGACCCTGGTACCTTCACTGAGATGAGCATTGACTACCTCTACTGAGGTCAGAATCGACCACCTTCACTGAGTACGGCCCCTAGTACCTCAGGTGAGCTGTACATTGACATTATTGGTTGAGGAAAGGGGGGCAGGTACGTACTGCCTAGCTGCTCCCAGCACGCTCAAGCGGAAAAGAAAAGAAAAGAAAACAGAAAAAGAAACCACAAACTTACAAGCAAGCTAAAGATACTTAGCTGACCTGAGTTGGAGTAGTTCTGTCACACAAAAGCAAGTACCTTTTTCTAGAGTCTTTGAGTTGATCGTCATGTGTGTCTCATGAAGCCTACCTCTAATGCTCTAATCAAATCACTGTATACCGAACACAAACATCAACCCGCTTAATCATATACAGGCTTTTCCGTCACCAACGTGCAGTCCGCAAAGTTGAGGGAGTGTCGGGCGGGGATCGCCTCACTTGTCTTTTCCAGTCGCTGTCGATCATGTCGATGGAGAAGGAAACAAGACGAAGAAAAGTATAAGAAGAAACATGAAAGACGGACATAATGAGCATAGAAATAGTGAAGATAAGTTTCAGTCCATTGAATACTGAGCAAGGTATGACAAGCCGGCAGAAACGGTCCTGGTGCGAATCCCAATTTATGCATCCTCATTACATCAGCAAGTCACATTACTGTCAGAGTTGTGCATCTATGACCCACTAGCAGGTAGGTAGGTATGGAGCATATTAAAACCCCACGAATATGTCCTTTTCCAAAGGTAGCTTTTATTCCATTTAGCCATCCTGCCACCTCTTATCGAAACGATCTTATCAGCTTCAGGCACCGTTATCGCGTCCACTTCCCAAACCGCAACGAGGTTATCTGCCTCAGTGCCCAAATGTTGAAGTAACCGATTCGTGTCTTTATATCTATTACCAATGCTTTAGGAGCCGCAGTGCGAGCACCGTCAACCTGAAAAACTCACTGCAAGAGGCAAATCCCACTTTAGGAGTGATATGCAATCTCAGCTTATGTATAGACTCGTGGACAGGTCGTACATGGCCATACCTGAGCTCAGTAAGACAAGATAAGATAGGCTAACAGACGATAACAGTACCTAATACTCACAGGTTGCCAGTGCTCGCAGGCACGTACACCTACTCTTGCTTAATCCGTGACAACACCGCATCTCCTCCTTCTTGTAGGCACGTCATACTCCCATCACAGAATAGACAATCATGCCTTAACTGTTATCTTGATTAATCCCATCCTCATATTTAGATCCTGTGTGACTCCAACAGACATGCGCCCATCTGGGTGTTAAAAGTAGGCGCACAAGCTCTGCCGCGTTGGAAAGCTCATTTCTAAGCATCAATATGCCTCTACCTGATGCCGAAAGCTTCATTCTGGCTATCGAGGACCAACTCGGCGATGTTAATCAACGGCATCTTGATTTCCCAAACACGCAGAATGACAGGTCTGCAGATCTCCAAGACATAAATGACAAATACATTCGAGATCATCTCAGCACTGCACTGGCAAGCTCTGCCTCTCATGACACGACCATGGCCCAACTGGGCAATACCAAGCGCGAGGCCGGGAAGAAGAAGGGAGATATCACCATATCTAGAAGCAAACTGCGGAGTCGCCCCGATTCTTCATTTTTTTCACACACACAGCGGGCAACAATATCCACCACGTCATAGTATGATTGTTCTGGCGTTGGATGATGGCGCCACTCAAAGCCCACCTGCAGTTTACGATTTAGAAGAGTTTGCCCACACCATGAAAGCAAGAAGGACAAATACCAAGAGCAGGCCCCGAGGAAAGCAAGTGTAAGGTAAGTATAAAAGCAGGACGCCATGGAAAGTTTGAAGCAGATCTTAGAAACTTTTATAAGCCTTCGCTCCCGTACTAGTCTTGATGCAGCCGTTGCTAGCTCGTTTACTAATAATCACGAAGTAGACAAATCCATTATACCTAACAACCTTAAGTTGTTACCGCCTCCTGACTGTCATACGAAAAGCTTTCGAGTTAAAATCAAAGAGATAGAAAGGGAGCAGGATGGAGGGGCGCAAGGCATAGAATAGGCGGGAAATAAATGCAAGCCACATTGGACCCTACCTTTTCGCTGACCTCTCCGATCAGCGACAGAGCCAATTCAACCTGGGATTCCGGCTATTGTAACCTTTTTGGATACATAAATCTGAAATGAGATATAAAATACATAGATCGAAACATAGAATGGCATATTAAGTTATTTATAGCTCACATTTTACCTATAACACAGCCATAATCAACAAAGAATACCAAAAGCCAGGCATCTTAGGTAGGAGAAAGGGAAGAATATTGGAAAGATGCTAATCCCCAAGATTAAGCAGGGAGCATGTAGGGAAAAGACCGGATAGAGAACAAATTATATAACCCAAAGTAATGGAGAGAGAGGCTGCTGGATATTCGGTAGAAAGAGCACATAAGACGTCTAACAGAAATAGTAAACTGTTGTAGAAGCTTTATTGCCCAGGATAATCTGGAATGTGATCGCTATTTCTTAGTGACGTTCGGTGTTCCGAAACCCTTGGCCAATGCATACTATTGTCTGTTCTCTGACTTTGATATAACACTCTACATTGTCATCTTACTGAACCATTAGCCGTGATAAACTATCCCATCTCCACCGTGAAGAGCAGAATATATCATCGCACCAGGCAACATGGCGGAGTTCATCATCCTCCAGGATACCCCAACTCTCAGGATGAAGTTTCATTGCCCAGCAGGTCCGTCGCGAATGCTGGCGATGATTCTTTGGCAGTGTTAGATCATAGGCCCCATTCAAAGCTCGTATCGTAAGAGTAACAGCCGAACCACATCGAGCCCAACTATAGTGAGCATCGCAAACAGTGCATTCATAGCGATGTTGATCAAAAAAATATGTTGGCATGAAATATCCAGCGCGGCTTGGTACCTTGGCAGCAGTACAGCGGCAGCAAAATATGTCGGTACCAGTACAATTATGATCAATCCATCGCGCGCTATTGAAGCACGCGCATAGATTCGGGCAAAATGGGAGTAGCAGCTGCCCGTCATCAACCGTGACATGAGGGCAGAGCATTTTTCCTAGTATGTGTGCATTTGCTGTCAGCCGTTCCTGTAAGAACGCCCGGGTTACGGGGATTTGGTGGTGAAGCCTAAACAAGAGGACTGTGGCATAAGACCTGACTTCCAGAGAACTGTTTTTGTGAAGGATAAGATTTAAGTGAGGCCTCCCATGCTGGATGAGTTTGGAGTCGTATGGATATTGCCAACAGTGTTCCCAGGAGGTACATGACAGGAAATGATCGGAGTGTCGACATACTTGGTATGGCTCCTTAGTCGAAGGGTTGGGCTTCAGGTTCTTGACAGAACTGTACCCTATAATCTCATGTTTGCATATTTGTGCCTTTCCTTCAGCCAAGATACAGACTCGCGTGGCCGGGGAGGCGGCTCGCTGCCGGGGAGAAAAGACAGGACGCTTGTGAGGCTCGTTACAGAAGGAACACCAGAGAGTGCTCTGTAGCGCCTTCATTGCGTTATCGTATTTCCCACTCTTTCGAAAAGTGAGACAGGCATTACAGTACCTGTCTCTATCCAAGAGATTTCGGTCGGGAAGCCTGAGCCGAGGCCAGGGTTCAACACTGCGGGCTGGGAGTGAGTACCAAAACCTCCATTGAGGCGTCTTGCTGTCCAGTGTTGGGTCAAATATGATTCTCATGAATAGTCCACAGGCACGCTGGACGATACCTTTTGTTGCATCATCCAAGTTACTGAGAATCAGCAACAAAAGCTCATCCGGCAGTCGGTAGAAGGCGCAGTGTGTCAAGTTGGTCCTTCGAGCAGATACCCATGGTGGTTCGTGTTCACCCACATCACAGGTGCGGTACGATGAAGAACACCACTCTTTGACCCGAAGTGACAAGTCTTTCAACTTGGCTGAGATAGCAAGTACCGATCGATTCTGTGTTGTCTTGTCGAGAGCCCGACGAACGTTGCTATATTGCAATGACATTGTCGAGTCTTGACCGCTGGACGCGGAGGAACGAGAATAGAGCGAGCTCATGAGACCCTAAGGGAAGTAATGCAAGAGAATGAATGTACTCTGTCAGAATGTGACCGGTGCTTCATTAATTCCAGTAACTGAATGTTATTTTATGAGTGTCTCGGCGGGCCTTTGGAGAGAGTGGTAATTTGTGTAGAGTTAGGCCTCGACAAAAAGCACCTAGGCTTGGGTTCTTTCAGCGGATTATTTTGATGGCGGTCACTGTGTCGGTTCAGATATAATAGACTGTTTGGTTGGACAAGGGGCAGGTATATAGATGTATTTTAGGTGAAGCTTTTACAGCACGGTTTGAATTTTGCCCCCGGAGTGTGGCGCTCTTGAGTCCTAAGTAAACCTGGAATATTTAAAACTTTAAACGATCTCATTTGGGTATGTAAGGCTGGCTGCTCGAAAGCTTGATTGACGAGAAGGAATAGCAACCAAAGCATTTAGCCACCAATTTGTTCATCTATAGGAAAGAGATTACCTAGAGGGATTAACTCTTAATAGAGATTTCTGCTAGGAGACCTGGCCTTTGTGCATCGCCGAAGCTTTGTGCTTTGAGACAGCACCACTACCAGGAGTAAAAGGCTTTCAAGAGAGGTTGTTTGTCTAGAAAGGCTTCGCTGCTACTTAAAGTTTGCCGTTAAGCTGGTTATCTGCTCGAGGAAATGGCTGTCGAACAAACTCAAACTCTAAGAGAGTTTGTTATCGCCGTAGGTTAGTACCCAGGGGACGTATTTTGCCGAGTGAGCAGCTACGGAAGATGTCCCTCTGCTATGAGGATCGCTTCCAAGAATGATCGCGGCTAGTTGCAGGAGAATCCTCAAACTCGGAATCGATATAGCTGCTGTGGACTTCAACCGTGCCAGGGCGTAATCAAGGACCTGTTTCCAGCGGCCGAAGTCCGGCTGCTTCCTCCACAGCGTACCCGGTGCCTTTGGAGGTCAGCGTTGAAAACGTCCTACACTTGCCGATGTAAAAGTTGTCTTTGAAGATAGGGAGGTGCGTGAGAGAACAGAGGGTGAAGCAAATGTCACCCCAAGATTGGAAAAAACAGTAATGTCACTAATGCTACGTCCGCAGGTCAGGTAAAGTATGAGCATGTGTGGGCTGAATTAGGGGCTAGCATACAGGTAGCTGTGGTTCCTTAAACTGCCAACCGGAATAATAAGTTCATCTAGCGCAACTCTGCTGATCTTGATTGTGTCCATTATAATATAAAGAATGGACGGGGGGTATCTAAATCATATCTCATTAATCATGTTTACTCCTCATTATGCTCCCAGCTCCACAAGTTTTTTTTCTCCTGTCCTTCAACAGCAAGATGCTCCTCTTGCAATGCATGCGACATTGCCGAGACCCTTGAGAGGACCGCCGTCCGTCTGGTTTGCAACACCCGCAACTCCTTCATCTTGTCCTCCATCATGCGAACCATGTCTGGATTCGCATCGGCGCAGGCCCGGATGCTGCTCGCCGCAGATGAGTACCTGGCGTAGTCGGCTTGGATCTCGTCGATGAAGTCGGTGGACTTTCGTGTCTTTCGGAGACGAGGGCTCCAAAGACCGGTGCCGACCTTGCAAAGACTGGCCCAGAGCTCGGCGGCGGCGGCCAGTGTATCTTTGGCAAGCGTATGCCGCTCGTGGGCCTCACAGAGTGCCTTCTTGACCGAAGCCTCGTATGCGGCCACACTTCTCTTCCACGAAGAGAAAGCCTCCTTGGTGATGTCGCCTGATATCGGAAGGGGTGGTTTGGCCGTGATCTTGGACGCCGGCAACACCAGGCCTCTGGTGGGCTCACTCGACGGGAGGAAGAAGCCCTTTGACATGATGGAATCACCAGTCGCAAAGGCGGAGAGGACACGACGCCAGAGGGCATAGTCGGGTACGTCGTCGGGCATGTCGAGACCGGCCACAACGCATAAGGCATTCACCATGACGGCAACACCGCAGCTGGAGCCGTCGGTTTGACGTGGACAGGCTTCCCAAGAATAAAGAATCTCGCCACTCTCGTTGCCGTCGCTACCCGACTGTTGTGCTCCGCGAGCTTTCAGACACGCAGCCACACCATGCAGCCTCGCCTTCAGCTCCGAGTCGTTCGTTGCTGATGGGAGCGAGTCGAAGATGGAGATGGTGTTGCCAGAGGCGACAGCAAGCACCCAGTGCTGGGAGATGCGCGTGAGGTTGACAGGGGCTAGGATGACCGAGTCGGGGCGAGAGCATATCTGCTTCTCCAATTTTGACGGCAACGGTTGATCTGGTATCGCCAGCAAAGGGTCCACGAGTTGAACTGACAGCGGGCAGAGAGAGACAACCATGTTCAACACATGGTATATGAATGTACCATCGACCAAACAGCCGGGGGCGATTGAATCAACGCTGAAATGGGCAGGAGGTATAGTGGGTGGAACGGCATCTGGCAGAGGTCGAGAGGTTGCTTGTCTCTTTGGGGCTGGCTCCGGAGAGGCACTTCTCGATCGTTTCCGCGGGCTCACAATTGGTGGACTTGAGGGGCGGTCTTGAGGGCTGTTGTTGACTGGTGCCGGAACAGGGGAGTCATTGGGGCGAGTTGGCGATGGTGTGCTATGCTCGCGTAGGTTCGTGGTCGGACTTAGGATTGGTAGAGTTGCGTCGTCATGGTCATGACCTATGCCGCGGGGACTCGAAAAGGATGCAAGATCGGGAGGCGACGGCGGGTTGGTGTCTCGTGCCAATGAGCCGGCAGCATCGTGTAGGAATAGCCGATTGCCTGCAAGAGGCTTGGTCTGAAGAGGCAACAAGGGCGATTCGATGTCATCGACGGATGAGCGCGCGCGACGGGGTTGCTCTGGGCTGCTTAGACGTGAATTGGGTCTTGCATCCTGTTGTACCTTGGTAGGGAGGGAGACGGAATTGACATTTGTGCGCTCGTCATGGTGAGAAGAGTCCAGGAAGCCATCATCGACGGGGTCGTCATCGAAGGACTGGTCCGGAATGGAACCATTGACGTGGTGTTGTACATCGGGCTCATCTTCTTGATCTGCATCCGAATCACCCTCGTCACCAACCTGGTGCGGAGGCGTCTGGAAGTAGGAGTCTCGTGGCTCGTCACCTCTGTCAGGCTGGTCTTGGCCAACTCGCTGGCGGGACATGCGAGCCCAAATGTTGGAGAGTGCCCTTCCCGTGTACTTGATGCCGAACAATTCGCCGCCGTCGGGGGACCACAGGGAAGCGGGATCACGGTTGGCCTCTTTGGTCCACCTCACGATCTTTCGAATGTTGAGAATGTTCTCGTAAGAGATGGATTCGACAGCGACGCCAGCGGGCAACCAAATGCGACCGCCGAGGAGGTCATCGAGTTCTTTGTGATACTTTGCCAGATTGTTGACGCAGCGCTTGCGACTGGAAGAAGTCTCGAGATTGCGGGCGATGCGCTTCTGGTCCGAATTGAAGTCTTCCATGATGAGCTTTCTGGCGTCGCGTAGCTTGGGACCATCGGCTACAAAATTGAGGCGCACAGAATTGGCGGAATCGGCAGTGTACTGGGCGAGGGCAGTCTGAAGGTTGTTGTGAAGGCTTGCGATGGGTGCCAAGCGGTCGATGAGGGCTACATCGGACAGAAAGTTGCTGTACTACGCGACGTCAGTCAAGTGTCAATAGACAAGATTGGGGAGATTAGACAAAAGGAAGAGGAGGAAGAAGAAGAAGAAGAAGAAAAAGAAGAAGAGAAACACGGAGAGAAAAAACAGAGAGTGAGAGGAAGCTCTCCATACCAGTGCAAGCTTATTATTAGTCGGCTTTTCCTGAGCAGCAGCAGCAGCTTGGACTCTTTGTGGACGCGGAGCCACCTGAATGGGACTCTGAATGGGATGATCAGGGGTGTTCATTGGAATGCGCGCGCAAGGCTGGTTGTCGACTGCCTCGAATTTATGGTGATGTTGCAGCGATTGTCGATCGTGGTTGTTGTTCGAGTGATTGTTGTGAGTTGAAGAAAGACAACGGCGATTCCAATGGTTGTGGCAGTAGTAAAAAGGCAGCAGCTGCCTGCGCGGGCAGACGCGACTCTGAAGGCAACAACGATCGTGGTTGAGTTTGCATTTTGCGATGTTTAAAAAAAAATCAATGTAATGAAGCTGGGTGAAGCTCAGTCATGGAAGGAAGGTGGGAGGCTAGAATGACATAGCGAATATCGAAAGAGTGGAGCTATTGACCAGAGTGCCATGAGTCTGACCAGAGGATAATGGTGCCTGACCAGATATGTTGTTGCCTGACCAGAGCCAATATCTGGTCAGACCCACTATCGTATGGGTCTACATTTTCAGTGGAGGGAATTGGATCCACCTCTAGCTTAAGTAAGTTCCGGCCCCGTGCGGTTGTCTAAGCCCAACGACAAATAACCCAAGTCGTCATAATCCAAGGACGAGGCTTCAATGTATTGCATTTGCATTATGATCTTATAAAATGGCGAGCAATCATGGGGAACCTCAGTACTCACGCGACGAGTTCGTCGCTGCTTTGACGTCTTACTACGAATTTCTCACAGAAATCTTTCTCCCAATGTCCGTCTTACAACACCCTCCCCCCAGCGGATGGGATCATATTGCGTCTGACTATAAAGATGAGGCTGTAGTCGACCTAATGCGGCATATTCCATATATTAGATATGATTATGTAGACAAAGGTAAGCCGTATATGATCTACGAGAGATGTATGGCTGCCGACTACGCTGGTGAGATTGGTAGAATGGAGTCTACTCGTTATGACAAACGGGCGCTATTTGAGCCCGGACCGGAAATTGAACAGCTTAGCGATATCCCATCTTATGTATATTGTTTGGGAACTATAGCTGGAGGAAGTTGGTATGGGAACTACATCTTCGTTGATACTCGACGTGGCACGGTCACTGTGTGCGATTTGAACAATGGGGCTAAACCGACCGAACTCTCAGAGGAGCCTGAGAACGAGGGAGATTGTTGGAGGGAACATGAGACTTATCCAGCCGTCAAATTCTTCGAAAAGCTCAAGGAAGAATGGCGTCAATTCAAATTGGTAGGTTATAAAACCATCCGTTGCCGGCAAGATCTGTATCCGCTGGGATATTCCTACACAAATCATACTGACTGATACTTACAGATTGCTTGCTCTCGAAAGACAGTCGTGAAATGGGGAAATGGTGATGAGAAGCTTGAACTTATCAAAAAGATCTACGAAGAAGAGGGTTTATTCACTAGTGCCTATGATTTGGAGAGATGTATGCGTAGGGTTGAAGCAGTAGACTTTTAACGTCCAAACCCAAGCTCAATTGTAGCGTTTTCAAAGTTACTGCAAAAAGGTTTACTGCAAAGAAATTAGCTGCTTAAAGTTAGTGATGATAACCGTGACGACGGAACCGCAGATGTGACTAGTGGTTAGGCTTGGTTGCTTCTGCCTGTGATGTTTCTTCAGGGCTAGTTTTGGAGGTTCGCGGTACATCTAGCTGACTTGCGGCTGGACTGTGATGCTTCTTTTGCCTAAGTAGCTTCTACATTGAGGTTGACAGACGGAGCCTGGAGCTCTAGCTCAGGAAGGCCGGTATTGACAATGTCTCCATCCCCAAAGATCTCCCACTCTCTAGTGGAGAGATCGTCGACACTGTTAATGGCCCTGATATGGTCTCTTAGATCTTCTACACCCCAACGCAATGAGTTGGTTTCTCTTACGCCAATATCGCCCTTTGAAATAACAATCAATTTTGGTTCGTCCTCGTTCTCATCAGACCGCTTCGTTGGAAATGTGTAGTCCGGTGGCATTTTGTCATTGGGGAACTCGCGGCGAAACTTCCTTTTGTATCCGTCCAAAAGCACCTGCGGAGGAGACTTAAGGAAGCACCATGGAGTCATGGCTAGGTCTTCCGGCTGAAGGATTGCGGTTTGATACCAGAGATCATCCGTAAGAAGAGGGTAACCTCTCTCTTTTGGTAGGATATCCAAAGGCTAACAATGATATCTAGCAAACCCTAGTCATTATAAAACGGCGACTCCTTGACATTAAAACAATAGAGATCTAGCGTGAATACCGCACGCGAAGTCGGCCTCGTATTGTTTTATCGTTGATGTTGTCGTTCTTCAGCTGAACATTGCCTCTGCCACCATCATTGTTCGTGTAAAACCTTACAATGAGCGATGATCCAGCACCTCTGTTCTCCTGTCCAGGAAGCCAACGTATAACCTGCCCACTACGAAGAAGATTCTGAGGGGCTCTGTAAGCCATAAAATATGCCGGCGGTCACTCATCCGCTTGACATGTCAAAGTGGTTGTGTATTCGCCTCCAACTTTCACTCGGAGGGAATAAGTCGATTTTCAAATCTCTTCCATCTGTCGTTGTTCTGTTGTCTGTAACAACCACCAACCGAAAACAGCTTAGTGACGCGCGTATTGTGGTCCGAATAAGCCATGAGGTCCCCAAGGTGATGAGGACCTCTAATAATATTAGTAGCAAGCCTGGGTCCAGTGTTTCCAAGAGCAAGTCTTTGTAATTGTCTTGTAGATGCATGTAGATGCTGTAATCTGCGTAATTGTCACATCAACCGGACGCGCTGTATTACCTGAAGCTTTTCTTAGAATTACGTCTAGGATGTTTTGCGTGGCTGCAATCTTTAATCCAGTTCCTTCTGCTTGTCTTTTGCTTTCGTCCACGGTTGTCAATGTCGTAGGCCGCCATGACGGTTTCGCCCGCCATGCGGGGTTACCAGCGTTACCTTTTCTACCAGATCCCTTGGCAATTTGCTCGGGGTTCTCCAGCCAGTAAGTCATCAGATACACCTGAAAAAATGCCGACCACTCTCTTGATATCATTAAGTACCAAAACCTTGCCCTAATACCAGCTTAGACAAAAGTCAAAAGCACCCGCCGGGTCCAAACTATAGTTATAGACATGCTTCATTGTCTTCGTCGCATTGATTCCAATAGCTATTTTCTAATCGTATTAGTCGGCTTATGGAAGTTCCTATGGGTTTAAAGTCAAGACTGCAGATAACTCATCAAGCGCCACTGTCAACCCCTCGCCGATTAGGTTAATTGCGCCTGTTCCCAACTCCTAACACCAACTTGAGCGTAGATAGCATGAAGCACCCGATCTATAAGTTAGATCAGTTTGACTACGATAGATTCCCAAAATAGCACTTATCTGAGCGAGCATTGGTAACGCTCCCATGACCGTGTTTCCGAACCAATTAACCAGAGTATTGTTAACCAGAGCATTGTCGCAGGAATGCTTGCTTTCGACCGCTCTATAATCGACACCGGCTTCTAAAGTCTTTTAGTAAGCATGAATTATTAGAACATGACGTAAAAAAACATCTGGTTCTGGTTCGATCCATGGAATTGGTTAATCAAGGGGGTAAAAGCCGATGCATCCGAATGATGTGAGCCTGTGAGCTTCCTTAGCCTCCCCAATTTCCTTCTTACAAACACTCTCACAAAAGGACGTGGTCAAGACATGATTTGGGGAATCAAACAACAGACAACGCTGCTTGGTGAGCCATCGAGGGTCGTTAAACGGATTCAGGTTGCTGGGGTCGACAACTGCAGGCTTCGATGGCTGCGGCTTGTTGGCTCAGACGGCTCGGGTAGATCGGGCTCGTCGGCCGGCATAATACACTTCCTTTCTTCCTTTCAGCGAAACGTCCACTTTGCAATTCTCCTCGGACCAAAAGTTATGATTGCAAGCCGAACTGCACAGCCAGTTGAAGGTACATAATTTGCCAGCAAGGGGTACCCGTCAACGCCAATCATCTTCGGCTCGACAGCTTGGGCGCCCCATAGCATTGCATGTAAGCGGACCCAGTGGACAGTAGCGGTATTTGCAAATGAGCTCACAAAGCTGTTTATAGTCCGCTTCTCCCGTTCCTTCAACCCAGACCATCTCACAAAGCGACAGCTTCGGGCTGGCGGATGTCGAGGCGGATGTTTGCACGCCCCCAACCCATTAGTTCCAACTGCTGATACCTTTCTCACAGCTATTCGTAGTGGCGGGCACGTCAACTCGTGCAATGGCCGTTGAATCATGGAAAGATTCAACAATACCCGCACCAGTACGGCTACTAAAGGGCATTTCGCCATGGCACCAGCCAATCATAGGGGGAGGACATGTGTCCAGTTAACACTTGTCCCTGAGAAACTTAGCTTTACTCGAAGGCATGATATCTATATCAAAAGAGCCGAGACGAACATCTTATCCTAAGCATAACCTGATGGATCACCCTCCCGCTGTTGTTGCGAGCCTGTGTTGCCAACGGTACCACCACTAGCGCAGTGTGCCCTGGCTTAAGCCGATACCAGACAAAAATGCCCTTTTCCCAATGGACGCTTTGCCGTTTTTATAAAATCAATCACAAAGAGAAGAAACTGGCGCCAGGTGTCATGAGGACGCCCCAAAGCATAATTGAATGGGGATTGTCCAACCTCAAATGCTGACATTGCCTTCTTCAGGATAGGTCCGATATGATGAGACTCCCGTAGTCATTCCAGGAAAATGATTCGTACGTATTCTGGTATGATAGACCGAACATGGTTCCATCGATGAAACCGTAAACTGTCTCCATGCCATGGCCAGGTGTTGTTTTATCTAAGAAGATTAGTGAAGAACAAAGGCGAAATTGGCATCATATAAGGACGTGTAGAAGCTAAAAAGTTGCGATAAGAGGCGTCGATTTCTGTCGACTTTCGAGTTGGCCCTTCTGGCCACGTAGCCTCACTGAAAAGCCCATCCACAACTCCAGTTGCAACAGATGTTTTGGCACGTAGGAATGAGTAGGATAGGACAAAAAGTGCTCCTGTCTGCTTCTTAATGTCGATCCAGTCGCCAGACTATTTGGGGCCTCAAGTGTGGACACAAGAGACTGACCTGTAGCATAGTGAAAGTACGAAAGTCTGGAAGAATACAAAGTAGCAAACTCAATACATCGCCCTTAAGCCATGGCCCGTTTCCTACACAGCCAGCTGAGAAAACAAACTTGGAACCAGCTGTATCAGCGGCGAAAAACAGCATGTCGATAATGTCAGTGTGTGTTTCCTCGGCGTAAGCAATAGTCAGCGCGAAATAGTCAATGTGCGCTTCCTAGGCAAGACGGATATCGTTGTAAAAGTCAGATGTGTCTTGATATTCGGTATTCATAACCTAGAAGAAAACTTCTTCCGGAATCAGTTGATTCCATCTTGATTTTTCGGTCTTGGGTATTAGAGACTTGCCATAGACTGCGTAAATACTGCTTTAGTCGTAATCTATAATGGCACTGCCAAAGTGGCACAAAGTGCCACACTCAGGCATCTCATTTTACTAAACCGTAACGAAAGCATACTATCCAAAAGAGGAAACTAATCAAGAAGTGCGACGACGTCCTTGCCGGACTGAAAGAGCGATGTTCCAAGGAATGAGGGGAGAGGTATGACCTATATCAATGATAACGGGCAGATATCGCGTATATGTAGTGATCTGTGGATTAATCAAAAAATTGAGAAGTTGTTCAAGAGCACTTGGACGGATCAAAATTTTGCGGATGATTACTGGGTCTCCGTGTTGTGAAGCTATTTGACTCGCTCAAGACCGCAAAGAGAACAGCCAACATTTCAAGCTCCCAACAAGGAAGTTAAGGAGAAAATGGCGAAGGTACAATTTGGAGACAACGGCAGCATCTAAAACATGTTTGTTATCTCGCCAGTATGGGAGAATACCGTTGGCTTCACTTCTAAGCCTTTTCGATTATTAAAGAAGAATATGAAGCGACTCAACGGCCGAGGTTTTATGGAAGAGCTTTTGTAGCAAGGCTAAATAGTTTGCGACTATTCTGATTGGGTAAGTCGCCTGCGATAGATTTTGATATTCTGTCTAGCTTCAAGAGCAAGTCAGTAGTCTATTTTCTTGACTGTTGGCGGCTAGTGAGAAACGAACTCACACCCATCTACCATTGACACAGTCTTGGATTTACAAAAGACTACGTCTCACTGGCAAGATTAAGAGATGTTCTGTTGGAACAAAGATTTGTGGGGTATTACCACCGGAATTATGTTTTATCTGAAGCAACTATCCCACACCATAGCGATCTCACACATTCGATTTACGCCAACACCTAATTATCCTTGAATGGGAGGCTACTAGTAGCAAATTGAGCCAAGAGGCCTAAATCAGTCTTTAAGGAGCTACAAAAGGCCATGAGGTTGCCAAGTTGTGATGCTCACTCGCCTACCAGCATGCTTCATGGCCTTATCAGACCGCGGATGCCGAAAAAGCTAGTCACCTAATACCGCCAGAAAAACTGTCGAAGCGCTCAGATAAGCAAGCGGACTTTTCATTGATGCAAAAAGCTCTTGTTGATAGCCATGCTACTCTTAAGGTAGAAGAGTTCATCAATATCGCAGTTTTGCAGATGAGCAATGTCACCTTTATATACTACAAACAGGATGCTATTGTTAGTATTGCTTACTAGGTAATTGGTATGCATCTTGAGATTTTGGCCACTACCAAACGAGAGAGATTAAGCTGAAGATGTTAACTGATCATAAAAGCAGTGGTTGCGGCCGGATATGTTAGCCTGGTACTAAACACAGCTAAGCGGCTGGAGATATTCGAAGGTAATCAACCGCAGGCATATATTGAAGTCTTACTGACCTACCCTCGTTGCTTGCAACAAAGCTGTGGGAGATGGTATTGAAGGGGGTAAATTTCATCAGTATGCCGTTCGCCACGTTAGAACGGATTACACTTTCAATTCATTCTACGACTGGGCTTCTAAATGCAACATCGACATTTAGCGCCGCCATTAATATTGAATATATAATCAAGACAGAAGACTACCTGTCTTGTCGACTGGGTGGTAATTCTAGGTACTTGACTTGGAGATTTATAACCTCCATTCTATATCGACCCGGACAGGGAGCGCCTCAGGTGAGAAGGAAATATCTCTCTCTTGGCCATGCTTATACAACTCCGACAAGGCTTTGAATGTCTGTACATCATCGACATTCATACTGTCGAAAGCGCAGCATTTTAGTAACCGGCAGTTGTGGCGAGAGCTTCAAATACATCTTAGAATCTCCCAAATTTCTGAAGATCTATTTTTGAATTAGGAAAGCTTCAGATGCGCTCCATGTTCATTGCTAGATTAAAGTGAAAGACTGTCCGTCCGAGGTGTTCCACTATGGAGAGCGCTACTCAGTGGACTACAGACTCTCGAAGGTTGATTTTGGGCATCCTTGGAAAGGTCTTGCATGGGCAAGAGAGTAACCAGCAGAGGCTTTCCAAGGATCAGGTTGAACGTTGTGGAACTCTCGAAAGAAGGCTTCTACAGCATATCAAATATACGGCTACTCTTAAACGAGCTGATCGCATACTGTGGTGGTGATGCAAAGCAACTGCCATCCAAGTTGAATAACTTCCGTTGTGGAATATTTCGATTGATCTGCCGTATGATACTTGGAACTGCTTGTAGCCCAGTGATTCAGCAAGCGACGCGCCTTCGCTAGCGGCTACGGTTGGATAGACTGTTGGTTCTGCCGACCCTGACGAGTGTGATACCCTTCTCATGAACGGCGGTAAGCTTTTCCGCCTCCAACAAGATGAATCCAGCAAACTCTCATTGGATGCATGTACAATAACGTAGAAACATAGTATTCATTCCGACAAGTTTATTCTTTCCAAATTATAGATGTCCATTCTTGCGTAAATCCCTGCCCCAGCTTTGTACAATCAACAATACCATCAGCAGTGTCAAGGGCGCTTTTCTACGAAGCTCTAGCAAGTATCAATTTCCACATACTATTAGCGATGCCCTTGACGACATCTTTGTGTTATTCCATCTACTTCAGGCATTGCGAGACATCTGCTATGTCGCATTTAACCACCGACAGCTTTGTACCCTAACGATAACAAGGTGAAGAGTCACTCGGCTTCACTCGGCTTTGCTCTTGCGACTGTGGATGGAGAACCGGCTGGACGTCTGACCAGAGTTCAATTCTGGTCAGGCACAAATTTATGTGGGTCTGTACTTACAGGGGCGTTGATCCGCCCCTACCATGTGTCTTATCACATGGTGGCATGTCCTACCAGTTAGCCAGCTGGGCGAATAATATAATGAATTAGAAAAGACTATCTAAATAAATATTTTTTTTTTTTTTAATTTTTAAATTTTAATAGACAACGTACTAATCTTATTAATTTAGCTTAGGAAACTTTAGTAGGATTCTATTAAATCTAAGGAAAATATCTATACTTACTACCTAAAACAGCTGCATTAGTATTATAGCTTAAGCTAGTACTATGTAGTAATACTCTGAAGCATCTGTTCCATTGGTACTGACCTGCCTACTACTATTTCTAATAAACTCTAACCCCTGTCGGATCCACTCTTTCCGTTTGGTGCGATTTTCATTAAACTCTACCCTTGTTGAAATAGAGTTCGTTGTGGACACACCCTTAACCAACGGAAGCATCCTTAACCTACGGAAGCACCCTTAACCTGCGGAAGAACCCGCGCATTAGGCTAAGGGAAAGTTAAATTTCATTTCTATTACAGTTTGATATATATCTTAGAAGTAATATATCTTCATCCTCTCTTTGTATATATGTTAACTAACTTAGTAATCCCAAAATTCTATCTTTCTCCAACCCCGTCAACTTATGCCGTCGATTTACATTATGGCTGATCGACTAAAGCTTCTCCAACCAATCAATCTTTCATTTTCTCTTCTCAAATAAAGACGTCCCCACAAAATTTCTCTGTCCATCCAGAAACTACACCGTCAGAGGCGCCATATGAGAGCAGACCACTAAGGTACCTAGTGGTGCATGCCCATGTCAGCAACGAAAGCAAGATCGTCACAGTCAAGTGAATACGAAAGTTTCCGACGGTGCTTTTTTTTGGTATGCAACGTTTGAAAGTTTTAATTGTCGGATTAGACATCATATACAGGGATGCTGGCTTCGCACGAGCGTAACACCGTACATCCCTAGTCAATCAGATCGCGGGGATTAATCTCGCGATTTGACTGTCAAATACTATTGGGTAGACGCCATGGAACCATTATTGGCTGTCAACACTTCCCACAAGCTGGTCGATGGGCGTTCCGGATAGCTCCAGTGCACAATTATGCACAGGACCATAAAAGAAACAGTGGATGTTTAACAATGCAGCATGGCCATCTGAGAACATAGATTCCCATGCAGTAACCAAATGAGCATTTCTATCTGGTGCACAAGAACCTGCAGTTTGCCATAAGATCTTCCATATTACCCTTATCGGTCACGTCGCAGAACCTGATCAAGCCACAGTTTCCACTCATACTCTACCTATGTTCCATGATTGAGTTTCTGCCAATGCTATAGGCGACCTAAGCAGTTCTGCACTAATTGGGAATGTGAAAGCCGGATGGTGTCAAGAAGCTGACAGTGTGAGTTAACTAGTGAAAAATCAGAGCCCCAGTTCTAGCCTGGCTACGAATGCAAAGGGTCACAGGCTTATATCCTCAGTGAGAGCAACATCCTTCCAAGCTTGCGAATGTAAAGACACAGCCGTAGTTCTTATCGGAAATCTTGTCACTGTACGCCAAATATTCGACCATGGCGGTGTCGTAATTGCCCACAAGCCCCAATTTTGAAAAAATGAAAAATGCTATTATATGGAGAGCATTATTGAGGCCTAGCTCAGGTTAATAAACGCGGCGAGTCCTCGAGATCACCTTACCTGAGTCAATATCAATCATATCGGCAACGGAGCATTCCGCTATCCACTGAAAGCTAACCCGGGTGTAATGTGAACCTTGTCAACATGTAACAGCAGTTAAATGCAGTTCAAGAGCTGACTCGATGCATTTTGAGTCGAGTTGAAGTAGTAGCCGTCTTTTGCGATGCTTGAAAATTTAATTTGTGGTACTTGATCCTCCCTAACGTATGGCTTTGAACTACTTTACTTTGTTACTTCACTATACACCACTAAAGAATATTGCTCGCAACTCTTCCATTTTTGTTCAATCCCAGCATTTTCATTTTTCAGTCTCAAATTGCCACTTGCGATACCAAAATGCGTCGCATTCCTACCCAACCAAGACCTAATGTCATTCGACTCGTGAAAAGCCAAGGCCTGGTATACGCTGACTATAAGGCATACGAAGACCCAGACCCTTATTGGCCGGACAATCGGTATTACTCCTTCACGTCGGAGGAAATCGACCTTCTCGAGCAGGCCTCCAAAGATGTGTTTGATATGTGCTGTGAAGCAGCCGATTATCTGGTAGATCATCCTGATGTAATGGTTGGCAAGATGGCCATACCTCCGTTCACGCTGAAGCACATCACCGAGTCTTGGAATCGCGAGCCTGCCTGGGGAAGCATCTATGGGCGCTTTGACGTTTGCTTTGGCGGTCTAAGCCATCCGGATGAGCGACTACGTACGCCAAAATTTTATGAGTTTAATGCTGATACTCCGACCACAATCGTAGAGTCAGCATCTATTCAATGGCTTTGGCTACAGCAAACCGGATTGGGAAACGATCAATATAACAGCATAACCGAGTGCCTTGTGGCGGGATGGAAGAGAAATCTTGAGCTCATTGGTAATGAACTCGGCCACAAGCCAATTGTCTATTTTGCAGCCTGCAAAGAACCGAGCGGCGAAGATGTTATGAATACTCTTCTTCTGGCGGAAACATGCAGAGAGGCAGGCTGGGAGACCAAAAACATCACGATGGAAGAAGTGTGCCTAAGTAAACACGATGGGCGATTCTATGATACAGATGGCCAACACATCGACGTCATTTTCAAACTGTATCCTTGGGAATACATGATAGAGGAGCCATTCGCAGAAGCATGTTTCAAGGATATGGATAATATTGGTAAGTGTGACGAAGCCGGGAATTATATTGGCGGAACGGTCTGGATCGAGGCACCGTACAAAATGTTATGGAGCAACAAGGCTCTCTTCGCCATTCTCTGGGATCTTTTCAAAGATGATCCGCGTTCCAAATGGCTTCTTCCAACATACTTTGACGGAGAAGCGCCAGAGTCGTTAAGCAGCGTCGCGCGAAAACCTCTATTTGCGCGCGAGGGCTGTGATATAACGCTGAAGAAGGACGGCGAGGTCATAGACGAACACCCCGTAGGAGACTACGGGGCCGAGGGATATATTATCCAGGAGCTTGCGGTGCCGCCTAATTTTGAAGACGAAAATGGCGTGTCTCACTATGCCGTGATCGGGCTTTGGTTTGTGGATGGCGAGCCAGCGGGGATGTCGACTCGCGAAGACTACCAGCCTATTACGACTGACACGTCACAGTTCATTCCACACTCCATCTCAGATGGTCCGGTCACTTACGACCGAGAAGATGTTCCCACAGCAAATGATATTGAGGACTCGCTCAGATGCGACGCTTATATGGATCCCATGGCAAAAGTGGAAATGAGCGACATTCTGGAGTACATACAACGGCTTGCCATCTAGAAATGTACCAAGCATTTTGTACAGAAAAAGCTGAGACGACAACTTGGCTAGCACTTCTTGGTTAGGTGTGTCACATTAGATCTTTACTGCTGATGGGTCTAGTTGGTTTGAGGAGAAGAATCTAAGATCCCGGAACGCTGTAACGATGCATAGTGCAGCTAATTGGGGCTATTTTTCATGCTTGAAATCCCTTGTTGCCTTTCACCAACGCTGAGTCCACGGCATCACCGCGATTTGTATCTCTCAGAAAAAGCTGAGACACGTGCCCGGATATCTTCCCCCATCCTGGTTGAGTTCCATACAGCCGGGTTCAGATTGCCTTATGACTGAGAAGATCTATATAATCATGTTTCATAATCTACGCGGACTGGATAACATCATGATAGGGAATAGAACCCTTCCGTTTTGGTCAAGCAATCTTCACACCGCGCAGCCGCAGCATCGATTTCATTGGTTTGCCGCATGTTCGAAGTCGGCATGAGAGTGAAGGGCCTCTTTAGACTTTGAACGATCAGTTTTCGTGAGTTTTGCACGAAATGCCACCCCCGTTTCATGTGCAGAGCATCCGAGTCGTCATATTAAGGCGTCAGATGAGATACGGGTTGCCAGGTGAGGCGGGGGAAGAAGCACTCACCCTAACAAAAATCAGTATCTAATGGAGGCACAGTCGTGGATTTGAAGCCCATTATTTCAACTTCAAGATAAACCAAAGGAGAGAAACAAACGAGAATGACATGAAGCCAGCAGTCTTATATTATAATCAACTTCTCGCAGCTAAAACTGGTCATTTTTTTCAAGTTTGTCGGTGAAGGAGTATGAGTGTAATCTTCCGATGCTGATTCCATTGGCGAGGAATATCTACACTTGTGTGTTCAAATACAATCGAGCACTAACGAGTCTTGTAGAAACCAAGAGGAAGCTGAAGCCAATCACGGGCAATAACAAGTACCTGCCCCGCTACATTTTTTCCCTTGATCAAAACAGGATTCAACCTGTATTTATTAGCCTACTCTGCTGAAACTCCAAATTTTCCATGACCTCAACGTACGTAATTCCAAGTCATAAAAGTTCTCCCTGGCCAGGTATAGCATTGTACGGCGTTATCACCAGAACAACCCTTGGCGTTTAGGATATCGCACTTTTTGCCCTGGTCTGCAGCTAGCACTGCAGTAACAAGCATCGGAAGAAGGTTCAGCACTAGCATGGTGACAGAGAGCTTCGGTGAAGGCAAGGTTTTGGGTGTAAATAGTTGAACAGCGAGTTTGAAAGAAAAGAACAAAGAGTAGTAAAAATTGTAATGAACAACATGAGGAATGTGGCTCTTAAAATAAAAACCCAAATTTACATGCAGTAACATATCATTTAAGTTTATCGAAGGGGTCTTATTTTTAACATTCATGATTTGATTCTGAATGAGACAAGATCCTCACGAGAGTGTTTTTTTTCTTTAATTATCTGTCTCAGACTGGGACTCCGTCATGATACAGGTAATATGCTGGACCCCTGCGTAATCTAACAGGAAAAGAGTTAATGAAAAATTTGGGGTCATTATTCAATACTCCCTCCGAAATTTTGGAAGTGCCGGATGATCTATATGTTCGATGTAACGTGGATGACCCTGTCATAAGCCTTCAAGTTGCATGCAAAGCCGCGTGTTTGCTCATTCGCCGTGTACACGTGTATGTACCCCAAGATTTTGCAAGGTTTTTACTAATGATTTTCAGACTAAAGTTGAGACGAGAACTCAAACTTCATATCCAGGTCACGCTTGTAGATCTTCAATAACGAGGCGTCACGTCAGCTCTATTAACTTTGGTTCGTGGGCTATGCTATCGCCAGGAAGGCTTAGAACCCACAAGTCTGTGAAGCCCGAAAAGAGCAATTAATCAGTCATTTAATGTAATGCCAAGAAATTCACTCCACAGATAACAAGAAATAAGTAAATTTGATTTGATATCGGTCATAGTTTCCCAGCTAGCGGGAGAGGTCTCTGGTTATATCTTTTGAGTCTGGATAGAAGCTTTGAGCTCATCCTAACTGCATCATTTTCGGGAACCCATACAATTTGTAGGTGGACCAGCAGCATAGCTACTCTTCAGGAATTGAACTCAGATGCAGCATTGCAACTACTGGTGCCCAGTACACAGAGCCAGCTTTAGAAAGAGGGCATGACTCAAAGGGCTAGTGGAAGCATATTAGAATACTCGTGAGGCCTCGTCGCACAGGTCTTACTGAGTCACGTATTAATTTCACCTGCAAGCTTATTTTCAAGCATGGAAACCTTGATGTAGACGAAAACCCATAGCTTTTGTGAGACCAGGCCGTGGAGTTATTGCAAGCAGACAGGCAATGGGATTCCCATCGAGTCATGTAATATACCTGATCTCCCATACCATGCGTCTTGCAATTTCTTTTCTTATTGTTGGACAGTACTACGACACTTGAAGCCCCGTTGTTTAGTGTTGAATCATTGCAACAGTATGTTCTCAAGGATAAAGTGTAATATATATGTTATAAATATGTGTGCTTTTCTGAGATTTTAGCGAATTAATAACCGAATCTATAGGAACTCTATGGCTTGGTGTTTAATAGACTTTAATTATGTTTCATATTTTGGAATACTGTCTGGAAAAAGCCTGGGATGTCCTAAACCAATGTTCAATCTATTTGAAGTGTACGGTCGATCATACTCACCCTGCCCGCGAAAAGGCACTGATACTCCCAGTATATTTGTATCAATGTTGGGCCGCATCTACCTTCTTAACCACTCTTCACAACTGCTCATTCAATATCTTTTACTCAATGAAACGCAATCATCACAACACCTTCCCCGGCTTAAAGGCCGCGGCAGCAGTCTTTCTCGCCGTCCAGGGTGTAGACGCAGGACAGGTTCAATGCGCTGATGCACAGAATAAAGTCGTCCCGGGTACGAACTGCGACGGTAAAGCAACAGCTGGAGAATTCTTTCTGTTCAGCAGCGAAGAAGAGTACACATTGGGTGCTACTGTCGACCCAAACATCCTCAAGCTCGATAGCGCCGGTATCTTTGAACAACGCTACGCTATGTTTCCGGCGGACATCCCTATAAGGGGTTTGCAATTCAACGGCTTCGGAAGACCAGTTCGGAAGCGACAATGCGATACTGGTGGTAACGAGGGCGGCAATGGTGGTGGCGGTCGTGGCGGTATTGGTGGCTGATGTTCAACTTTGGTGAACTACCCATAGGTAGTATGGGTTTGGACAAGGACCTACTTCTTTTGTTACTTTTGTTGATCTTTTGATCTAGAGAATTGAATCAACATTGCACTTTGATATAATAGGTCCGAGGCTGAACGTGAGGGCTACGAGCCCGATGCAACCATGACACAGCTCAAGGCGGCGCTCCAGACGAAGCAAAGCAAGAAGAAAGTAGCCCATATTCTTGATGGCCACACCGGTGACGTAATAGTAATCGCACTCAATTCTCCCATCCTCCTCGTCAACAATACGCCCATCAGCTCGATTGCGCCCATGTTCCTCTCTTGTGACATCCCGATCAAGGCGCTAGAATGGACGGTGGTGCTTGGACGTGCCGACCTGGTTCTTCTCCTGGACCGGGGTGCGGGTTCCAACTGTACCTTTGACGAAACTTGAGGCCCTTCCTTGACGCAGGCGGCCAGAGAGCGAAGGACACAGCCCGTTGACATTCTTGCATCCAAAACGAGCCGCATCTTCTCACTACAGACTCTGCCTGACCGTTGAGGAAAGGGACATAGCAACATCACATCCATTTTTTCCCACGGCGTCCCGCAAATCATCTCCTGCCGCCCCCTCTGACATCCCGCTACGACGGTTACCACGGCGAGGACTTCCGATGGGCTACAAAGCCGAGCAATAATGTCTCACTATCGTCCACGCAACGATACACGGGGACATGGCCATGGTTCGTCTACTGCTGAAGCACAGAGCGAATCCCAACACTACTTATCACTCCATGTTCAGTCTAATACCATAGTGGCACGCTACCTGACAGAAGGCAATGGAGCGCAAGGACTCTTGGTATATTTGTTTCTTGTTGGGGCGGGTTGTGTATTTGGCGATGCACATGGGACACTGGGATGTTGTAGACGCGCTGCTGGAATGCGGCGCGGACATCGGGCTTCTCTCCTCGCAATGGCCCGTTACAGGCCACTTCTGTCCCAAAGTGCCGCGGAGTATGTATCTCCTGGTCATCGTCGGACTACAGGAGGCTGCTAGCTTAAAGGGGCAGAAGTTCTACATTTCCGGTTAGGGTTGGTGGTGGTCGGGGTGTGTGGCTTGTTTGGTGGGCATGCTACATACTTGCTACATACTTTTGCCCGGGCTTTCGCCTCTGTTCGCAAAGTAGAAGCGGTTTTAATCCGTCACAATCCCAGATTGCGTGGGACTAGGAATATCAACGCCGTTGCCAGTGGTTATTATTACCATTGTAGTTGTGCTTGGAGAGGAAGTGCCGGCAACTCTAACGCAGATGTGGACATCAGCTTAGAGCCCCTGACAGCTGTTACCGACCGCGGGATTTCACGAATAGCTGGGCGAGAGCAGTGCCCCGAGCGCTGGTGATATTGGCGCAGATTTCACGGGGCTTCACATAATAGAAGCGATTGCAGCTCGCTACCATCATTCCAGACTGTGTAGGTGTTGGTGTTGAAATGATGCTGGCATTGGTGGTTGTACTGACCGAGCTGAACGTAGTTTATGGCATGATCGTGGTCTTGCTGCTGAGACTGGTATATGAAATGAATCAACCCCAGTACAGAAGTCAAGCCCATTCATCAAGTTGCAGCCAGGGGCCATCAACCTGATGGCGGGGTTCTGTTCACTTGTGTCAGACTCAACGCACAGTGGATTGCGGCTTATGGATCACTCATCCATTGCTGGAACTGTGGCAGAGTTATGCCGTACACCGTCACAATAATGTCGCATGTCAGCACGTACAACGCCTGGATCCAGGCGCTGCGCTTTTGAGTTGATCCTGAGGCTGTCCCGGATGGAACAACCAGACATGCTTATGCCAGCCCGACACAAAGCAGCCACGGCAATAGGTGAGGAAGCTTCATAATTATCATGATCGGTGCTCGAGTCTACGAGGCTATAAGGCTGGCTGACAATCAGGAAAGGCTTTGGCAATTTCCGGGCTTCCCAGGTGCCTCAATCTTGCCCAATGTGCTCTTGGGTCAAGAAAGTTGCATGACACAATACAACGTACCATACTAGATTACTGACACTAGGTGGCGGGTACTGAAGTGGTGCTCTGAGGGATTGAGGACAGACTAGTTCGCGATGGACGCACATCTGTAAAATGTTATCTGGTGAGATTTCAACCGTCGCCTCTCAGCCTGCAGGCAGACTACATCTGGGTATGGATTATACATTAGGAGGGTCTGAATATTGAGCATGGAGTCATTGCTACCCAAGATAGTTTCTGACTCCTTTTTGTCTTGTAGTGGTGTACAGGACTTACCTGGGATAGTTATTTCAATCCCGCCGAAAGGATTACATTACATGCACGCGATTCAATAGATATGACCAGGTTTTTAGACTGCAGGGGTCTGGACTCTGGTATGCACGGCCATGATAGTTCTGCATTTGCCTGGGTATTACAGATTTTATCCTCAATGGCGACGTAGCAGTAGTATTTGGGGGTCACGAGTTGGCACATGTCCTCAAGATAAGAGAAAATACCGTAGAAACTGATAATGAGGTTTACGAGTCTTTCTGTTACGGAATAAAAGGGGTCGAAGTCAGTGCAGTTGCTGCATTAATGCAACGTCAATAGTTTGAATTACACATTCGGGCAACACGGAACCTTCTTGGTATCAATTTCACAAGTGAGGCCGGCTATATGTAAATAAGACGATAGCCGGGCCATGGTTACCTACCTGAGCTGAAGAACCCTCTGCGACACTTCGAGTTCAATGTTCCCAGTATCACCCTTTTCTCTTTGTCTAACTATGACCGGACATCCATCTCGCTTGTTCATGTCCTCGAGATTACTACCGCGAACCGAGCCCTGATGCTCTTTTGATTCTGTTCGCCATAGCCATCATTATGAGACTCTTGGTCTCTGCCACTGCTGTCATCCTGGCAGTTTCCAGGGTCGGCGAGTTTTATTAGTTGCATAAGCCACACGTCAACTCGAACTGGAAGAGATGAGATGTCGTCAGTACGCTTCTCTGATGCATCGTCGTCAGCAGCGCAACAGATCACATCGATGGCATGCCAACTGACCTGGCAGTGCTGAGGTTACAATCATTGCTGGAAACTACACCTCTTGATTACACATGCCAGCCAGGGATCGGCGCCATTCATGCTGCAGTCTCGTCGGGACCAACACCAGCACCTGGTTCATCTACAGAAGCTGGAGGCGACTAGACCGGGTTTACAACAAGTCCACACTCTTGGATTGTGCAGTCTTTAACTCAGTCGACATACCCAGGGCTTACGTGGTCATTTCTGCTTGCAACGGCGGACTGTCGGTGGCTCCTAGCTCCGCCAAAATGACCTGCGTCAATGAAGGCATGGAACAGTTCGAGCAGCAGGGCTCACTGGAGGTCACATCCTCGGGTGTTTCCTCCTCAGCCCACACGGGTACTTTGACCGCGGATCTGGAGCAGCTACGTAGCTTCGCGACGTTGGCTGAGAACAGCCGTGGAGGTACAATCAAGTACGCTTATTAGCGCGATGTCTCTGTGGGTGAGTACTCAGGGGCGGGCCTCGACGGTCAAGGCGTGCTTGAAGAGGTGTTAAAGATGGTCCACGACCAAATCACGGGGGCCAACAGCGTCGCAGGATATCTCGTCATGCATTTGTGCAGCGAGTCCGATGCATCGGCGGCATACTCACTGGTCTTACACGTAAACACCAAGCACAGAATCGGCATTGTTCAGCAGAGCATTCACACATGGAAAAACTACTCCTGTGTTGAGACAACACGGAAGCTGTCCAGAGAGGCTGGCTGGACACCAGTGAGCTTCAAAGGCCCCCCTATCGCGAATAGTGCTAGACTTAACTCGATGTTGAACAGCAACTCGATCAAAATCAAGGCGAAAGCCGGGCCTCTGTGAGGCAGTTCCAAGAAATTACTCTCGCTTTGTGCCAATTGCAGATACATTCAGGTCGTGTGCGGGGATGCAGCTCCCTGGCAGCCCAATGCGGCATTACACGCCCAAACAAATGTCTTACAGCCCGATGAGCATGTCTGCTGTAGCTCAGGGAATCTGCTAGACTTTTCCCCCAAGCCTTGCGCCGAAGTGTACTGCCACAAGTATCTGGTTAAGACGAGGGACAATTGTGTTGCTCTCTCGGCGTCATGCGATCTGATAAAGAGGATGATCGAAGAGTTTAAAAAGAAGACACAGGGCTGGTAAGTCCGAAACGGTCATAGCCATATCCTCCAAGCAAGCCGTTGTTTACTATCTTGAGACTAATCTACCTTATGTTCAGTAACAGCTGCAAGAGATGTTTTCTGACTACTGTATTAATATCAGTACCGGATACCCGTCCATGCCTATGAATATCGCCATTGCCGTCTGCGGCCCTCAGGTCAACGACACAAAAGAGGCACCGCCTGGCACTAACCTGAGCACCCTGAGCCAATGTCCCCTGAATGCGTAATGTAACATCTGGGGCCAGTGCGGCACGACAGTTGATTTCTGTATCCCGTCAACCTCGCCTACCGGCGCACTCGGTATGGCAGCTCTGGACGAGAACGACTGTATTTCCAATTACGACAGCCAGATCATCACCTCTAGCCCAGCGGTATTAAGATTTCACATTGCCTACTTTGAGGCCTGGAATTTGGGCCGCCCATGTCTTCCCATGGCGGCCAAATGACATTGACACCTCGGCCTACGCCCATATCGGCTACTCCTTCATCACTATACCCTGCCTTCACCCTTGGCACGAAGAACATAGCCAAGCAGCTACCGCTCTTAACGGCCATAAATGTTGTCAAGAAGATCATGTTGATAGGCGGCTGGGCTTTCTCCACCGAGCCCGCGACCTACGAGATCTTCCGCGGTGCTAGTACCACCCAGGCAACCGCCAGAAACTTCCAGATTGCTGACAACATCAAGATTCTTAACGATCACAACGTCGGTGGCGTTCGCTGGGATTGGGAATATCCAGCCGATCCCGATATTCAGGAAATCCTGCCCGTCACAGAGGAAGGGATGACTGGCTTTTTCCTGCTGCTTGTGGACCTCCAGCTGAGGCTTCCCAGCTGACAGAACCCAGTCCATTACGGCCCTTGCATCGCATTGGTACCTGAAGCAGTTCCCCATTCAAGCCGTTTCTCGTCTACATGACGTACGACCTGTACGGTCAGTGGGATCATGGAAACAAGCATTGCTCGCCTGGCTGCGTCTCGTACGATGCAGGTCTCAGCAACTGTCCCCGGTCACACATCAACCTGACTGAGACCATCAATTCGCTGTCCATGATCACCGAGGCAAGCGTCCCATCCAACATAATTACTGTCGGCTTTAGCAGTTACGGCCGGCTCTCCCAGATGATGACGCCGGGCTGCTGGACCGAGCAGTGCACTTTCACCAGGGCCCGAGTCGGGCGCCATAAACGATCGCTATGTCAACACGACCGGCTATATCTCCCTCACGATACCGAGAAACTCATGGAAGAAAGCCCATCGGCACAGAAGCTTATAGACCAGTCGTCGTACCCCAAGATTGTCGTTTGGGACTCGAATCAGTGGGTCGCTTACATGGACAAGGACAACAAGACCGTGTGCAAGGCCCTCTATCTGGCATTGAACTTCCTCGGTTCTGCCGATTGGGCCGTGGATCTGCAGTCAGAGAATGGGGGCGGCGGTAAGTCCAGCAGCGACCAGACGTCTACGTCGACCCAATGTCTTGGAATCGTTGAAACCTGTTGTGACTGGGTTTCTAGTCGTGATGCTTATCTAGCTGCTAAAGCTGCTCTCGACGCCGACCGCCATCTCGTTTGCGCCTTGGACCACCATGATGATGTATTTCAGTTTGACCCAATACGAGCACACTACCAAGCGGTGGTAATACCACTTATTCGAGATATATTTACATGTCATTCTAGGGCAACATTGCTGTTCCACCGGTGAGGGCAACCCAGGCCCTTATTCGAGGGGTTCCCATCTCTTCCGACTCACAAGTAGTCCCATTGTGTTGACGAGCTCTGTCCAGCCGCCACTCTTCATCGTTACCATTAGCCCGTGAGTAACTGTATCAGTGCCGACTTTGATGTCACTTTTGTCCAGCTAACCATTGATGCCCACATGAAACAGTCTGATAAGTGGTACAACTTCCATCATTGGGGCCAGCACGACACATGCCAATTCGACAGGCATCATCATCTGGGGTTCCATCATGCAGATCCCTCGCTTCGAGACTTAGACCAACAACTCTCACTGGTAGGATATATCTGCCCTCAATAGTTATCACCGTAACGACCCCCCCCCCCCCAATCCACTGATAAGTCACTCTCCAGGGCATACAGATCCCCCCATCAAAACCATCAAGCTGACTTGGACGACGGGTCCCACCCCGCAGCTCGCCGCTATGTCCGGGATGTGGTACGAGCTGTAAGCTGATGATAATCGAACTCTTCTTCCTCTTCCTCTTTCTTGCAATCCATATAACACCTTACCACCCAGGTGGTCTTTTCTGCAACTCCAAATGCCCCAGTTGCCCCCCGAGAGACCTTTGGCAACAACGGCGACCCAGACGACCCGACTGACGACCCGACTGACGACCCGACTGACGACGACGGCTGGACTATACTATTTGAAGGGTCCCTGAACACCCCCTTCCCGAGCGCCTACGTCGACCACGGTGCCATGGTGAGCATCTTGAAGTATGTCCAGTCGCGCCTCTCATCTTTGATGTCGCCGCCCACTTCGACCACCACCAGCTCGTCCACGACCAAAAACACCGACCGTCCAAAACCGACCGCGACAGCCCCGTGCACATTCGACAACGCCATCATGTACTGTCACTTTGGAGTCTATGAAATCTCCGGCTGGGGCCGCGACCACGGTAAACGTTTACCAGACTAAATGAGAGGTCGCGATGCCCACATGGGTTGGAGATACGAAGAGCCAAACTCACCGTCGCGCAATCCGAATTGGGCGTGGTGTGCGTTTCACCTGCCGTTCTTCAGTAAGAACGGATGTATTAAGCGTTTAATTAAGAGAGCGGGAGGCCTGAAGGTCGCATTTGAAGGCATCGGATTCAATGTTCGATCAAGTTTGCCGAGAACTCTAGGGGATGTGAGCGGGAGGATGCAGACGGGAGTCCAGTGCTGATAGGAGTGATATGACTCTCTTAGGAGTATTTACTTTACTTTTTAAGGAACGTAGTCTATGACTGGTAAGTTAATAATTACTTAGCTTTATAGCTGAGTCTAACTATCTCTATAGCTTATGTTTTAAAAGGGTTAATAACTCTTTTAATTTTAATATTTATCTTTTATTTCCTTATCATGTTTTTATATATTACTAAAAAACACTAACTAATATTTAAAGAAATAACTCTGTGTAAACTATCTTTATTAGCTTCAATATTTATTTATAGATTTATTATCTATAAGTAATATAAGTTTTAAATAACTCTTATCTAAGGAAAGTAGAGTATACTATAGGCTTTATAATAAAGAATACTATATTTAAAATACTACTTAATAATAATCAAAATACTATAATTTTTTAAAAACATAATTATAGCTATAAAATGCTATTATTCTATAGCTGAAAACACTTTCTTATTACGTTATAACTGTAGTATATTAATATAGTATAGCCGGAAGATATTAGTGCCTTATAGTTCTAAGACCTTTAGGCGGGGCTGCGTCTTTCAGCCGTAACGGGCCCGCTGTTACGGCCAGCTATCTGACAGTAGGGTTCTGCTAACAGAAGGTGCAGTAAGAGACTAATACTGGTTCGTAGGGGTCGTTCTGGTAGATCGTAGGGTTAGGGTAAGGTGATCAGTCTTACACTATAGTAACGAGGTTCTTAGTATTCACAATACTGAGAGGTAAGCTGAAAGTCATTCGAGGATGAATCACAAGTTGATTGCTGAAGAACCATCTAGAGGGCTTGAGCAGATGCTCAAGTCCTGGTCTATATACAAGTTAGGCATGGGCATTACCCGGCCCGCGGGTCCCACGGGTACCCGCGAAATGGGTCGGGTAGTTATGGGTAGTGCCCGAAAGTTTTACTATTACCCACGGGTACCCATGGGTAAAGTGGGTTTGGGTAAAAAAGCCCACGGGTAGTAAACTGAAGGGGGGCCCACGGGTTTGGGTACCCACGGGTGTATACCCGTGGGTAGATTTCAGTAAGTATGCATCACGAATTTTAGACATCTTTTGTAGTAGCCAGCCTCAAGAGTGGATATATTGCGCAACGAATAGACCTGCTACCTTGTTACTCCTAACTTCCGAACGCCCTGAATGCCTTCAATTAATCGCCTGCATTTCCCAGACTCGGGGTCGAACCACTTGTCTCCGTGGACTCTGCCGGCCTTCAAGATAGCCTGGACGAGATGCAGATCCTTCGGCTTAATGGTGACGCGATTGGTGTGGATCGCAGCAAAGTTAATTACTAGATAGTTCGTTCAACTCGATAAGAGTTTGCAAGTGAAGCTTACTGTCGAAAACACCAAAGAGAAGAGACTCCGAAGACTCTTGAAGAGCGCTAATAGCAGTCGCCTGCCAGCGCAGGCGCTTGGAGGGGTCGATGTCATCGCAGATTTCCTTCCAGAGTCGCTGGAATGGGGGCTTCGGAATCAGGAAGTCAAATGTCTTCTGGTAGTTCCTGACCTCCCGGAGAGCTTTTGCTAGGTATTAGGGTTAGTGTGTAGCTATCTTTTGTAGCAATCTAGACTTACTGCCAGGGCGCCAACGGCGTTTCTGCTGCTCCTTAGCACCAGGCATAGTCTTTCGGGCTATGCCAGGCATCATATTATAAAGTTAACCATGAATCAGGTAAGACTCCTAGAAACACAAGTCCAGGTCTAATTAATATAGAATCTTTTATAGATAACTACTGAACAGAGGTTTTCAAAGAGATTCTTTTTGAGAAAAAAAACAAGAAGCCGCGGCTGCGCACAGACCACTTTTTGGCGTATTTTGTTTTTTTTTTGTGAGGTTCTGAAGCTTCAGAAAACTTCTCCCTAGACAATACTACAACCTACCTCCACCACTAACACCTAGCCGCACCGACAAGCCTCTCAATTAAGGTAATTTAATACTTTGATCTTATAATTATTAGTTTTGACTTATTAAATCAATTAGGGAACAGTAGTAAAATATGTCCTCAGGACAGGATCGCGGTACGTTCACACCAGCTTTGTAGCAATCATTTGTACTAATCTCTTCTAGGCCGACCGCTTGGATCTGGTGCTGGAGCCAAGCGTAAAGCTGAAGAGGATTATTCCGACAACGCGCACACCAAGAAGTCTCGTCAGCGCATCGATAAGATGACTGAGAAGCAGAAGGCACTTGATCGCTCGAAGAAGTCGATCAACCAGCAGAAATCCCGCAAGCTTAAAGCCTTGAGGGCTAAAAGCTCCTACATCAGTGCGTCTGCTGATGAGCGCGCGGCCCTTGAGGCTAGGGAAATCCAGCAAGTTGATGCACGATAGTGAGTTCTTTTTTATTTCTTTTGGTGTTTCAAATCAGTGCTTAAGTGCTTTTAGCTTCCTCAAAGGCAACCATCCAGACCAGCTGCTAGCTCAGATGACTGGCCCAGTCTCGTCTAGCTCCTATAATATCGTCGATGACGATGAAGACGAGGCTTGGGAGGATATCCCTTTGAATGAGATTGATGAGGCTACCCAGGAAAACCTGGATGGAGTTGAGGGCATGCTCAACTTTGACGTTGACCTTGATAACCAGTTGCCGACCATTAATGTTGCTGAGCAGTCGAATGCGATTATCGACAAGATGATCCAGGTAACTGGATGACTATAATTAATTACTATAGCAATAGCTAACAAACAGACAGGAAAACCAGATCCGAGAATACCAGTTCTTCCGTGATACCTGGGAGATGACTCTTGAGATACTTTACATCAAGGTCAAGCGGCTGAACAGCAATCCTGCCTTTACCCTAGCTGCGATGGAGGATTATGGCTTCATTCGACCTGGCTTTAAATTTCCAGTAGCTGGCGACATCTTCACCAAAGAGGAAGTGCTTCTTTGGTTTGCACTCGCCAAGTACTGGCACCTGAACCGCTTGTCTAAGAAGAAGAAGACGTAAGTGCTTAATTGTAGCAATCCTTTGTAGTAATACTAATATTCTCAGCCAATTCGCACTCGCGCACCGCCCAGCCATCAAGATTCAAGGATCTCTCTTCACTACAGCTCAGCGCCGATATGCCTCCACTCCAAAGCCTTCAGTGAAGGCTATGTTCTCTGAGATCAGTGACTCGATGATCAAGAAAGGTGTTTGGGAGCTTCTGGGCCCTGCTGAAGTTTGGGAAGAGTTTACTGCTCTCGATAAAACAGCCAACATCTTATCTGCGATGGATAAGAAGTTCTCAGCTATACTAAAGCTGATACCATTCTTCCTGAAGCTTGACCTTGCTCGGGATAAAGCGCTATACAACTGGCGTCAGGTCCATGAGTTAGCTCAGAAGCTAACTCGTTTGCTTGACTTTTCTCTATAATTGCAGATGAGCATAGCGAGAGGGTTTGTTTGACAGATTAAGAATTAAGAATTAGCAATAAGGCTAGCATGAATAAGGACATGAATTCTCTCTAGTCTGATTCTCGTATTGTAGCAATCGTTTGTAGTAATCTACAGCTGCTAAAACAATCTAGCACTCCATGCTCCCATCTTCTTCATTAACTGTTTAACTAAGTCAAGATCTTTCTTCTGCAAAGTTACTCTTTTAGCGTGAATAGCACAGAGATTTGCATCTATTAATATTCATGTTAATATAATAGTTTGAAGATCAGGATAGGATATCTTACTCTCGAACATGTTGATTAGAAACTGTTCGCTTATCTCATGGAGAGCCTCTATAGCCATTGACTGGTAGCGGATCTTATGGCGGTTTCTTAGTAGAAGATCAAGTGTTATTTCTCGAACTACTCTTGCGAAACTGCTCCGCGGAATTAAAAGATTGGTGGTCTTTTGATATTTTCGAATCTCACGAAGTGCATTTGCTTCACATTTCAGTAATTAAACAATAAAGAGTTACTTCTTACTTACTACCAGGCCTCCATCTACGAACTTTCTGGCGTTTAGTGATCTGGACGGGCTTTTTTCGAGCAGCTTTTAGCTGCTTCTTTGGCGCGAAGTTCAGCTGATCTTTCCGTGCAATGGTTGGTGGTTGGCCAGTATCTGTTCGTCTCGCCAACTTCGTCGCAAAGTTCCGCTTCAGCGGTGGTAATTCTGGTTGACTCAGGTCTGGGCTAGCCTGGCTATAGTAGGTTGCATGACTTGAACTTCTTGGCGGAGTCTCCCGAATCTCTGTAATTGGCTGTTTCAGGGGATTACCCCTCGCTGATGATGAGGGGTAACTATTTGGCGGTGAAGAGCCCTCTACTGTTAGCGGAGAGCTCTGATCTGACACAGGGCTAGTTGATAAGCGAGGCATTGAAGGATGAATGTAAGTGGGAGAAAAAACAAGTCGAAGGAGAATTCAGAGCTTTTAGATTTGTGTACGAAACGTATTAGTCAGAAACCCTAAAATAGAAATTTACGTAAGGCTACATAATCAAATGTTTGTATTCATCTTGTAGTAATCCTGCAAACTACTTCCTGTTCACACCAAAGGTAATTCTTACTACGTATGATGTCGAACTCAATTGCGTCTGACCCTTTTGGGCCAGACCCTTTTGCATCCGATTGTTCTGCTGCTTTCGAGCTTGTAAATTCTACGCAGACTCCAACAATCAATACTCCACCTTCTGGTTTATAGATACAGTCGGAAATCATTTTATTTGTTATTGAGACTTTCTAGACTTTTCTCTCGTTTTTCAAAACCCTGCCATGGTATCTCCAATAGGTAATCCTTGGCAAACACACACCGTTGTCCAAATCCCCTCAACCTAAACGAAAACGCTTCGCCAAATCCTTGTGGACTTTACAACGCCGAGTATCATTCTGGGATCACTTTCACCAAGGCTACCATATGACATCAGGGGAGCCAAAATTAGTCTGCAAGCACTGTCACCAAGTTTTCAATCATCTAACAATCAAAAACTCTGGTACAAGTGCTATGCAACGACACCTCGCTGCAAAGTCTTGTAAGACTCGACGTTTAGGCGCAAACCAGGTGCCTGTAAGTTTTACAGGTCATTGTAGCAATCATTTGTAGTAATCGCAATCTAGGGTACCCAATTGAAAGCAGTCTCGGAGCATTAAGCATTAGTTTACTGTATTGTTGGATCCAACTTAGCGCTTAATACTGTTGACAACTTAAGTTTCCGGCAATTCTGTTTACACCTGAATCCTCTCTACTACCTTCCCATCTCGAAAGACGCTCCGAAGCTGGATATCCGAGGAGGCCTTACGCATTCAACACCATACTCTTCAGCTAATTCCGCCTGGTAGCTATGTCTCTCTGATGATTGATATCTAGAGTACACCTGGGTTAAAATATTTACTGCTTGGTGTTTTATGCCATTTTATCGACAAGCACTGGAGGTTACAACAGGTTCTTCTTGGTGCTATTGATATGACAGATGGTCATACAGCCTCTAAGCAAGCAACGGCTTTATCGACTCTGTTAGAAAATATTCGCCAGAGGACGAAGAAGACAATTCGATTTCAGACAGTCTCTGCAGACAACGCAAGTTCTTTTAAGCCAAAAGTCCTAGCACAAGAACTTGCAAAAGGGTCGACATCCACAGTACAGCCGATATATCATATTCGCTGTTTAGCCCATATTTTCAACCTTGTTGTTCGAGCGATTTTTGAGGCTCTTCGAATTTCGATGGTAGAAGCCTCTACAGAGTTTGAGCCTTCTACTACTCGAGCTAAAGATCAAGAGGACTCTGACGATGATTTTGATACTGAAGATTCTACTGCTGGGGAAAATCCTTTTGGAGCTGTTATTCAAAAGGTTAGATACTTCACCTAGTTATAAGATTTTATATTAACATATATACCTCCAGATTCGTGACCTCGCAGTTTCCCTTAAGCTTTCTAGTAAGAAGACGCAAGAGTTTCTCGACCTCTAGAAATCGACTCGCATTGGCTAGCGACCACTACGCCTCCTCCGCGATGTTAAGACAAGGTGGAACTCTACTACACTTATGTGTCTCCGCGCAAGAGAGCTTAAAACAACGATTTCAGCTTGGGTTGAAAAGCACTCTCTACAGGAACAATTCTCTCTTGTGGAGACCGATTGGGAGGCTCTTGATATTCTGCTTGATATCACCAGCCCGTTTTTACTCTTTACAAACATCCTCAGCCGGTTAAATGACCTTACCCCTGGTCATACCTTTACTTTATTACAAGTTGCAACAGTTCACTTGTACTTTTGCGCCTCTGCACTTAAAGATAAAGTTACTAGCAAAGACTTTACTTGGATATCAATCCTTCAGGCTGCTACGAAAAAGGGCTAAGAGAAGCTGGAAAAATACGTTCAAAAGCTAATTGAAGAGGATTCCTTCAAGGTATATGGTATTGCAACTCTCCTTACCCCTGAAGCTGGGACATCAGTTTCGAGTACTTTTGACACGCGATTCCAATTCGCAAATTACTTCGAATACCTTCCTTCTTCAGCCTCACTTCGAACTCGAGTACAGCAAGAATTTATCGAGGTATATACAAAGCAGTACCATCAAGATTCGGAACGCCATACCAATACTCAAAAAGCTGCAACTGAAGGACTCCGATACACTCTGCATAGTTTACTATCACGCAGTCCAAAGAAAAGGGTATTTGTAGCAATCTATTGTAGCAACTCACTGTACTAACCTATTATAAGGGCAAAATGTCATCATCCCAAGACGCACGAAATATCTGTAATGACTTTTTTAATATTGGTAAGATAAAGACTTATATCTTACTAGGCTTAACAGCTAATAACTATATTTAGTTATGTTCCCTGATGAAACTGTTCAGCAATTTTGGGTCCGCCTAGACAATAGCTATCCCAGATTCCATGGTATTTGTCGCATGGCTCGAGACTTCTTATCTATTCAACCGACGTCAATACCCTTAGAGCGATCATTCAGCCTTGCTCGCCATATCTGTCACTACGCTCGGTTCAACCTTTCGGCTGATACTATTTTTGATACTTTGACTATCAAAATTAGCCAGAATAATGAGGCCTGGCTTTCCCAAACCACACTTGAGGAAGTTCCAGATGACACGAATATCACTGAAGCATCTGAAGAGCGCTAGCATATTATTAGAGAAGCTTTTAACTACTCTTCTCTATTGGATAAAGCTGATATTCAGAGATATCTGAAGGTCTCTGATGATCTTACTAAGATCTCTATTACTGCTACAGGAGATGCTCCCTCCCCGCCTCCTTACGAAGTCTCAGTAGAAGAGGAGGATATTAGCGATAGAGATGAGGAGCTGCCATCCTTATCTAGCTCTCAACAGCCAAAACTATCGAGTCAAGTTTCCCAACTTAGCAACTCACCTACGCCTTCTGTATCCCAAGAACTCCCAAACTTCTCCGAGCTTGGGGGTCGCAAAAAGAAGAGACTTACTCGGCTAGATCTTGTCGAACTCTCTCCTGACGAGGATAGCGATTAAATATACATTGTTCCTCTGATTTCACTCCGACTTTATCGTATTATTCTCTATTAGTTTCTTATATTTGTAGTAATCTATTCTAGCTATCTATGTTTTATGTAACTTACTCTTTCTCCCTATAACTAACTAGTTATATTTTCTTTCTATCTTAGTTACAGTATTTCCCGCGTTTCTTGTGGGTAGCAAAATTACCCGTGGGTAGTGTAACCCATGGGTCGTTTTACCCACGGGCCTTTCAACCCGCGGGTAAATATAGTGGGACTGCCCGTGGGTAATTCGGGTTTACCCAAACTACCCACGGGTAGTTTTGGGTACTACCCATACGGGTACCCGCGGGTATTACCCAACCCTAATACAAGTCCCGTTTCCCAATGTCTTGGAGAGTCTATAGAGTCGCTCGTCGACTCTATCGACTCTCTTCTGATTGGTCCTTTACAGGAGTCTACAGAGTCGCTCGACGACTCTGTCGACTCTGTCCTGATTGGTCGATTGTCACGTGACTTGTAACATAGTTCTTCCTTGCCGAGAGGTTTACTGTTACGGCCAGCTAACTGACAGTGGGTTTGTGTTAACAGTAAGCCAGGGATTGACAACAGTAACAGTCGTTCTGGGGTCTGGTCGATCGAATCGTAGATCTTCAAAGGTCTTGGTGATCAGTCAAGGCCTCAACAAGAGTCGTAGAGTAGTCGTCACTTAGGTATAGCTGAAAGTACCGGTTAGGGTAATCACAAAGTTGATTGCTGAAGAGCTATGGAAGTCTGACCATGGGCCGAGCTCAGGTCATACTATATACAAGTCCTGGACAGTCCCTGTGTCTTGTCGCTGATCACTGATCAGGTACCGGTGAGCGATCAGTGATCGTTGGTAAGCGCTCAGTAGCTCTGACTAAGCGCTCAGTAACCCATACTACCTGCTCAGTCTTATCTTATCATCACGTGACTTGTACCATAGTTCTTCCGTTCCCGAGTGAGTCCCTGTTGTTCCCGTGATCCTGCAGTACAAATGTCCTGTTCTAGCCGCCCGACGCCCAAGTGGGTCGTTCAGCTGTTATCCTTGTTTACGGGTCGTAACATCAGGTCTCCTCTCCAAGGGTCTTGTCCTCAAGACCAGCTTAAGTAGGTCGTCTGCCCTCAGGTGGGAGGGCGCCCAACTTGCTTCCTTTAATGATGCTCACATCATGTCAGGTCGCGTCAAAAAACGAAAGGTCGTACGAGCGTTCGATTCTCGTGCGGAAAAGACAAAGCAGCGCGATTCCCTCTTGAGTCTTATCTTGGGCAATCGTACCGTCATGCCTGTTTGTTCCTCCTGTGAGGTAAAGGGTTTTTCGTCGTGCGAAGCTTCTCTTTCTGATTCCTCTCGATGCGCCGAATGCGTTCGTGGCGGCAAGTCCTACTGCGACCTTCAGGGTCTCAGTGCCCAACAACTTCGTCGGATTGGTGATCAGCATCAGAAGCTTGAGGATGCTTTGGAGAAGGCAGAAGAGGAGCGTCGTGCTCTAGACGCCAAAGTAGAGCGTCTTCGAAAGCAGAAAAAGATATGGTTTGAAAAGATGATACGCGCGGTGCGCCGTGGTATCGACAGTGTGGAGGAGTTAGAGCGTGTTGAGAGAGAGGAGGCAGAGGCAGAGCAGCGTCGGGTAGAACCGGTTCGTCCTTCGGCTGATTCGCCTCGTCTGCCGGTGGAGTTCACAGCGGATTGGGATACCCTGTACCCGGATGTCGCTTTGTCGCCATCCTTGTTGGCTGAGTTTGGTTTGTTGGATTCAGGGTCGGTTGTTGAGAGGCGGAGTACTCCTGAAGCGTCTCCTGGGGGTGTTGGAGGCCCTTAGTAGGTTCCTTTAGGCGGCTCTGGGGTTCCTAAACGAATGAGAGGGTGTTTATCCCGTGGCTTGTTTGATCGTGGTGGACGGATGATAGGTTGTAGTTGTCGTAGTCGAAATTGACTTTTTGGCGTTTGTTTTTCGATTCGTACTGGTGCTTGTCTTTGTTGTTCTTGTTCTTGCTGTCTCCAGTAACGTCCGAGTTCTTCCTGTGCGTTTTCGAGGCTCTGAGGTGGTTCCCATGTGTTGTCTTCGTGTCTGTATCCTTTCCACTTGACAAGGTAGCGGATACTTTTTTGTTCTTCGATGTGATCGATTATCCGTTCGACTTCGTATTCTTGTTCGGGATCTACTTCGATATAGTCCGTAGTGTACGATCCCTTTGGTGCTGATTCGAGAAGTGAAATGTGAAAGACTGGATGACACTTCATGCTATCGGGTAGTGCGAGTTTAAAGTTGACGTTGGATACCTTCTTCGTAATTTCAAAGGGTCCAAGTTTCTTAAAGTCCAACTTATCGCTTGGTCGTTTTGTTTTGATGTTGCGGCGGAGAAGGTATATACTATCCCCCTCCTTTAGAGTTGGTCCCTCAACTCTTGATTTGTTGGCGTATTTGCGCATGCGTTCGCGCACAAATTCGAGGTCTCTGGGGAGTTCCTGCTGGATCTCCTTAAGTCTGTTGATGTCTGCCACAGCTTTCAGAGCTGCTGGGCCTTGTCGAGGTTGTCCGTAGGCTGTTAGGTTGAATCCATAGTTCAGATAGAATGGTGATTCTTTTATACTTTCTCCTACTGCGCTGTTGTAGGCGAACTAGGCCATAGGTAGCAGTTAAACCCAGTTGTCTTGCTGATAGTTGACGTAGCAGCATAGGTAGGTTTCCATGATCTGATTGATTCGTTCTGTCTGGCCATCGGTTTGCGGATGGAAAGCGGTAGACATCTTGTGGTCAGATCCTAGCTGCGAGATCAGGGATCTCCAAAACTTGGAAGTGAACAGCTTGTCTCTGTCGGATACGATTTCCTTCGGCATTCCGTGTTGGCTTACGATCACCTGCAGAAACTTGTAGGCGAGGTCTTCTGCAGTGCTAGACTCCATGTACGGGATGAAGTACGAATACTTTGTAAGTCTGTCGACGATGACGAGGACACTGTCGTAGTAGGCGTTAGTCATCGGTTCACGGGACTTAGGTAACTTAGTGACGAAGTCCAGCGAGATGGATTCCCATGCGGTTTGCAGCACTAGGAGCGGCTGTATCTTTCCATAAGGCTGATGTCGGCTGGGTTTGCTTTTCGCACAAACCTCACAGTCCTTAATCGCTAAAGATACTTCTTGTCGTATAGCCGTTTTGTCATAGTGTTGGCGGATGCGTTTCCATGTCTTAGTTACGCCTTGGTGACCGTGTGCGGGTGCGGAGTGTATCTCCCTAATGGCTTCAGGAGACATCCTTCCAGGCGTGCTGGTACTGTCTCTTCTGGCCATCATTAAGAGTCTGGCTGCTGGCACAAGGTCTCCGTTTTTGTCTGCTTTGAGGATAACTCGGGTTTCCTCAGGTACCTGGACCTTATGGTCCGGTCTTCGGCTGAGGGCGTCGGCCCTGCCGTTCTCTTTGCCTTTCCGGTAGACGATTCTGAAATTGAATTCTGACAAGAATTCGGACCATCGAATTTGTCGTTTGTTGAGATCTTTCGATGTGGTGAAGTGTGCGAGGTTCTTGTGGTCGGTGTATACTTTGACCTCGTACTTGGTCCCTGAGAGTTACGGTCTCCATTCTTTGAATGCCTCGATAATTGCCATAAGTTCCTTGTCGTGTATCTGGTAGTTGAGTTCTGGGCCGTGTAGTTTGCGTGAGAAGAAGGCACAAGGTCGTAGCTGTCCTTCGTCGTCTCGTTGACCTAGTTGTCCTCCTATGGCATAGTCTGAGGAGTCGGTCTCGACTTCGAATGGTTTCTCGGGGTTTGGTATGACGAGTATTGGTTCCGATGTGACTTGTTGTTTGATCTCGTCGAAGGCTTTTTTCTGTTCTTCTTCCCATTGCCAGGGGATGTCTTTCCTCGAAAGTCTCGTGAGGGGGTCGTTTCTGTCTAAGTATCCTTCCAGAAATCGTCGGTAGTAGTTCACAAATCCAATGAAGGATTATACGTCCTTAACGTTCTGTGGTGTAGGCCAGTCTCGTACTGCTACGATTTTGTCTTTAGACATTTTGAGGATTCCTAGGGCTATCGTAAAACCTAGGAATTCGACTTCTTTGGCGTGAAACTTGCTCTTCTCGGGTTCCACTAGGAGTTTGGCGTCTTGCAGTTTCCGTAGTACTTGGTGTACATGTTTTTTGTAGTCTTTCAGAGTCTTGGAGAAGATTAGGATGTCGTCGAGGTAAACTACGACGAACACATCTAGAAATTCTCGTAAGACGTGGTTGATCATCGTCTGGAATGTCGCGGGTGCGTTGGTAAGTCCGAAGGGCATTACAAGGTACTCGTAATGTCCTCGGCGTGTTCGAAACGCTGTCTTCCATTCTTCACCTGATTTCATCCGGATCAGGTTATAGGCTCCTTTTAGGTCGAGTGCTGTAAACCACTAGGCTCCGTGCAGTAGATCTCGTAGTTCGGAGATGAGCGGTAGTGGGTAGCAGTTCTTGATCGTAATGTCGTTGAGTTTCCGGTAGTCGACGCAGAGTCGTAGTTTGCCGTTCTTTTTTGGTACGAACAGGATTGGGTATCCTGCTGGTGATGTGGAGGGTCTGATGTATCCCTTCTGTAGATTTTCTTCGAGGTAAGCGTCGAGTGCTTCCATTTCTTTCTGGTTGAGTCCGTAGATTGCTTCTAGCTTTGGCTCCTTCCCTTCCTTAAGGGGTATCTCGTGGTCGTAGTTGCTGTGTTCCGGGAGTCCGGTCTCGAGTTCTTCGGCGAATAGCTTCTGGTATTGCCGGTATTCTTCTAGGATAGACAGAAGTCGGTCTTCCTTGCCGATGTCTGTTGCTGATAACGTCCTGGCGTTTGCATCCTTTATCCGTAGGTATGCTAGAAATCTCTTCGCTTCAGGAGTCTTGAGAGGTTCGTTTGAGGCACCGTTCCGTGGTTGCTTCTCAGTAACTGAATCCTGGTCCCAATGGAGTTGGCCTGTTCTCCAATCTATCCGTGGGTTACTATCGTATAACCATGGTCTTCCAAGGATGACATCGTACTTGTCTCCTATCTCCGTAATATCGAAGTTGAGTCGCTCATTCTGGCCATGGATCTGCATTGGGAGTTGCGCTGTCTCCATAACAATGCGTCCTCCGCCGTACTAGACTTGTTCTCCTTCAACGGTGCTGAGTTCGTAGCAGTCTTCGGCTGCTTTTCTTTTCCAGGTTATCTTTCTTTCATTCACCGTTCTTAGTGATATAAAGTTTCCTTAGGCTCCGCTGTCGATCATAGCGGTAGCTGTTCTTCCGTTAAGCTGTATTTAGACTTGTACATGCTCGTGTCGTTATGTCGTAAGCGTCGTTGCGCTACATAGGGACCTTGTCTAGACTGCCTGTCGTTATCCCTTGTCTTCGGTAGGCAAGTCTAGTTTTTTAACTACTCGTCCGTTCCTTGTTCGTCGTTTTCTTGCTGTTTCTTCCATGCTTCGTCTTTCTTAATATAGTAGACTCGGCGCTGGTCTTGGTAGCAGTAATACCACTATATTTCTTCGTCAGAGTCCTCTCCAGAGCTGGTGTCGTTGACTGAAGCGACTTCAAAGGCGACTTCCAGTTAGGCATGTTGGCAGGCAACATCGCGAGGTGTTTCCGAGTCGTTGGGGGTGTTCTTAGTCGTTTCTGATTCGACCTGTTCTTCTAGTTCTTGGTTGATCTGGCGGATCCGTGCGGGATCTCCTTGTGCATGTTGTCGTCGTTCGATGTATGCGTCCAGCGCACCGAGTTATCGTTGCCACATAGGGTTTTGTGAGTCCTGTTGAATCCGCTGCAGGTGGGCTTGTCGTCCTGCGTAGAGGAGGCTTAGCCTTCGCTGATTGTCTTGTTCTAATTCCTCGTTGTCGTTCATACTGTCGAGCCGTTCGATTGTCTTGCGCTCGATTTTGCTATTGCTTCTATATCCCGCAGCGAGGGTCCGTTTAGGTACGTTGGTAGTGTCGTAACCAGATCGTTCTTGAGGTTTCTAGGGGTACTATCCTGCGTGTTCCTTACTGCTAGAGTGGATATGGCAGTTGTCATCGAAGCAGGTGGTCTAATTAAGTTGTTTATGAGGGATCGTCTTCGTAGCGATACTCGCTTGTCGTTTCTCTGGTACCGGTTGGAAGCGTTCCTTCTTGGGTGACCTGCATTCGTATGCTAGGTATCCAATCTTCTGGCAGTTATAGCACTGTCTGTCTTTCTTCTAACTATCGTTCTTTTTGTCGTTTCTCTGTGTAGCACTAAGGTCTATTGGTCTACTGTGGTGACTATAGGCAGTACTTTGTCGGGGGTTGTTCTAGTTGTTACGGGGTCTATTGTCGTTTCGCTAGTTGTTGAACTGGTGCTGAGGCTGCCACTGGTACTTGCGTCCTGAGTTGGGGTTTTATCGTTTTTCGCCTCTTTCCTTTCGTCGTTTGAAAAGCTGGTTGTCGATTTTGATAGCGAGTTCGGCGTACTGGAGAAAGTCGTCAGGTCGATCAATCTTGATGATCTCGTCCTTGACTTCGTCCTTTAGTCCTTGATAGAACATGAAGATCTTGGTTTCCTCGGTGAGGTCGAGTTGAACGCTGAGTTGTCGGAAATTGGTGGAGTAGTCTTTGGCGGACTTAGTCTGCTTAAGTTGTGCTAGATCTCGTTCGGCTTGTCGCTTTTCGTCGGGGTCTTGGAAGAGTGACCTAAGCGTATCCTCGAATCCTTTAAAATTAGCGTAGATGTCGCGGGTCTCGGTGGTGCACTCGTCGAGGGTCTCGCATTTGAGGTATTCTTCCTGGATTGGTTCAAACTACTTAAGGGCCTTTCCTCGGAGGTAGGTGGCTGCGTGTACTACTTTTTCGGTTTCGTTAGTGAAATCTCTATGGTGAAAGTTCTAGTAGTTTTTGACCTGAATCAGGAATCCTTTGAGGGTCCCGGGGGTTCCGTCGTAGGTGACAGGCGCACTGAGCTTGAGCTTTTGTCGTCCTCCGTGGACGGGCGTGGTGACGATGTTGGCGGCGGCCCGGAGGGTGGTGATTTCCCCCTGGAGTTCCTGGATCTTCCGGAGGTTGGCGTCCCCCTTGATGTCTTCTTCTAGCTTCTTATAGGCCTGTCCAGCGTGCTGGAGTTGCTCGTTGAGGTTTTCCATTGCTTGTCGGTTTTCGTTGACGATTTTCTACATGTCTTTTGTCTCGGCTTCTTGTTTCTAGATTATGCGTCGGAGCTTATCGTAGCTTTCCTTGGTGAAAGAGCCATCTCCATCGGAGTCGTACTTAAGGTCCGGCATGTCGAAGTCCTCAGTGTTAGCAGGCTCCTGCGCGAGGCTCTAAGGCTGGTTGCGCGAAGAGGATGAGGATCCTGGAGTAGGTGATTTGGCAGAAGCGCGAGAAGACATCTTGTCTATACTGTTTAGTAGTTCTCAAAAGGTAACTTACTGAACAGGAGCAATCAAAGTGTTACGGCCAGCTAACTGACAGTGGGTTTGTGTTAACAGTAAGCCAGGGATTGAGAGTAGTAACAGTCGTTCCGTGGTCCTGGTCGAATAGATCGTAGATCTTTAAAGGTCTTGGTGATTAGTCAAGGCCTCAACAAGAGTCGTAGAGTAGTCGTCACTTAGGTATAGCTGAAAGTACCGGTTAGGGTAATTACAAAGTTGATTGCTAAAGAGCTATGGAAGTCTGTCCTCGAGCCCGGCTCGAGTCTATCCTATATACAAGTCCTGAACGGTCCTCCTTATCTTGGCTATGTTGGATATTTGACATATCTAATATATCCGGGGATCGGTTGGATTGATTGATTGATTGATTTATTCCTACTCGGTTATGAAGCCGCTCTTATGCCAGCAGCTATGCCCGGAAAGCGGGGTTTGGCAGGTAGCCGAAGCGTCGACAATGAACAGCGACGCCCCACTTCGCCCTGATGTTGCATCAGGGCCAGCTATCCCCAAGCTCCCCACTATGTTCTCTATTCTGTGTGTTTGTGCCCTCTGTTGAAGAAGTGTGTTGCTCTCCTGTCTGCTTTCTCGCTTTTGTGTTGCTCTCTAGAATGCTTGTTTTGCGTCCTCCTGCTTCGGTTCAGTTGGTGCTGGTAGCACCGTATCTGGTTCTTTGTACCTACAGTCTCCCCCCAGCGCTCAGCTTTGTCTCTTTGTTTTGTCCGTATCCTCCCGGACTTGTATGTGCCGTTTTCTCAGTTGCATCTGTAAATTCTTTGTTGCCTCCTGCCGGGTTCCTATGTGGCCTCTTGTTTCTTGCCTGTTGACCACTATTGCCCTCCACCACATTGGCCCAAGGGTCTTCCACGAAGCACAATGCTCCACTGACTCCGACATGTTCGATTACTGGGTATGAGAGCTCCCGCACAGATTCCGCAGACATTGTCGCGCGTTGAAGGGACACCAATCCTTCTTCGCAAAAGGGGCGACAGGGGACCAGTCTGTCTGTGGTCTGTAGTATTGTGTGGCATCGATCGTAGCATGCCTAATGCCTGGTGCTTTCTCCGTGCGGAAGGTGATACTGTTCTGTCGGACTCATCTTCGTCGTTGTGGGACGTTGCAAACTTTGTCGGGGGTGACAGGTGACCCAAAACCTGTCGGCGGCTGTTGTGTTGAAGTTGATTGTTTGGGCGCAGTCTTAGTGCTTCGTGTAGCGGCTTGTGGCTCGCCTGTGGTGGTGGTAACAGTGTTGTCTATTGATATGTCGTATTTTGCGGCTTGCTCTCAAGTTTTTCATTGTAGTCGGGGCGTGCTCTGCGGCCATCTTGGGCCCCTTTGGGACGTAGAATCAAGGCCGAGGATGGCATTGCATCGAAGGGGGCTCTGTGGCCGCGAGCACGCGTATTTGGGGCCGTTTTTGCTCCGATTTTCAAAAATTTCGTTCTCGCTGTTGTTGATGTTTTTTGGATCGGTTGGATATCTGACATATCCAACATATCCAGCCCGGGTTATCCTTACCCCGCGTTATCCCCGAGGCCACGTGACTTGTCCATAGTTCTTCCGTTCCGAGGATCCCTGGTTACACCTGTCCGGCTGGGTTACATATGCCCTGCGTTAGCCGCCGGGATCCAGGCGGGGTCGTGTTAGCGACCATGTCCAACGGGTCGTAACACTACTTCGTAACAATATTACCAATCTCACCTGTTCTTTTGCCTTTAAGCTTTGTTCTAAACTCCCTAGCTCCTATTACTAGTCATAAACCTTATTTAGCAGCATAGTCATACAGCGAAGCATATAGTGTCGCTGGTAGCCTACAACTAACGTCGCACACCCACTTCTCGCACACCCCCACATTTCGCACACCCATAAATCGCTCATGTAGAATTTTACCCTCTTCAACATTCTTTAATATCTTTACTACTTTTACAGCGATTATTATAATTCTTTGAATAGTTACTCTTATACGCTTAATGGGCCAGTATACGGAAACAGAAGTCAATCAAGCTCTCAATGCAGTTGCAAGTGGGCAGAGTGTCCGAAAGGCAGCTCATGATGCTGGAATTCCACCATCAACCCTCCAGTCTCGATTAAAGGGTTCACAGGCAAGAAATGTAGCTTTCTCTAGCTTCCAGAAGCTATCTCCAGCACAGGAAAGTCACTTAGCTGAATGGGTGCGTATCCAGGCGGCGTTAGGGCTGCCGCCAACACATCAACAACTCAAGGAATTTGCCCAGCGAATCCTAGACATCAGAGGCACTACCCAGCCACTTGGGAGAAACTGGATTCAGTTCTTTATTAAGAGAAATCCATCAATCAAGGTTCATAGAGCTAGAGCCATCGATTCTAAGCGTGTCAATGGGGCCTCAACTAATGTAATCAGGCAATGGTTTCAACAACTCGCCCTTCCAGAGATCAAGGCGATCAAACCACATCATCGCTATAACATGGATGAAACTGGTATCCTAGAAGGCAGAGGATCAAATGGCTTAGTACTGGGATCATCAGAAAGCTCATCAATGCGAAAAAAACAGCCTGGGTCTCGGGCTTGGACAACTATGCTTGAGTGTGTCTTTGCAACTGGTTAGGCGCTTCCTCCACTTGTTATTTATCGAGGGAAATCGGTTCAACAACAATGGTTTCCTCTTGATATCCATAAACGTGATATTTACAGTGGTTGGAAGTTCACAGCAACTGAGAATGGCTGGACTTCAGACTCTACAGCTGTGGAATGGCTTGAGAACATCTTTATCCCTCTGACTAAGCCTGATCATCCCTCTGAGCAGAGACTATTGATCCTAGACGGTCATGGCAGTCATGAAACAACAGAATTTATGTATCTCTGTTATAAACACAAGATATATCTCCTTTTCCTACCGCCACATACATCCCACGTTCTCCAACCTCTAGACCAAGCAGTCTTTGGGCCTCTCAAGGCGACCTATCGAAAAGAGCTTGGATACCTCATTCAACACAACGATTCTACAGTTGTAGGCAAACGGAACTTTCTTACCTGCTATGGAAAAGCACGCCAGATGGCATTTTCAAGCAAGAATATCAGAAGCGGCTGGAAAGCAACAGGACTATGGCCCATTTCGATAGCTCGACCGCTCATGAGCCCTCTACTGCTTGAGAATGCTTCCAAGCCCTCAAAGCCAGGCTATTCTACGCCTATGAGGGCCTCTGATGGTGGAAAAGACGAAAACTGGGCATCTGCTACATCCATAGTAGCCTGGTCAACGCCCAAGAAGACAGTTGATCTATATGATCAACTTAGCTTATTCAGCAAGTTGGATAAAGATCAGCAAACGCAGCGACTGTTGTTTCGGAAGGTTCAAAAGGGATTTGATGAAAAGGACTATCAATTAGCTACAGCAGAGAAGAAGATTGCAATGTTGGAAGCAGAAGTTGAGGCTGGAATGGTACGGAAGCGGCGTAAGGTCCAAATGAGCCCAAATTCGAAGTTTGCCAACATTGAGGCAATTCACAAAGCCCAAATTGAGGCTGGCGAAATTGAGGATAGCTCAGATGAATCTAGCGAGCCTGAATTACCTATTAAAACTGGCGATAGTATCACAGTTGCAGGAGACGAATCAGACTTATAGTTATGAAGTTGATGAATACCTCATGATGACCCAATTTATGGGTGTGCGAAATGTGGGGGTGTGCGAGAAGTGGGTGTGCGACGTTACCAGTCTCTTTTCTATATTCTCTAAATTGAGTGACTCAACTTCATACTTCTATGCCAAATCCCACGCGAAGTCGTTTCACAAGCTCCAAAAATCTAAATGTCGACTCCGAACCAGGACCTTCTGCCTGCCCAGTCTTCCTCCGTGCCACCGGTCTCGAAAGCTGCAGACTGGAAGGCTATATGGGCAGAAGGACCATCTGTACCCTGGGACCGTGGGAACCCTAATCCCGCATTCATCGATTTCCTACGAACCCCGTCTAACCCTCCCACTTCACCCAACGTCAACCCCACGCCTGGCGCGCCGAAACCTAATACCATTGAACACACCGAGGAAGTGCAATTGCCGGCACCGCTCAAAGAGGATGGTACAAGGCGGAAGGCGCTGGTGCCTGGCTGTGGTACAGGGTATGATGTAGCGCTGTTGGCAAGTTGGGGGTACGACGCATTTGGGTTGGAAATTTCAAAGCATGCGGTCGACCATGCAAATTTATTTTTGAAGAACTCAGGTGAGGGCGTGCTAGAAGGTGAATATAAGATCAAGGATGAAAAGATTGGAAAGGGGAGCGTGCAATGTTTACTGGGTGATTATTTTGACGATGCGTGGGTGCGGGAAGCTGGCGTTGTGGAAGGATTTGACATCATCTATGACCATACGGTAGGCCTTCTTCAGGATGAAATAGTCAATCGAGGGAATATATGCTAATATCTCGTCCAGTTCTTGTGCTCCTTTCCGCCGACCCTCCGTCCACGGTGGGCAGCACGAACAGCGTCATTACTTTCCCCCACTGGCATCCTCGTTTGCCTCGAATTTCCTACGCACAAACCAGCGTCTTCAGGCGGCCCGCCATGGTCGCTCCCACCAACCGTCCATTTGGAATTGCTTAAGCGGCCAGGAGAGGATTTGACCTATGACCACAATGGTGTGGTAGTTGTTACAGATAGAGACGAGAGCGCAGATGCCCTGGTACGGATTGCGCATTGGACGCCGAAGAGAACGCATGAATCTTCTATGAAAGAAGGCGTTGTAAGGGACTGTGTGAGTGTATGGCGGCACAAGAAAAAGGCTTAGTCTCGCACACTCTCCAAAATGTTCCCCTTAATTCTAGTGGGCAAGACTATGGCTCAAACAAGTCATTTAGCTCAGCCAGCCCTTCACAGCGAGTTTTAATGCTCGCCAAGCCCGTGGCTGTGCTTGTAGTATATCAACTATATCTCCTCAAAGTTCATTTCTTCTCTCACTGGGGTATTTAGATAATTTGATCGTCGCTGTATAGTACGCGTATCTTGATGTTTCTTATTCAATCAACGCAGGATGCCGAACCCATTCTCTTGTCTTATCAGGTTCTCCAAACGTGTTCTGACAGTGGATCTATCATGAAGCTCGCTGTTGGAATAGCCGGAACTCCGGGTTGAAGTGGCTCCGTTGCCGGCAGTCCTGCCGGCACCCGGGTTGCCCACGTGACGGGCAGTCCGACAGACGGCTATAAGTTTCGCGATCACTTCAACCGAGACTCCCACTTTAATCTCTTCGATGGACATTGTCAGATACAAGATAAGCAACCATTTCCCCCTCAGTGTCTCTTACGGGTACCCCTGTGATCCAAACACACGAAACCATCAGGATTACTTTTGATTAAATCTGCCGCTTGCGGTACCATATTGCAACTTACTGTCTCTGCCCTATTGTCCTCTTCAATGACCCTGACCTGCAACTTGAACTTGAGTCTCAATTCACTTGTAAAAAATATGTCTATTACAGCAGCAGAAAGAAAACGACCATACGCTCGGTTTTTACGCAGAGCCAACTTGTGATGCTCGCGTTGGGCCCCATACGCTGGCGTTTGTCTTGCACGTCCGTCGCATCAGTACCTCACGTTTTGCTGGTTGGACAAAGGCGTCTTGTTTGGCGGCTCGACGTGTGAAATGGGCTTTCACGCGATTGGATTTCTTCCCTCACCCCCAGCGCCTCAGTTCTTTTCCTCACGGAATTGCTATTTTGTCTTTGCGCACTGTTTTTGTTTACTTAAGGATTCGAAACATCATTTACTTTAACTTCTTCTTCTTGTGATGTGTGCCACTTAAGTGTATAACTCCAGCTGTATCGACCTCGTTCAATTGAGAGAGCAAGCCCTCCTTGTTACGGCCAGCTAGTGACAGTAGGGTTTCTGCTAACAGAAGTTGAGGCTACGATACTAACAATAGGTCTTGCGTCGTATACAGGTATGTCGTACTGGTAGATCGAGGGTTAGGGTAAGGTGATCAGTCTTACACTAGGTAACGAGGTATAGTAATATCACAAACTGTGAGCTAAGCTGAAAGTCATCGAGGATGAATCACAAGTTGATTGCTGAAGAACTATCTAGAGGGCTTGAGCAGGTGCTCAAGTCCTGGTCTATATACAAGTCCCGTTTCCCAAGACCGACGTCCGCGTCGTCGCTTGCCGATATCTCAATTGTCGGCAGCCGACATGCCAAGAGTCGTATCTCTTATTCCTTTCTTATCATCACGTGACTTGAACATAGTTCTTCCTTTTCCGGCGGGGCGACCCTTGTCCCTTCCGTCGCCTGCATATATCTTGTCTCTAGCCGCTGTCCTCGAGTGGGGCTAGTTTCTCTGTTAGGCATACTTAACGGGTCGTAACACTCCTAATTTGCGGTACAGCAGTTGTCTTGACGTGAGAATCTTATTGCAAACGGAAAAAGAGCTATTGATCGTGTTAATGAATTCAGTAGTTATTTTGCTATATTTATTGACTGAAAGATATTAAAGAGTACAACTGTAGATTCTAGTAAACAGTAAATAGAAATCTTAAATAGAAATAAAAAGCCAGAAAGCCTAGGTCTTCAACCTATAAAAACAATATGATTCATCCCCAAAAAAGTTCTAAAACGTGGAATTGAGTTCAAGCTTGTATTTAGACTTGTACTTCGAAAGCAAGCTTTCAAAGCAACAAATATTAAGTGAGAGAATAAAATACCTATAGCCTCAGTATTAAAAGCTTCTTCAAGGAAAAGTTGTAGAATATTAATAGGGTGTTTCTGTAAAACGCCCATTTCAGATGGTACGTAAGAGTAGATGCATAACATATGTCAAGTTTTAACGACCTACTTGTCGACTCCGGAATCATTCGAGCAACTTTTGTTAGGAAGTCTCAAAATTCCGAGCTGGTGCTTGTGACAACTCCAATATCAGTAATAGTCTTTTGGTTCGTAGGTAGACGTTTTTGCATCGTAATATCAAGTTTATCAATGTTCGATAGAAAGCCCTTCTTGGATTGTAGTTGAGACATATGTTAAGAAATCTTACAGCAAAGTAGCTCTTGGCGTCTTCTGGAACATGTAAATAGTTTAAGTCGTTCAGTACTCTAGTGGCCAGGTGTGGTAGTATTTGAGCAGAGCTGCAAAGAATCTCGCGGCACCATGAGGCTTTCCTGATTCGATCAAGATGGCCTTCTTGCGGAAGACTCAATTCTAGCAACCCCTTGGCCAAAGTTTGAGGACACGAGCGTTCTAAGAACAGTGGCCAATCTTTTCCACTGTTGCCGTGTAAGGTAGAGTTTCCAGGGCGCACAAAGGGGCTTGATATGGGGTGATACGACCGACCAAGGAACTCTGTCAGTTCTCCCGAGAACGTTATCATAAATCTCAGTCTTTTCCAATAAGTATGTGTTTTAAGCTTGATCAGGTGACTCTGGGCTGCCAGCAACTTAGCAAGCTCAATAATCTTTCCTTAACTCAACCGAAGCGGAAGAACTTCGGGTCTCTAGTGCCTAAGTAACGTTCTCGAAATGTTGTCTTGACTGAAATTGTATATGATGTAGCTCTCCGAATAGAAACACTATCGGAACTCGAGTTATCACCCCAAGCCTCTTGTCCAAAAGGAATGTCATGGGTTTTAGTAGTGACCGTCTTTGACCTCGGAGCAATTACTCTAACCAGTTGGTGAATGATACAGCTTTCCAGCCTGTAGAGATCTCCGTTTGCAAATGGGACGCACCTACTTGATAGCCAAAAGATTGACTAGATGCCCAATGCGCCAGGAACTGCATACCCGATTCCTGAGACGTATGGTGCTGATAATATACCTTGTGTCGAGAGCTGGCCGAAGGGCCATTCATCATCCTTATTGTCTCGAAAATATCAGATAGAGGTTCAAGTTTGTCGCCAGCCTCATCAACGGGGTTTTCTCTTCTGCTTGTAGTATGAAACTTCCAGATCCCATGGTTCTTTTGAAAGACAGCTGTTTTGGCCCTAGTCTTGACAGTTGGCATGTGCAGTGTGGACTTTGCTCTTCCTTTCAGCTGAGGCGGTCTTTTACACTTGTCTTAGCGTACTGTGAATCTTCCGACAATGCTAAATACAAGAATTCAATTTCTGTGTAGCAGCAGCCATGTCCTCGTTTATTTACTTCAAGAGTACCATTAGCATCCAGATGAATGTCAAACTTCTCGAGAACACAGAATTGAACCCAACTTGCAGAACCTGGCGGCATGATTCGAGCTTGTGAATTCCAACAAAACAATCACACGACAATTGAGGCTTTCATATAAACTTAGGGACGCGCTGACGCCGAAGGAGACAAATGTTGGAAGAGACGCAGAGGCCCTTGGAAATAAGGCCACCATTCCCAGCTTCTCCTTTTTCTATTCTGTCTAGTTTTACTTCTAGAAAGTACGGCCACTTCTGAGAATTTTGAGATTGACTTGTCCCGGTATTCTACTCAAATATCCTGTCGCTGATACGTGCTTATTAGAACTGGTTGAGCTTGAGTAGCTTATCGGACGGTCTTTTTGAGCGCGCTCTTAACTTTCACAGCTAACAACACATCGTGAGTCCCCAAGACCTGACTGGAGAATCGTGGGTTCCAAGCGTAAGAGTCCTCGACTTCGACTTATTAGGGGACATGCCATAATGACCAAATATTGTGGGATTCAATAAGCTACCTAACATTCCATTACACAGTGTCCCTGCTCGTATACGCCGCGAATACCCATCTCCAGCTTAACGAAAACGACGGATACAATGCCAGCCATTCCTGCTGTAATGATGAATCTTTCGGGCCACACCAACAAGTTGAACCGGATCAGTTCTTGGCCTCAACTTGTTTGGCTTCAACATCATTGGAGTCGATATTCTTGGCTTGGCTAGGACCATCGAAAATGATAGCAATCTCCTCTAGAGAAGGGCCCTTCGTCTCTGGGAACAGGAACCAGACGCCAACAAATTCGACAACAATCCATCCGACAAAGATGATGTAAAGTCGCCACTGAATATTTTCAAGACCTATCGGTACTGCAAACGTCGATAGAATCATAAAACAATATTGCACGAAATAGAAGAACGAGATGCCCTTGGTGCGAAGATAGTATGGTAGAATCTCAGGTATGTATAGACCGAGATTGCCATTGAATCCAAAATTGTATGCAGGCGAAAAGAGGTAGAGGAGTACCACAACAGCGTACCCGGCAGCTTTGTTTGACCTGTCCTTGGCAAACTCAGCACTTCCGGCCGTGATTGCAATGACAATAAACCACATGGCAACCAGAGAGCATAGAAACATGGTCCTGCGGCCCAGTTTAGCGGGCAGCGTGGCAAAGTAGATGGCGGAGAACCACGACACCATCTGAGAGGTGGCATTGATGAGTGTCTGCTGCACGTCCTTCTCCAGTTCAACCGATGTGAGTATGGGAGAGAGGTAATAAGATACAAAAGCATTTCCAGACATTTGAGAGCAAACTGCCGCCCATACCATGATCATTGTACGTCTGCGGTTGCCGGTTCCAGATACCAATTCTCGTAGGGTGCCAAGAAGGCTGGACTGGGCATCGGCACGCTCGGTTTCGATGGCCGAAATGATTTCGTTATACTCAAAGACAACAACAGGATCCGAGGGGTTGTCCTCGCCGTGAAACTTGATGAGCATGGCAAGCGCCTCCTCATGCCGACTCTTATCGACGAGCCAGCGCGGTGATTCCGGGACGAACCAGATCAGCAAGACCTGGATAACGGATGGCAGTGCCTGGAGCGCCGAAGGAATTCTCCAAGAAGCTTCGCCGTTGATGCGAAAGGTTCCGAAAGTGCAAAAAGCCGCTGTAATGGAGCCCACTGAGTAAAAGGTAAGGAACAGGGCGGTCGCCGTGCTGCGCTGCTCGGGGTGTGCAATCTCGGTGATGTAAGGAGCGCCCACGCCGGCGACAATGACGCTTCCAGCGCCGATGAAAAGACGCGAGACGATGAACATGGCGATATTAAGCGCCCCACCCTGTATAGCCGCGCCTACACAAGCAACAAGAGCACCGGTGCAGATGCCCACACGTCGGCCCCAGCGATCAGCTACAGGGGAGATCAAGAAGACACCGACGACACCGCCGAGAGGATATGCAGCATTAAAAAGTCCAAGAGTTGCTCCCTTGGGTGTACCAAAGTAGGACTGCCAGTGCGATACAGACTGTAGACCGTTCATCATCGAGCCGTCGAATCTGTGTATCAAGACCGTGTTAGCGTCGCAGAAAAGAGAACCCGATTGGACAATGGTGAAAAGACTGCTTACCCCTGGGAGAAGATGGAAAGCAGAGGAACCATCATCCATAGGTTCAAGGACCGAAGGTTGCGGTATCGCCACCAACGGTTGACGTTGATAGTCGACACTGCGTGCTCAGGAGTCTCCTCCATTGCTTGGACGTGCGGAATATGGTCCTTGATGGCCATTGTGAGCCGGTAGCGGACGTCAGAAACAGAAACAAGTCAGAGAATATCAGATCAGAAGGATTGAGGGCAACGGGGCACATGGTTCCGGGTTTGAGCTGCTTTGCTCGATGACCGCTTCTTAAAGTACTTATACAACTGTAGTTGCCTGATGATTGTTCTCGGGCTATGATGTGAGGAAGCCAAAGGAACACGGGAAGTCACTGGACAGTGATCATTTTCGGCGTACACTACACCGACCACAGTAACGCCATCTTGTCTATACCTCGGGGTATGACTGCACGAAACCGATCATGGGGTAACGAAAATGGGTGTGGGGAATGAACCATGTGGTTAGAATTAAGCATCATATCCGAGTGGCCTCTTTCCCCAGACAACCAGGACCACTGTTCCCCGCAAGAGGAGTAAGAGGCTGAAGTGTCAATCTCGGGGGAGCATGCTTCGAACCCTGTCATGTGGTACGACTAGGAGTTAGCTGCTTTTGAGTGCATGCGTGGTTAAACCAAGTGGTGGAGGACCGGTGCGGGTGGGTTTCGACAAAGAACCAATCACTTTCAGGAGGGCTCGTATATCTCGGAAACCACCATATCTCATGATAGACTTACCGTAAACGATCGCATGTTACTTGGGTACGTAAGAAACTACATTCGTTGGGAATGTCCCTTCACCATAGCTCGCTTTCTCGAAAATTCCCCACTTGAATCCTTACATCTACATCCATCTACTTAGTGATGTGGCGAAAAGTGTATCTATATTCCCATCAATTCATCTCGGTCTGCATGGTCTCTATTTATCCAGCCTCACACGAAACGTATGCTTCTTTGAAGAATACACTGTCTGCACCGCTTGTGATGGTAGTTCAACATAAACGATCCTTGACGTTGGATGATAGTTCTCAAAATCCAGAGTCACAGTAACCTTCCCAGAGTCATCCGTGACCCAGGAGACACTAATAATCTCTTCTGGCTTACCGTAAACCGAACGAAGTGGCACCTTTGCATTCAACTGCTTGTACAGTTGGAGCCTCGGACGGAACCGAACAGCTGTCCATCCAGGGGAAGCGGGTCTAATACCCACAACCTCGGCGAGAAATTCGTGGAGCGGTGCACTTCCCCATGCATGGCAATCAGAGCGCTGAGAAACGCTGTCCTCCTCCCATGTCGTCAGGCCCAATTCTAACTGCTTACGCCACGGTTCCCAAATGTCGTGGAAACACTCTTCATATAGACCGTCATTGACTAAGCTAAGAGCACGCAGGGTGTAGAATTTCATCGATATGGAAGATCTCACAAGACTTTGACTTGTTCGATTTGGGAGCAGACATTTGCGCAGAAGTTCAGCACCTTCTTGAGCAGTTGCCGCACCACTCAATATAGCCCACACCTGGTTCTGTTCCGAGCAATCTTTGTCTTTGGCAGATTTGCATGCAAGGCTATCGGCATAAAATTCGCCGTCAAAGCAGTTCATTCTCACGGCTTCCAAAATGATTTCCGAGCGCCGGAGATACTCATCCGCTAGGCCTGGCCGTCCTAGTTCTTTGGCAAGAGCAGCGGCCTTTTTCAATGTGTAGGCGTACAGATTGTTTGTATAAGTGGAAATGCCGGTGCGCTCCGCAGCCGGTGGAATGCCGTATGGTCTCCAGCTTTCGGCCCAGTCGACAAAGTTCCAGATACCAGGCCGGGACTCGGAAACTGTAAGTCCCAAGCCCGCATCCACACGGCCGTGAAAATAACCCAGCACTGCGTCCACCACAGGTAAGAATTGTGTCATGAAGACTTTGTCGTTGTAAAACATGAAATGATCATTGAGCATACAGATCCAGTACAGAGAGAAGTGCGGAATGACTTGTGCCTGGGTACAAGGTGCACGACTAGAAGTTAGCCCTAACCGTGCCTGAAAAGAATTGTGTAACTGAATAATGGCTTGGCGAGCTAGACGATCGTCCCCAGACACGTAATAGGTGAACAAGGCGGAGCTTCGTGTGTCCATTGCATACTGAAGCTGCTCGTAAAAGGGGCAGTCTTCGTAGCAGTCATGCATGCAATTGATTAATGTTCGAAGGCTGGTAGTCCAAAGCTCGCTCGACCGAGAGTCATCATTGTGCGCTTCGAATGACGCCGCAATATCGAGTGGATAGTTGACCGTTTCAACATCAATGCCGTTGATTGTAAGCTCCTCGTCTCCAACATTGATAACTAGACGCATGAAACGGAAAGTACGAAAATGAAAAGGAGCAAAGATTTCTTCAGAATCGGCTTCCACAGGGTCCTTCAATTCTTGAGCTTGTCGTGAACCTCCGAAACGGTATATGTCTCGAGGACCGAATAGTGATTTACTGCGATCGCACCTTTGGTCCTTACGCCTTAGGTATGGGACAAGGATCGGTTCTTCCTCGTAGCACTCAGAATAGGTCACGTGGAATGTGCCAGTTGACGTCCTTGGTTGTTTGAATCGAAATCGAACCAAAGCTGTGGTGTGCTGAGCCATCTCGACGTCAATAACATGGCTCGAGCCGACCGGTAGTGTAAGGGGACAAGAGGGACGCTGAGTATCCAAACCAGCATTCAGCAAGGCTGCTTCAAAGCTCGTTTTCGGAAGATCGCTCTGCACAACATGAACTGCTCCCAGATGAGCCGTGCCTCGCTTCATAGGAGGAATCAGGCGTGGAGACAGGGTCCACGGCGCCGAGTTGCCAGTGGAAGTTTGAAATTCATAGAGTTTCGCGGGCATCCACTCCATGCCAATGCCCCCAGACTTATCAATATGCTCGTAGATATGGAGGAAGTCGTCTTCGGCATCATCTATCCTCAAAATGGCTGATTTGTCGATGGCAGTTTGCCACTGTGTGCTACTGCAGAGTTCATGGCGTAACGGGTCGTTGGCGTCTGCTGCTGCCACACGTAGTCCTCCTTGAGGAAGCCTTGGGAAAGATAGGGCATAGGGATTGGCATGGAAGAATCGGAGAACATTGACGAAAATGTGATTCTGGCCGACGTGCAAATACGGCGCAATGTCAACCTCGTCATAGAACCAGAGATTGCTATCGCCCTTGACTGGGCCAAATGTGACGAGTTGCTGGTTGACGTAAAGCTTGTACCGCGTGTCGGCCGTGATGTGCACGACCAATGAGGAGGGTAGGTTGACGTCGATGTTGAGATCTTTGCGAAAGTGAACGAACAAGCCTGCGGTATCAGTTCGCTCCTCACTGAATCCCGGATGCCACATCCAGGATTTATCGACCGTAGGTGATGCCATTGTCAAAGATATGTGCCTCGAAGCTGGTAGCGGGGTAAACAAGATGGCGCCAAGACCTGATCACAGGCTATGCGGGCTTCAGCAAGGCCCATGTCTAGCATATAAACATTGCCCTTTTTTACTAAGACGGATCATAGATTATCCATTCGGGTCAATAAATTACACATCGGTCTAAAGCGAACCGAGTATGTCTTGCATTCCTTGATGCAGACGGAACGGATGTGAGATAAGCATGGAGCAAAAACGTGTAGACTGGCGAATGGGCGCGACTTATTCGGAGCAGTTAACGACGAATGTTCAACTAAGGTACCACGCCTAGAAGGATCAAAGTTCTTCGACCCCTGTCCAATAGTGCCTCATCCACTTCCAAAGATTTGTAAAATATTAGACTAAATACAAGAGCTATAACTCCGAAGGGTAGTAAAAATAACATGATTTTCAAAAGACAGGCTCGGATGATTGTCTCGTAAAGCTCGTAAAGCTCGTAATGGGTTGTGGGACCAGGTGCGCAGCCTTAGGGCTTACGGAAATCCTGCATGCACGTCCGGCCGAGTGGAGTCGCATTTTTAGCGGCAGGGCGCCGGTCACGGGAGAAACGCGGAATCCCGGTACCCCGCTTCCGCCGGGGGAATGCACCGCTACCTTGGGATAGTAGACTTCAACATGCTCGGCTGTGAACTGGTGCAAAATGCAATGGATCGCGGGGAAATTGATTTTCGGGCAATCATTCGCATCTCATCCCAGACACACCTCGTGGGGAAATGGATGCTACATCCAGTCTCTGGGGCTATTCAAAGTTGCCTTTGGTGCCCGGCATCATCCATATAAGACCATGACCTCAATCACCTTTCCAGGAACAAATCCATTAAAAACGCTAGCTGGAAGCTTCAAGTCTTTCATCCAAGTCTAACCTTGTATCAAAACTACTCTAGCTCTTTGGTCGATTCACCAAATGGCGCTCACGCTATTAGTTTTAGGGTTGCTGGCCACCGTGGCTCCCCATACCACAGTGGCAACCGGAGTTTCGTATCCAATACCTCCTAGTAGCCCATGTGACGCTGGCAAGCTTGACTCTACTCCTGTGGGAATGTCGTGAGTTCTCTCCATGTTTGGTATTACGCCTGGAGGCTTGCTGATTCCCGATTATCTCTCGTGCGATAGGTTTGAATTCTTCATGTGGCCCTCTTACATGACCAATATCAGCATCGCCACAAGCTGCTTGGAGCATTTTGACAAGCTCTACGGGAAAAAGACACCCACCCGTATCGGCGGTACTACGCAGGACCGTGCCGAGTTCGATCCAGATTTTGATGGCTACGTATCATATCATGTAGAAGATCCTCTGGAAGCTCCTATGGTTCTGAAATATGGACCAAAGTTCTTCGATCTCATTCGTAAGTAATCACTCACGGCAAACTGTCGAAAACCCACTAGAGCGTGGCAGCAACAAGAGCGCTAACTTGCCATGTCAGCGGCTTGGGGTGCTGAAACAACGCTCGGTATGCATATTTGGCCCAATTACCTTTGAAATGAGTAAGAGGTTGACCAGTCTTCAGGCTTCAATCGGGGCGATGATAACTTTACCAACACTATGGAAGCCGTCTTAGTGGCTAAAAACAAGACTCGGGGCTTCTTGCATGCTATTGAGCTCGGCAACGAGCCAGATTGTAGGTTTCAATGAACTCTCAAAGTGTCGTAGCGAGCCACGCTGATGGGCCGCGCTGTGATAGTGTACTACAAGTACTGGAACAAGCCTGTGGCAACGGCACCCTGGAACATGAGCCAGGAGGGAGCCAATGCCGCTCAGTGGGCGCAGGCATTTATTGACGGCTGGGACGAGCCAGAGCCCATGCTGTCCAGCGGCAGTTATGCGGTTCCCGTTCCTCTGGAGCCAAACTGGCCCAATACCGTACATCTAGTGACTGAAGCCTTCAATGAGACGGTAAAAGCAGGAGTCAAAGAGTATTGCGCCCATTTATATGCCCTCTCTGATGCCAAAGATCTCAAGACCGAGATGAACCACGTGCGGACAGTCAGCGACGTATCACACTTTATTGATGACATTGCTACTGTCCGCTCAGTGGGAAGAGATCTCATTCTCGGTGAGTGAGCATCCTTGAAAATAGCCAGAGGGTTTTCTGTCGCTGTCAGAAAACCAAAAGCTGATATAATCACAGGGGAGACCGGGTTTCATGGGCTGGATGAGGAGATTGACGCTACCCTTGGAGGAGCTATCCAGATCTTGGACAAGACACTGCGTGCCACGGCCATTGGTATCAAGCGACTCTATTATCATCAAGGAACGATCAATCAAGGTATGTCGCGAATTGGCGTTGAAGAAATAGCTGACCATTCGTGCAGCTTTCTTCAATTGGTGGTCGGATGACCAAGTCGAGGCCCCATTTTATGGAGGGTACATGGCTGCTTTAGCCTTAAATGGAGGTCACAGCATCATTGCCAGCGATGACGGAAACGATGCTTACGCTCAGTATGTGATCTTCAGGGACGGCGCCCCGCACAAGGTGTTGTTGATCAACACTGATTATTACTCGGGTGAGGGCGAACGAAATATCACAACCTTCAACTTGACCGGCGTAACTGCTGCCGAGGTAAAGGCGCTTCGAATGACAGCGTCGACTAGCGAATACACAACCAACCTGAAGAACTCAGACGGGGAACAGGGTCTGACTATCGGAAGTAAGCTTTCGTCCGCGCCATTGACTTGTAGGGTCGGTGTTCGCTGACATTTGTAGGCCAATACTTCTCCCATAAAGATTGCTCCATCCTGGGCCAACAGAGCTTCGAGACAGGGGTGACAACTGGCGGAAACGTCACATTTACCTTGGCAGCCTCCGAAGCGCTACTTATATATCTTTGAAGGAGTAGCAGGATGGATGCAATGCGAGCGAAGGAACGGTTATACCGTATTAAGATGACCCTACGTACCTTGCGTTGCCTGCCGACTTTATCTCGGATAGAATGCGTATAGACAAAAGTGGAGAGGACACAATCCGAGATATACGAGATGTCAAGGCCCCATGCAGGCATTATCCCAGTTTAGTCTACCTTGTTCGTGCTACTGCGTGAAAATTCCGAAGAAGAAAAGCGTCGCCAGCCCTACCGACATTACCATTTTTTTCAGCTGGGGGATTGTGGCCATACGCTGTTTCAAAGGCTTTGCAATGGACAAATACAGCCGCTTCATTGAGAAATTTGCACACTGGGATAAAATTCATGAATATCAAGTCATATTGTAGTTTGTCTGCTAAAGAATTAGAGCGAGCCATCTCATGGTAGCCCTACTTCTCGTAGGAAGGCGAGATGTACATCAATAACCAGATTAGACTAATTAACATTCCGTGGAACTTGAAGAAGATGAACCTAGGCTATTGCGGCCGGTTCTCAAGCCATACTCCTCTGTCTTTTGTTTGAAATGTTAATTCAGTACATGGCCCTACATTTTCTATTTCCAGGTACTTGGTTTAAGCTACTTAGACTTAAGGGTTACATGCAGCGAATGCCAAGTACCCAGTACAACTTTATCAGTCGGCCTGATTACTGATGTAAATGAAGCTCTCAGGAATCCCTAGGGGATTCCCTGGTAACCTGGAGAGGATAGAGTTTTCTCCTCCGTACCAGGGCCAGGTAGCTTTTGTTTTGTACTAGTATTGCCGGCCAGAGCGGTTCCATTTCTTTTCACCTCTATTGTGCTATCCCATGAAGCCAGTAGAAATCAGTGATAAAGGTCCACGACATACCAATAGCTACAAAGTAGCGTCGTAATCGAGAGCTGTGGGTTAAAAACTGGGGTCGTATGCGAACTAACATCCAAGACCCCAGTAGAGGTGTATAGTCCGCTACTGATGGTTTTCATCTCATTAATGTGTTTTGTCTCGTCATCTGTACGCCTTGTTTCTTTTTCCTTTTGTCACGGGTTCGTTTGCAGATCGGAAAAGTCGTTATATTGATTTTAGCCCAACACAGTACCGTTTGTTATCGCTTGTTGAGCGCCACGATCACCATGTCGAAGAATGAACCCCTTGCAGCGAGCGACAGCGAGGAATTCTTAGATGCTCCCCCTCCTTACGAAGTGCACTCCTCCGGAGAAGTCTTGGCAAGCTCTGCAGCCGTCAATGGTGTTTACAAGTCATCGCTTCTTGAGTCGACCATGCTGACTGAGTGCAGGCGACGGCTCCATTGACATATCTTTTTCGTCGCATTCACCTACGCAATTACAAGAGCGGTTGCTTCAACATTCGACCCAGCAACAGCCAGTAGCGGCTTCAGAATACGTCCGTCAAGAGCACCCTAGCCTCAACATCGTTATCCAGGTTGTTGGTAGTCGTGGTAAGCCGCTATGGGCCACTTCCGTTGAAACCGTTCGAAGCACTGACAATTCATGCCTAAGGTGATGTACAACCATTCATCGCGTATGGCGTAGCTCTTCAGCGCAAAGGCCACCGAGTTCGTCTCGCTACTCATGACAATTTTGCGGAGTTCGTGAGAAGTTCCGGGTTAGAGTTCTACCCCATAGGAGGAGACCCTGAAGATCTGATGGCGGTGAGTTCATCAAAGGACAAGAAACGTATACCAAGCTAAGACAGTCTACCAAGTACATGGTGAAGAATCCCGGATTGATCCCTTCCATCGAGTCTCTCCGAGGTGGCGATATTGGCAGAAAACGACGAATGGTCAAGGAAATGCTGCATGGATGCTGGCTCTCATGCATTGATGCTGATCCAGTTTCAGGTGATCCGTTTGTGGCGGATGCAATCGTAGCAAATCCGCCCAGTTTTGCCCACGTACACTGCGCGCAGGCATTGGGAATCCCTCTTCACATCATGTTTACCATGCCTTGGAGTGCTACTAGAGAGTTCCCTCACCCTTTGGCTAACATCATGGGAAGTAGTATTGAACCTGCACAAGCGAATTGGCTTAGCTATGGAGTCGTCGACCTGATGACCTGGCAAGGGTGAGTTCTAGACAAACTGCCCCCACCTTTACAATCATCAAGATGGACTCACAATGTTCAAATAACAGCTTAGGCGACGTGATAAACTCCTGGAGGAAGAAAGAACTCAAGCTGGAAGTGTTGCCCGCCTCTATGGGTGCCACTATTGTTGACCATCTTCGCATACCGCACACTTACTGTTGGTCACCGGCATTGGTTGCTAAACCAGCCGACTGGCGACCTGAAATTGGTAGGTTTCACGGATATCCTTTGAGTTTCAACCGATAAAATAGGTACAGTTCGATGCTAAACACTGCCAGACGTTAGTGGCTTCTTCATGCGAGATGAGCCTCAATATGCACCACCAGCCGACTTGGATGCATTTCTCGCTGCTGGTCCACCGCCACTGTACATCGGTTTCGGCAGCATTGTTCTAGATGATCCAGAGCGGCTCACTAAAATCATCTTGGAAGCCACTCGGAGATGTGGTGTTCGAGTCATCATTTCCAGGGGTTGGAGCAAGCTGGGCGGCGACTCTCCAAACACTGCTGAAGTGTTCTTCTTGGGAGACTGCCCGCACGGTTAGTTTGTCAGTCATTAGTGTCTATGATACTAATTTCAACGAATGGCTGTTTAAGAGGGTCTCGGCCGTAGTGCATCATGGAGGTGCTGGTACGACCGCTTGCGGACTCATCAATGCTCGCCCAACCATCATCGTACCTTTCTTTGGCGAGTATGCTGGCCCTCACGTTCACGCTGAGACGTCTCATGGCTGACAATAGAGCCTTAGCCAGCCATTCTGGGCTAACGTGGTAGCAACCGCCGGGGCTGGGCCAAGACCTATTCCACAGAAGCAACTGACCGTTGAAAGCCTCGTTGAAGGTATCAACTACACCATGTCGTCCACGGCTATAGAATCAGCCAAGGCGCTTGCACATAAAATGAGACAGGAAAACGGTGCTGAGACTGCCGTGAAATCATTCTACCGGTGGCTTCCGATCGACCAGATGAAATGTGAAATCCTGTCCAACCAGCCAGGACGCTGGTCATTCAATGCTGGTGGCGTAAATGTCCGGCTGTCAGACGCCGCAGTTGCCGCGCTCGTTGCGGAAAAGAGGATCAAGCTTGGAAAACTGAACCCGTGAGTCCTAGCGAATCAAAGTCGAAGATTCTCTGAATATTCGCCCTACTGAAACGCGTTTAGGATTCGCACGAGAGAATACGACACAGATGTACGCCGATGGGATCCTGTGACTGGTGGCGCAGCCTCCGTCTTGGGTACCATGACCGACTTCACGACCGCCCTCGGCGGGACGTTTATCGATCCGTTCAAAGCATACAAGGAGGCCAGAAGAAACGGGGGAGGCGTTTCTGCTGGAAGCGGCGCTGCCGCTCAAGGGGCTGCCATGGGCTTCGGATCCATGACTGGGGTGGTTACGAAGGGCGCTTTGGTTAATATGCCGTTGGCTTTGGCCGAGGGTCTCAGGAGCGTGCCCAGACTTTATGGTGAAGAAGTTGAGAACCACGGCAAAGTTAAAGACTGGCAGAGTGGGGGCGTTGTTGCTGCAAAGGTAAGTCTTGCTTGCAATTAATCCTCTTAAGTTGCCAATTTCGTTAACAGCAGAAGAATTTTGGCCACGGCTTTTATGACGGCATCACTGGATTTGTTACCCAGCCTTACAAAGGTGCGAAGAAGGGTGGTGCAGTGGGTTTTCTCAAAGGGGCGGGGAAGGGCTCAATCGGACTCTTTACCAAACCGGGAGCAGGTATGCGAGAGACAACACCAACTCTAACCTAGCCTTTAGATTCCTGGTCCAGCTAACGTTATTGAACAGCCATGTTTGGGTTGATGGCGTATCCAGCTCAAGGAATCTACAAATCTTTCAAGGGGAATGGACCCATGGATCCATTGATGAAATCGAAATGCGCGTTAGTTGATCACTATGCAAAGACTTTTGGTGGCAACACGGATACAAAGCGGATCGCCGCTGTTTTTGATGGTATTTTGGCGAGTCATAAATAGAATGAATTTTGAGCATCAAGAGAACCTTAAAGAACGGATTGTCGTCGTATGAATATCACCCAATACTCTCAGATCTTGCTCCGAGCGAATAGGTTATACTGTAAACGGATATTGAGAAATAAGAGAAAAGTTCAGTCTGCGTATTGGCTGACCAGAAGCTGGGGACACATAGAGAATGGCAAATTCCGAAATGACGCATGAGTAATGGGTGACGCGAAGAGATATGCAACCTGCCCCTCCATGTCTCGGCATATAGATGCGCCGATGGCACCAGCATGGTGACAGAAACGAGTGATTGACCCGAACCCTTGGATTGGTATTGAGGATGATCACCTCCCTACCATGTGTCGGGGTCTCCCCTGTCCAACGAGTCGAACCCGGGCCGGATGCCAAGACGCTGGCTTACCGTAAGGAGGGCGGCTCTAGAGAATTTTAGTCTCAGTAAGATGCGGAGCAACTAGACTTTTAAGGTAGCCCAAGCTGGATGGGACGGCCGCCTGCATAGGCATTCCAGCAAGCCCGGACCACGACCTTTAAACCTCGTATTTAAACGAGCTTTCTCGGCTCGATACCCGCAGGTTCACATCTGTTCTCTGATTGCCCACTCGGTGATGACCGATCACAACATGCCCTCTAGGCGGACACATTCCAAGTCACGTCATGGCTGCAGTCAATGCAAGGCACGCAAAGTAAAGGTACTGTAGTCTAGTTTCATCAAACATGAACCACGAGTCAACCTCGTTGATTCATCTCCATCTCGTAAGAAATTTTAACTAATTCAACGACGGAAAAGTGTGGGGAGGAAAGGCCCTCTTGCAGCCGGTGCAGAAAGCGTCGCGTCCACTGCTCATACGACGATGTCCCGAGGCTCGCATCTCCGTTGCCCACAGTCGCTAGCCCCGATGACGCACCAGGTCTAGGAGTACTGGAGGTCAACGGCCGTGCCAATGTGTCACAATCCCCGCCGGTCGGCTCGCTGGTCCATCTGCAAGCGGGCTCCTCGGGGCAGCCGTTGACAAGCTTCTTCCGAGAGGATTTCGAGCTCCTCCACCACTACAGTACCGTCACATACCAGACGATTCTTGACGACGAGTCTACGGAGCGAGCTTGGCGCGTCAATGTTCCGCAGGAGGGGGCACGTCATGACTTCTTGATGCACGGCATACTCGCTGTGGCCGCGATGCATCTCCGACGGCTGCGTCCCGAATCTGCGGCCTATTACAACCATTTGGCTACACAGCATTATTCCGAGAGCTTGAAACTTTATCGACCTATCCTTGATCAATTGTCCAGGTCTACTGCCACGCCTGTTTTCATATTCTCAAGCTTTTTGGTGTGCATGTCTTTGCAGATGTTCGAGCAGAACGACCAACAGGATTTGGAAGCCGTCTTATCTCTAGACTCCATCCTTGATGCATTCAAATTGGAGCGTGGTATTCACGACATTCTGCGATTAACGTGGGACTGGCTTCTCGGCACACCTTTTTCTTCCTTGCTCCTCTTCAGCGAGCGCATGACGGATTGTTTAATTACTCTCGACGACAACGAAGCTTTGGACAGAGTAGAAGCATGCGTCCGAGAAGACCTCACGGCAAATCCCATGCTCGGGGATTATTTGGACGCGGTAAAACGTTTGCGTGAGGTTTATGCGTGCAGGAGCACCGCAATTAGGCACAAGTCCGCCGTTTTTTCGTGGCCCGTGCTTGTTTCTACGGCATTTTACGACGAGATGACACAGAAGAAACCCCTGGCCATTGTACTCCTGGCGTACTTTGGTCTCTTGCTAAACGAATTACGAAACGTATGGTGGGTAGGGCGGGCAGGGCGACGGCTCTTGAGAGACTGCGCCGATCTCCTGAGCGGTAAGCATCGTGAACTAGTAGGCTGGGCTGAAAGGCGTGTCGACGCCAATATGTTACGACCCGTTGGACATGGTCGCCAACACGACCCCGCCTGGATCCCGGCGGCTAACGCAGGGCATATGTAACCCAGCCGGACAGGTGTAACCAGGGATCCTCGGAACGGAAGAACTATGGACAAGTCACGTGGCCTCGGGGATAACGCGGGGTAAGGACAACCCGGGCTGGATATGTTGGATATGTCAGATATCCAACCGATCCCCGGATATGTTGGATATGTCAAATATCCAACCGATCCCCGGATATGTTGGATATGTCAAATATCCAACATAGCCAAGATAAGGAGGACCGTTCAGGACTTGTATATAGGATGGACTCGAGCCGGGCTCGAGGACAGACTTCCATAGCTCTTCAGCAATCAACTTTGTGATTACCCTAACCGGTACTTTCAGCTATACCTAAGTGACGACTACTCTACGACTCTTGTTGAGGCCTTGACTGATCACCAAGACCTTTGAAGATCTACGATCTATTCGACCAGGACCACGGAACGACTGTTACTACTCTCAATCCCTGGCTTACTGTTAACACAAACCCACTGTCAGTTAGCTGGCCGTAACACCTACTTTCGGTATTAATAAGGCAGGGAGTAAAAAGGAGATATTAGGGTTATAAGCGCAGGCGCCGCGAGTCGGCAGCGCACAAGCTAGGCACAAAAAGGGGAGTCGAGGGATGTAAGAGGGGGGGCAGATTTCAGCGTTAGCACCTACCCAGACCTACCTTGGCAATATAGTCCTATCGTCCTCACTCCGTCTATTCTACCATTGACACTTACCTTGAGTTGGCCCATGCGAGTGGCTCACCCCGGTACCCGTAGTCTTGGACATATGTCTATCCCTCAAGTAAGCCTCGCTGCCGGCAACGTGGTTGAAGAGGTCGATCTCAAAGAAGAAGCCCCGAGCCTTGCGTCCCTGATTCCCTTGTGGCGGGGCTGGGCTCCTTTGCTTGACAAGAACTTAGCTTACGTGAGGTCAATGTCAACAGACTTGTGTTCTCAGTTGAGTCAGATGCTCTCTTGAACGTATTTTGCTTAAGCCCCGGTAGCGTCTCCGTGGAACGGTCTGCAGCTATCGAGTTTTGCTTCGATTCAACGGACCAAGAGGTGAATGTGACCAGTGATATGAATGGAACCGTCTGTATTGGTTGATGTATTGGAATATCTTCCTTTTGATGAGATTGCTTGGTGTGTGATTTTGGCACCTCTTTCGCTCTGGTTTGTCTCCACGTCGAGGATGGACGGGAATGAGGGATCGATCGAGCTGAGACCTGTATATCCAAGCGTTAGTCAGACAATAACACAACATACTAAGTATGAAGATGAGAGTGAAGTAATGAATAGGGCAGACTAGTGAAGACTCGCACTCTGATCCTTCTTGAGATTGGCTTGAGACTGACTCTGTCTGGGCGGTAAGCGTCCGTCGCAAGGCCAATTGGGGCACCGCATAGCTTCTGATGTACGATGGTGCGGAGAGAAAGGCTAGATGCGACAGAGGAACCGAGTCTGTATGCGAAGGCTTAAGTCAGGGCTGAGGGAACTGTTTGGTGATGCTGGCTTTGGATGAGGACCAAACCAAAGAATCAGAGGGATGCCGAGCATTGGACATATCACGCAATGTGGGCATCCTGTGAACATAACTATACCCCCTTTATTAAGATTTTGCTATTCGATCTCCTAATCTTAGAGTTGATGAACCAGCCTCGAGAGCTGTACCAATCCATCCCTAGCGCAAGCTGTCCCTCATGTCGTTCAATCTGATCCAGAACGTCTTCTTCGTATGTAGATTCATAGTCGTTTACTTTTTGGTGATCTTATATATACCGCCTTGGAAATTTCGTCTTTACTTGCTCAAAGTTTTGTAGCCCAAATATTCTCTTTCCCATATCCGAGCACCTTTCCGATATCGTGGGCTATGAGGTCCATCTTGCGCCAACTGATGATGACGGGTTATTCAAAGGCACCATGACTCGTCACTCAGAAAGGCTTGTGCATCTGTATTGATGAAGTGGTGTGTTCTAGTTTAGGTTCCATGCGGAGAGCAAACTTCAGGCCTCTCCTGTCTCTTGTTCTTAACCTTGGAATGCTTCTTTAAGACTCTCAAGCGGCCTACTCGGAAAACCAGAATATGGATAACTGCCTGACTTTGGCCAGTATTGGCTCTCTCTCTGGGATCTCCTGGCCCGCCATCTCATTACTACAAGTATGCACCCGGCTTTCGTCATGCATGACTCTGGCAACCTTGCGGCCATCCATTTTAAGAATTGGTTGTGGAACGTAAGTACCCAGATGATTCATATTGTAGCTTACCTTGACTCCAAAGTAAGACCTTTCCCTGTCTGCTGAAGGTCACCGCCTTGCAAGTCATGATCTCGATGAAAGCAAGTGAAGGAATAAACTTCTTAACAACGGGAGGTTTAAGAGCAGACAGCTGGCGACTGGAAGAGACATCGCTGGAAGACACCTGTGGTCTCATGAACCATACATCTCAGTGAGGGCCTATGACTTCTACTATTGTGTCTATACTGAGAGTTTCCACCAGCTTGATTCAAGGCATTGCCGTCAAGGCATGCTAACCACGCCCCTTTCCAAGTCTGGTCACCTTGAACACAATGACTTGTTCTATCCCAAGTTGAGTTTCCACATGAATGACCGTGAATGGTTCTCCACCCCATGCACCTCGATCTTCTTGAAAGTTGGATTATCAGATAGCAGATGATTCTGATAACCAAAAAGGAATAGGAACCTAGCGGAAAGAAACGTTAGTGCTCTCGTCTGGTCATTTTTTCTACCAGCTGATCAATCCTCATTCACAGGCCAGAGAGATAAACGTGTTTGCCGTTGACATCTTGTTGCACAACTTGCATTGGTGCACTGCCACCCCGCGCAATCCTGGAACGCGTTTAACAACACTTGGGATTCACACAGCTTTCAAAACCAAAAGATGGTTTTTTCATGGCATTCATCGATCAAGATGGATTGCTCTGTACTCTTGATACAGGCTGGGTAGTCAGAGAGCATGCGTTTCTCCCCCCCGGCATGGCGCGATTCGGATTATATAGAACTAGCCCAACTCGGCAGAGATGCGGCGGGTGCCATTCCAAAACATGAGCAAGTCGGCATCCTGGTGAATGTTCTTAGCAATGTACTAACTAGGCATTGAAATCAGATTTGCATCAATGATGCTAATGAGCCAAATCGTGCTCACCGAGGCTCCGATTGCTTGCGGCCTGCGCCGTGGGTCGGGACACCAAAGCCACCTCTTAACTGGAATGGACCCAATAAAGCCGTTTCTCGGTTTCAAAGTAAATATTTATATTAAATCTTGAAGGTTTTGTATTATTCTGCTGATTAGTCCTCACTAGACTCGAGGCTGCTCGTTCATCATCGAATCAACGTTCGGTCAACTGGATTTCAAACAAATCCGTTGGGGAGAAAAAGACATTCGAAAGCTTCTATTTAGATGAAGGAGTACATCGCGGAGTAAATAAGCAGAATTGCTATGGCTAAAGACTTGAGGATCTGGCATACTTGATTTCGTTCTGTTGTAAAGTATGAATTGGACCTCGGCGTGAATGTAGCAAATTTGAAATGTCCCTTTCGGGTAAAGCGGCAGAGGTGAGAAAGGAGAAGCTTTAACCTGACACGTTGGAACACATTACGGTGGCTTCTTTTCGTTATCATCAGGTTGGAGTATTGACGAACTTGTTTCAATGTCCTAAGTAGACGTCTTGGCTAACAGGAACCGCCATCTAGCTCCAGGGCTGGGACCTCGATACCAAGGCGGCCAAGACTCATACCACTCCAAGCAGGCCATGACGGCCAGTACGCCCTCCTAATCCGCAAATAAATTAGAATCATCTCCTATGAAATCTCCCAATGAGACACTAGAGGAAAAGCCCTTCCGTTCATCCAAATGGTCTTATCCGAAAACAACATAATAGTTGCCCAGCACTAGAGCGAATATAATGTTGTTCTCAGGCTGTTATAGTAAAGCCGGCATATTACTGATTCTGTGGTCTGCTAGCGTTTTGCGGTTCTGGACAAAATCAGGCATGTTACGGTCAAAGCAGCATAACCTTTGCTTTGCTTTGTTCACAGTTCCACGAGATAAAACTGGGCGACCCGCAATTGCGGGAAAATTAGCACTTTCGGGCCATCAGGACGCAATTCCGTGAGCGCGAGTTTAGTGTTAAGTTGGTAGTAGACAGAACAGCTATACGTAATAGCACAAGAGCATTACGCCACTGAGCAGGATATCCCACCGGGTTGTTCAGCTTTCCTCTGTCCGAAAAGGGCTTTGCTGCCGACCAGCTAATATCATTGGTCAGTGTTTGTCCGCTGGCTCCATTTAGGCAGAAAATCAATAGTTCTTCTACGGGTCTTCGTGTGATGGGTAAGTGGGGTGAATGCCAATGATGAAGCAGACCATGCCAGTTATAACCAACAGGAACTTGCTGAAGTCTACTGGCAATTCCAGGAAGAATTACGGCATAAACTGACCTCCAACTTCCCTTCAAACGCGAGTGATTATCACCGAAAAAGCTCCTGAAAGCGTCATCCGCAAGTCCCTGCCGCAAACTCTTCAGCCGATCGCTGACATTATGGACCGATACCCTGCATTAATCAATACAAACATGATGTAGACTGCCCTGGCTGGGTCAACATTCACGGCGTCAGACGCGAAGACTGTGTCACAATAAAGAGCCTTCGCTCGTCGGAAGAGAGATTCCTGTTAATTTTGGTTAGCATAACCAGTGAAGGCGTTGATGAGGATTTAACCGGCGGGAAATGTCGAGCTTCAGTGGTGGGTGGTTCATTTGTAGACGTGATGACAGGGCTAGTTTTGGTTGGGACATTGATGCGACGATTTGCGTCCTACGGTAGGCTTCAAGCCTGTCAATTGAGACGGTCAGAGATTGTTTGTATGTCAAACAACATACTACCTTTCTGTCACTCGTTGTAGAACATTCTTCAGCATGAGCCCCAGCTGAAAGTACATGGTTTTGCTCCAGTTGTTGAGTGCCAGTAAAACTCATTCTACCACTTGTACACTCTTTTCGACTTGTTCGCATGAGACCATCGAGTTGTGTCATTTGCGGACGGGAAGCTCTTAGACAGTTTGAACAGTTAAGTACCGTGTGGCATTCAGGATAAGGCTAAGCCGCTGCCCCTGGTGTACGTTTACATGACACCTGATACACGAAGCATCATATAAGGAAGCATTGGGTTCGTTTTGCTAAGCGATTCAGTAGGTAGACGGCACGGCCACACCAGTCTATGCGAAAGAGTTGTACGTCTTCATCCTGATTAGTACTTCGACCGACCTGGCAGGGAAGTGAAGCAGTGACTGATGGGGATGGTTGTTTTCCTTCTGACAGAGTGACACTGTCCATAAATTTGCTGACTTTCGATCTTGTACAAGGCCACTGCCACCTAAGCGATGCATATCTGAGTTATTGATCTCTGACTTTGTTTGTTGTATTCGGAAGTGACATAAGCAAGATCAACATAAGGAATCACAGATACTGAGTAAGGAAGTATGTTACTAGCTGCCAAGCAAGCTTTAAAATCTAGTGGAAACAACTCTCCTATTCAAATGTCGACGAAAGTAGATCTAGCATAAGGTTCCTCAATCTACGGCCTCCACTCACAGTTTCCCTTAGCACATTCCTTTGCAAGTCAGTACAATTTCTAGTCAGACGTTTTCCACCGAAACCAGGACTGACCGCTTGAGAAGAGCTGAAGCACACCTGGCCACTCCTGTTAACACCATCGCGTCCAGCAGGACAGTAAAAATATTTTATGTTCACTTACGCATTTCTTCTGAGGATAAGTTTCGGAGCAGCAAACTTCACGAGCCGCTAAAACAGGGTGAGGTGTGTCCTGAATGACTTTGGTTGGTTCTAGGAGAACGGCGGCCGTCAAAGCGGATATGGAGAACAAAGTCAAAGTGATGAACTTCATTGTGACGAACCGGAGATGTAGAGCTTGACAGTTAATGTCTAATTTACAACACAATGAGAAGGCTTGGAATTACCTAAACCAATCCGAGGTTTTTAACCTTTATATCCTTTGTTGACAGGTTACTGCCTGTTGGTCGTTCTCAAGGCCTGACATACTATGCGGACCGTTTCGGAAAACCTCCACAGCAATAGTCCCATGACTTCAAGTTGTAACATAATCAAATAAAGTTTCTGGCCGCGAAGATCAGTTACGTGTCACGCAGCAGTACGTCCCACCAGCCAGCTGGGCCAAAAATGTGATGTATTAGGAAAAGACTGTCTAGATGAGTAAATAGGCTTTTATCCATTTGTCTCATCGGGGTTTCATCTACAGTGTTAGATAAACGATATTAGTTTGATGCAATACACCTGGGGTTCATTGAGCAAAGAGTGATTCATGTTGTTGATTGAGTGATTCTACCCATTCCGGTTGAAGCGGGGTTCTGTTTTGTATCTACCCGTTCTTCCCGGTTTCAGCATATTGCAAGAATGCAACTAAGCTAGATTTCCTAGCATTTTATCCGGACGCAGGCGTCAATCTAACATTAGCAGTACTGACTAATTAAAGCATAATTGCGCTTCCCATAGTTCCCTCCCTTAATCGAAAGCGAGGTTCGTACTACAAAGAGGTAACACCTCGAAGGAAGCTAATCGACGTAGCAGTAGTATTTATCTTACCTAGTTGGGACAAAAGAGTAGCTACCCTTTTCGTAACCTGCTTCTGTCTGAAGTAGTAGGTTATTCCGAGAGAAATGAATCGCACAAGTGGGGTGAAGGTTAAAACCAGTTCATTTCCTCCACTTAACATAAGCTTGGCTGTGGGTGATGCGTTGTGTTCATCTCAACTCGGAGGACTGATCCCAGGACTGGATTGAGTCATGAAAGTAACCAAGAGGTTAACCCGTGCCAGTGGATATCTCGCTAAGCTATGACTTTCATCTAAGTGAGTAAAGTCAAAAGGATTGTAGGCTTTGTTGTATCGACTGCTAATCTATATAAAGAAAGTATCGACAAGTGAAACTGGGGAGGGAATAAGCGCAAATAGGTTAGGATCTTCGTTTTCGGGGTCCGATTTCCACAGCTTCGTATTTATTTACAACGTACGGAAATCAGACTAGCAATAACAACCGACCGAAAGGGATTACAGTGGTTTTTACATTTGAGTCTTCGAAAAATGCTTGGATGACTGGAAATAAAGGGCGGTCGGGTATTCCGGCTGCATGGCCCCCACATTCCGGGACCCACCGACGGACTTCACGGGTAAAAACGAAGCCGGAAAAGTAACAGACAAGTAAATTCTGGTAATTCTTCTAAAGCGCCCTTTTGTCTTTCGATACCTCATTTCTGCCTTAGCATGACGTTTTGGAGGTCTAACATCACGAGAATGAGTTTCTCTTGCGTCTAAGCCGTATTAAATCGATGAGCAGATTCCAACCCCCTAAACCGAGCAGGGCAAGTTAGCAGTATAGGATGACCCACATATCTTGATCACCCGCCCGATAAGGGTAGCAAATTTAAATATGGGAATTTTGGGGTTCTTGGAATTGCCTTATGGCGCTAGTTATATTAAGCGATTTTGAGGTCCAGTAATTAGACGACAGGGACGAATGTTTGAAGGTTCTATGGTAATGACGTCGCGACTGAAAGCGATGATGCGAGGCTTCTTGGGCTGCAGCATCTCCATGACGGTCAAAAGAAAGTGCGATGTACTGAGTTGAGTAAGTGCCAAGATACCGGATACTAGACCGGTTCGTCCCTACAGGTTACATGTGGTTGTCGGCTAAAAAGGTGGACGAAGGCACAGGTTCTATCAAATCTCTAAGTGGCTGAATTGGTGTATCTGGCGCCTAGTCCGCTTTCCACTGCCTGCAACAGCATTATCACCGACTCTGTGCGATGTGAACACAAAGGATTTGAGCTGTAATGTAAGCCGTTTTTTGCAGTTCTCAGATGGGCAACAAGCTATTATTAACTAGGAACTCTTGTATCGCAAGCCCTTAGCGTTTTTCTTTTCCTCCACAATCAGGAACTGATCGCTGGGGCTTTTGAGTTCGGCACAGACCTTGAATGCCTCTTGCAGCAGGTAGTTGAATCGATAGTTAGGCAAGCGCACGTAAAGGTCGTTCAAGCTTGCCGAAGGAGGTAGACCGGCCGCCTGGATCCGAGCGAGCAGACCGTGGTAAAGCGGTGTGTAAAATAATGAAAAGCTGGTGGATTTCAATATATATCAAAAGCATTTTAACCCTTATAAAATCGATCACCTATCAGATTTAGAAGTCGATTGATTTTTGATTTGGCTAGGACGGCAAAATTACGAGACCGAACCAGACCCGTGAGCGTCGTTTGTGTGCTGCCGACTGACTCGATGCCTGTCTACTTCGACCATCGGTAACATGGCTGGCTTTAATGGGAAAAGTCAAGCTTCATGTTCACTTTAGCATTGGAGAAGGCGTCGGCATAATTCCCGAAATCGTTGAAACTCTTGGGTTGAAAGCGGCCGAGCTAGTGAATCTGCTGTAATGTCGGCCCAAATAGGTGTAAGGCTTCAACATAATGTTCTGTTGCCAATGGAATGAATTACAGACTGTATTATCGAAAGTACAGGTCACCACTAGCCAATAAGATCTCAGTATATTTCATGATAAATCGCTTCATGTAGACGATTGGGCGGTCGCCCGCAACGCCATGAGGAGTTAAGGAATGCTCTTCCCACTGTGTAATATGCTCGTCATGATCGGTATGAAGTCTAATTATTTAAAAATATTTCGCGCATTCAAGGGTATTCAGCTGAGCCGTAACGAACTCAAACCGCCTTAGGACACGTCGGTACAGGGTATACCCGCCAGCAACGACTCAGCTCTTTTCACCTCAACGCTTGGGTCGAATACAAGACGTCTCAAAGTCACTGCTAGTGTAGATTGCTGCGTCGAGAGGAGGCACTCTATCAAAAAATGTAACGGCATGCATGCCCAGCTCCCACGCGTACAATGCATAAAGAGTCACTTGTTCATAGTACCCAGAGGCCAAGCCATCAAAGGCGTTGTTAAGATAGCCAGCATCTACTGACGTGCTCATATACTAGTAGACCAGTTCGGCAACCCCTGAGATGCTCCGTTACATGGGCGCGTGGCGTAGGAGCTGTCGAAACTTAAAGGTTTACATTCGACGTTATTCTCAGGCAGACTTACAGAGCGTACAAAATAGGCTGTGCGCTTTGCATGAGTGACTGCCTCGATAGTTTGCGGAGCGAATGTCCTGGTATGATTTGGCCCAATCAAACTATCGTTGGAGGAGAGATGTTCCAACTCCCATGCTTAGCCTGTTGACTTTTCGCATTCCGACCTTACGGCGACAAATATCTGCGACGGCTTAAGGTGTTTGCGCATCATTTGACATCTTTCGGAGCTTGGAAAAATGGATAGGAATAGTTTGATCAGGGATTTCACCATGTGCCAGCTCCATATTGTTGCTAAAAGTCTCGTATTGGATCGCCGAAGGGCCAGGCTTTAAGGCTGTATTGGGATTGAAGCCTTTAGATATAGGTTTGACTGTGACTTGAGTGTCTCGGATCTTTAGATGACCAGAAATGGAGCGATTCTGTTGAAAGTTTACATCAGTCTGGCCGTCGGTAAATTCCCAGTCATTCCCCCGCATTGTTCAACGACAATTCACATCGATCAACACCACGTGGTTGGTTGTCCCCAGTTCATGCTCCCAATATCTTACAGAGATGTTGTCAACAAAGAACTGTAAGCTGGAAAGGGGAGGCGGAGTCTCATTCGAGCCAAGGCCTGGGATATCTAAAATCGACGGAGAAACGGATTTCGCCGTCTACCTTCTATTGCGGTATTTAGTCTAGCCCTTTTGACTTCCTAGTACTTTGCAGGATCTTCAACCTAAACTGATTTGTCCGACTTTGAGTTAAAGTCAAGAGATCCTGTTTCTTCCATTGATCTCTTAGTCTGCAGCATAAAATGAGGAAGACATAGGAATAAACGGCCATTCACGACTGTGGGCACTAGATAGCAACCAGGAACCCGGCGGCTGTTTCCACGGAGGGGATCTCCGCCTCAAGCTTACCCCAAGGTGACCGTGTGTGGAATTGTGGAATCTTGTTTGTAAGTTGCTATAAAAGTAGACGAAAGAAGCCTGCCGAGTTCTACGGAGAAAGTGGTACTGCGAGCGATCCGTGTCAATGTTTTCGTGATAGTAGGCACGAACATCGAAACTTGATACTTCATGAAAACCTTTAATATATGATGATATGACATCCTTGATCTTTTGCATGTCGAGGTTGCTCTGCATGATACTGGCTTTAAAGGCTTTGAAACGCCCTGTCTTGTTGTCGCGGATGGTGGGATCTATTCAATTTTCTAGGTACAGAAACAACTTTCGGCTGGCCTCCCACAGCGTGTACTTAGACATGTGTTTCCATTGGGTGGCAGAAACGCCGACGCATTTCGCTTCTCTGTCGATTGTCTTTTCGAGGCCGAGCATGCACCGCTGGACGAACAATTGCACCGTTGAGATGGCCTGGTTGATCCTCGACGCCTGTAAGTGGGGGCTCATTTGCGAATCGATCAACAAGTGCTCGAATAGGCCTTCGGCGTCAAGGATGTCAAGCTTCTTATAATACTTATGGTCAAGGAGGTATTGCACCATGGCATTCCTGCGGCGTTCTCGAAGTCCATCGTAAGCCTGCTGGAGTTCTGTGGCTAGGGCTCTGGAGTTGGCGGATGAACTGACAAAAAGCTCAAGAGACGTAAGATCCGAGAAGTTGGTATCTCGGTTGCGGTATTTGGTATTAACAAGATCTGGAGTTGCAATAGAAAAAAGCAGTGCCGGGTCGAGGCCGAGGGGCTTGAGTCCCTGAAGGAGCTCAAAAATGTTCGCCAGTTCGACTAGCTCCTTCTGCGATGTTAAACTTTTCTTGATGTCCGTAGGAGAATGCGACGGATATTTTGAATTCAGGATTATTTGAATTTGTCTAGACGGCCAACCTGTTGCCGCGCTTAGCCTGTCGAAGATTTCAGTGCTGTCAGTCTCGGACTGTTGTTATACCTATACAAAGAGCTCGGCAAGCTTCCTACTTTTGCTATCTGTTTGAGACTCTGTGCGGTACTGAATCGACTTGTAGTCTTGAAGTTGGAGTATCGCTTCCAGTGAAATGTTTTGAAAATGATTTTTCTCGCCACCGTTGCTAAAGAGCTGAACAGCTTCAATATCCAGCTCCAAGATCTGGATAATTGTGGATGCCGATCCCAGTTGTTTGTATAGTTTCTGCACCATTTCGAGGGTAGCTATATTTAGCAACAGGTCGCCAGTAAACATGAACAGCAACAGCGCATCTTTGGTGACAAACCGGGCTTCTGAAAGAGGAAACCTTGCGGCCAGAAATGTACAACTTTGGCCAACAGTTAGCTGAACCCAATCAGAACACCATTGGCCTCCAGTCTGAGTGAACACAAGTTGTTGTCCGTTAATAGAGACTTCTGGCATTTCTTGGCTATTGACTAAAAAATGGTATTGTTCAGAGACAGGTGGCGTGAACAATCCATTAAAGCTAGAACCTGCTAGGCTGGTGGTGGTCAACGACTTGACGGCGTCGAACGCATTTTTATCATTGTCGAATCGTACAACGTGAGTCATAAGCATTACCAGCATCGAATTGTCAATCCGAAAGTCGCTGGCCAGGCTTTCCACAATTAGCTGCTGCTGCCGATGTGATCGTAGCATAGGTGCTGTTTTCTAAAGAAACTAAAGACGGCGTTGGTTGATACTTGTTTCCTAAGTGTCGGCGAAAATCGCCGCCGTACTATCCGAGATCACTTCGCTTCCTGAAACCCTCCGAAGCAGTATTTCAACAGGTAGTTTGATCCGTTTCCACAGTACATCAATTGCAAAGGACCATTCAGGAATACTAGGTAGAATTGAGGATGCAAGCCGTTTTTCATCCTCTGTAAGAAAGCCCGACAGTGTTAAGCGGAACCTTTTGCTTGCTGCTAGTACAGACATCTTTTTATCCGGAGGAGTTGTCAAATCCGTCTCAGGCCCGTATTCTGATGTAGGTTTATCCAGGAGAGCAAAGCAAGACAGCTTTGAAACCAGCTTCTCTGGTATTTTGATGCTGACTTCTGACTTCATCTCAATGACTTGCGATACCTTTTAGGCACCTTTCAATCTGTTAGTCTTGCGCAATGTCTAATGTTAACAAATAGTATACTTACCTTCGATCAGATTATAAATAGACTGGGATGTACTCGGCTGAAACAAGAGCGCGAGCGACTTGTCCACCGTTTCTGGTTGCGCTATAAGGGAGCTGTCTAATGCCGCTGGGTAAGCCGTGTCAATAGACATGACGGCAGACTGCAGTCTTGCTACAGCTTTGGAAGCCGCTTTGGCTTCGTTTTCACTTAAATCCCCTCCAGTCACCCGCTTTAGATCTACCAGGGTCCAGCCGTTGTCTAAAAGCTTCCGCATCTTTACAAAAGCCTCGAGAGTATCCACAGGACCAGACAGCCAGTCCTTGTTCGGTATCAAAGTACAGAGATCGGAATACTGAGCAGGTTTGATGGAAAACATATCACAGACGAGTGAGATACGGTATATGATGGACACATTCTGTAAAGACAGCTTGCTTTGAAGGGAAAGGTTGGCACAGGATAGAATCGGCGAAAAGTTTTGTTCCCGAATACCCAATGATGTCAACAGCGTTAATTTGTGCTTCTCGATGCATATTGCGTTTGCCATAATTACTCCTGTAGTCTCGTCCGGTTTGAAGGCGGGATCCAAAGTAATGAGATGCTTTTGAAGGAATAGCTGGCTGTAGAGAGAATCTGGTCCATTGGTGTTGATGTTGCCCCACAGAGGTTGAAGAGCAGCTGGCGACAAGCCACTGATAGTCGATAGCTCTTTGACTGCTGCTAGGTCTTGAAGGATGTCTGGTGTAATACTTGAATCTGCATTGAGCGCTCTCGTTGTTGATGCATTGCTCTTCTCCCGCCGAAGGACGCTCAAGATACAGTCCAACTCTGAATTAGACCAGCCAATCTTTCTCCATAAACGAACAAAGGCCTGAAAGTCCCGACAGACTTAGACGGTTAGTCGATCGGAATCAGGATTGGCAAGCAAAGTTTGGCGCAGGCGCATGCTATCGAGGCTTATATTAAACTTCGTGTCGACTGTGGCGGCTACAGTTGTAATATAAACTCGGCGCCTTATGAAATGCGTCTCGAGTATCGCTTGAAGCTCCTTGAGATTGATTCCGGCCCTGGACAGGAGCTGAGATTTGATAAAGGTCAAGCCTTGACAGTTCTCTTCGTCAAGCATGGTGTTAGAATCGACGTAGCCCCAAAGCTGGCAGACTGACGGGACACCCATCACAGTCTTGTATTCTCCGTCGACATCCACGACGGGGCTACTTTGGCAAGCCAGCCAGAGCTCTACAGGGTAAAATGCTTCGCCACATATAGCCATGTAGTCGCCCTGCTGCAAATTGAGTAGTTCAGCGGCAAGCGAGCGAGAAATCAAAGTTTGGGCTTGGTCTCTCAACTGCTGTGCAGCTTTCATATCCATTAAGGAGTCTTTGAGGTGTGGATATTGACTCAACAAACGCTCTGGTGAATACAATGTCTTCAACACGTCGTATCGTGATGTTCCGCTCGCTGCTAGCAACGAGCGGATTCCATCAATCGAGTAATCGTAGGGGAAAACGGCCATTGGAAAGACTTGCTTCTGCAGAGCATCCTTGTATACGCTGATGTTGATGAAGGGCGGCGGTGCCTCCTTGTGGTCATTCGACTTGTCGGAGAAAATGTTTTGTGGTACATCCTTGGCACTAGGATTCCCATTGAGTGAAGATATATGGGCCTCCAGCACCTCGTTTACCAAGTTCAGATAGGAAATGGTAAGCTTTGTGTTGGAACAGCTGAGTCCGACATTTTGAAGGTCCGGGCGGCGATCGAGAAGTACATCAAGCAGTGATTCCTTTGAGTCACGGTCCCTACTCGCTGCAGTCTTTCTTAGCAGTCGAAGAAGATCAACAAGGTAAGCAGCGGGGCTGAGGACCGATGCGCACTCTTCACAGGCTACAGTGTCCATGTCCCTGAAGTGATTCGTCATGTTTGTTGCTTTTTCTGCTGCGAAATGCAAGGATTTAACAGGGATAGGGTCTTCCATGGCAATCACCTGAGGCAACACCCATTTATCGCGTTGTTGAGGACCCAGAGTCCAGGTTTGTGCGTTTCGCAACTCAATCGTTGATGCTTGATCATGGATGCGACAAGCCATTGTATAATCCAGATCGACAGACTCCATGATGGAGATGAAACTACCTAAATCACATTCTGCGATGGATTGAGCCGAGTCGAAGGAGGCGTTGATGAGGTTGGATATTTGCTGAGGAGTTCGTACAAGAGCTTGCAGCTTTTGTAATGTCTTTAAAAATGATTTGGCCTTCTCACGGATGCTTTCATCGACACTGGCCAAAGCCTTGCTGTCGTGAAAAAGTGATTTGACTGATGTTGTGTCGATTCGATACTGGCTTTGCAGACTTTCATCTAGACAAGCCTTAACTAGGTTTCTGACGGGTGCCTCGGGAACACCGATCACACCACGGGTAATCAAACCAAGCAAGACGGCAGTCGGCTCAGCCGAAAACAATCTTGCTTAGTATTCAAAGAGGACTGTTTCCTCGACGGTTGTAGTGACGCTGTCGCTATCAAAGTGATGACGAGCAACGTCCTGCACACTAGTTGGTACCTCTCTCAGAAGTGCGACTAAAAGCGGAACATTTAAGCTTGTTATCTCGCATATATCGGTGATCAGCCGGGCCTTCTGCTGTGCAACCGGGTCGGTAACCACGGTCTTCAGAGCTGACCGGAGGTCACGCTTGCCGTCAAGCTCAGCTAGGACAGCATTTGCAATGGCATCACCGAGAAACGTCTTGAGGCTCGGCCTTATTGCTGCTTTTGCTTGTGTATCAACAATCATTGTGGTAAAAAGAGTGATGTCGTAAGCACGAACTGCAGTCTTAAGACAAAATGTAGAGAACAGCTTAGAGTTCCTCTTAGAAATAACGTCAGGCTTGTTCGTTTTATTCTGCCCCTGCAATACATCGCCCAGCCTTCCCAGCTCTTGGCCAATTGAAAGACGCTGTACATGTGGCTATGTACCGGATACTTGTGGCATGCAGCACTACTTCTCGAGAACTCCCTAATAATATGCACCTTCTAATCCTCAATGGGAACTCAGCTATGCATGGGTCTAGGTAAGCGAGGCCGAATGAGTGTCCCCTGAAGGGTTCTACATAACCACCATAAAACAACAAAGGGCTAGATCGTAAATAGTGCCAACTCGGTGGGGCTGAGCCCTACCGAGTTGTGTGTATTGTTACTAAAATGGAATATTGGTTTGATATATTTAGCTGGAATATGATCCGTTATACGTATTGCTTGCTTGTTCTAGTTAGCTCGTGCCAGTCCTGTCCACCCATTGATAGGCATGAACAGCCAAGTTGGCAATTTAGGTACTATTGGAGATTCTTGAACCTTGTTCGATCTTCGTGATATGCACTACGGGAACACCTCTTTGTCGCGAGGCTATCTAGTGGGCAGAACTTCTCAGGGACACAACGGCAAGAGACTGCATATACCACGATAGCAATACAGCTATGCGCCTTCTGGACCTTACAATAAATTCCCGTTTGAACGATGAAAACTTTTTGCTGTTCGACCTTCCAACGTATTTGCATTTCAGGTTAAATCAGCAACGAGCAGAGAGATCATGGATCAACTACAGATCTAACAATCGGTTGTGTAGAACGCCAAAATACGTTGTCTAGTCTTCGCAGATACACCTTCACTACAATTCGCAGCAATTACTTTCCGACCTTCGGTAAGGATGAGAAACAGAAGCACCAGGGATATGGTAGCTCGAACCCAATGCCAATGCCGGGTTTTAGGTCTCAGACCTAGCGGGTTGATGACAAACGAAGCCTTGTAAAAATTGTCGCGCCATCACTTGGTTCTCCGTCCGACACTAATACCGCACAGTAAGCCCTGAGACAACCATTCCAAATGAATCTAGCTAACTATATAATGTCCTTCCCTGTGTCCATCTCCAGTCTGCCGAGCCGCTGCGGCTTCAGGTCTAGTCTTGGTTTAAGTTACAATTTTGGTAACAGGAAGGGACCATTTGGTCTGGGTAGCTGAAGGTTGGTGCATTCATGGAGCGAATGACACAACCAGCATCTTGTGCTGGATGGCATGCTTACCTTGCGCCCCCTACTTTGAAGAAGACTTAGTCTCATATGGGTGTGGCGAACTCCTAATCCAACTTATCTCAGACCCACGGCAAAGCATCTTTGTTAACTGCTGTGGTGCCTGCAGATCTGGAGGTATATGAGAAAGTTGGTGTGCACCGATCAAAGGAAGGTAGCATGATCCGCGAGGAAGTCTATAGAGAGGACAGTTCAACGGAAGCAAAGAAGCCTCTATTCGTCAAGTCATGCGCATACAAAGCCCACAGAGTTGAGAACCGAGTAAAAAGCGTTCATGGCGTGTACCGAATCACTCTTGATGAGTATTTAGAGATATATCAGGAGAGAGAAAACTCAGAACCCAGAAAGCTACATGAACTGGTTATATATGCCATAAATTCATCGATATTATCCTCTTCGCCTCAGTTATATACGGAAGTCGCATGCCTGATCTTACAATTACAGAAACTGACAGAGCACATCAACATGACAACAATGTTGAGTTCTTTGAAAACAAAGTCGCCAATATCTGCAGCACAAACGCTAGCTTCAGAAAGCTTTTGGTGTAGGCGTAGCATTGATATCAATCGACCAAAAGGTCCTCATCAGACTTTACTGGCGTTACTGTTTCTCAAGACAAACAGACTTCTTATCTTGATCACCAAGAGAAATCATTATTTTATCCAATAGGAACCTAAATCAACGAATCAAAACATAATAAGGTAGAATTTTTCCTCCAGCATAAAGATCTTATCCACCCGCCAGGATCTCGGGTCGTTAGAAAAGTACTTGACACATTGACAAATAGTATGTCCTTGTTGCAACACGTGCTCAGCTTGAAGATGTGTACAGCGAGTCGCTGGGCTAATATAGACGACAAATTGAGAGTCTCTTTGGAGATGGTGGCCACGAAGACATAGATAAGGACGGCTGATGGTGGCAGCGATCCTCGATTTCTCTATTCTTCACTAATCAAATCTTCGACCTAGATATTGTAAGATGCTCATTATTCATTTAACGGTGGTTTGGTATTCTCTCTTAACAAGAACAGCGCAAAAATGGCAGATTATCATTTGTTACCAATTGCGACAAGCGATGCTGAGGGTCTGTAACCTTGGCCAGTTATGATTGCTACACTCTGCATCCTCGGGAGGTCACGGATAGTCATTCTAACCGTATCCAATGCAACTAGGGATTGTTTTGGCTTACTGATAGCCATAGCAAGGTGAGGCAAAATGAAAAAATAGAAGGCGACAGCCTCGACGACGTTGAGCAGACACCATTTGACGACCAATTTGTTGATGTCTTCCAGAGCCCCACAAATCAAAAGGCCAAACAGCTTCTGAAGAGGGTTGGAGCAGTCAGAATATAAAGTTATTCGGTTTTTGTTGTAATTGCCGGAACTCCGGGTTGAAGTGGCTCCGTCGCCGGCAGTCCTGCCGGCACCCGGGCTGCCCACGTGACGGGCAGACTGATTGACGGCTATAAGCTTAACAGCCACTTCCTCCAGCACTCCTGCTAAAACTTACTCCATAGACATCAGAAACACATGAAAAAAACCAGTTTTCCCCTTTAGTTATCCCATTTTACGGGTATCCTGTGATACCAACAGGTTTTGCCACCTCGAGAACCACAGTCTCCGTCGCGCCAAAATCTTACGTTGATATCACTCATAGGTCTCAAGCAAGCGTAGAAGGAACAGAGGCTAAAATTATCATTTCTTTCACGTATCTTGCGGGTAGTGGAAGTCTTGTTCAGGTGGTGAACCTGGCGAGTACGATCAATGACGTGGCGGCTTGGCAAGTGAGTGAACAAGTTATTTCAGACAAGAAGCGGGATCCGGTCCGGGTTTATAAGCCTTGGATATCAGCAACTTAAGCATTTACTTCAAATTCAAATGTATCATCTCTTTGTAGCACACTGTTTTAAGACGCATGCAGACGCCGCGCAGACACTCTAAGCCCGACCCAATCTTATAGCAAAATCCGGCGCCAGGCGTGGATGCTCACAACATTCGATGAGGGGGACAATGTCACGGTGAGGAAATCAGCTGATGATAGCAACATTGTAGAAAACTTCTTCAGGCTCGAGATTGTATCCTGCTTTCCTTTGTGGCGTAACCGACATACTCAGCCCAGAACCGTGCCCGCATATGAGAAGCTGAATCCTGGTGAAATGGAACACATGACGATTGCGGCCTCAAGTGTTGAGGTACACAGCCAAACACTGAGTTCCGATCACTTAGACGCCCTTTCAAAGCCCCTCTGGTCTTTGCAGTCTTTGAGCTGGGAAGAACACTCGCAACGCAACAACTACGTATATGACCTGTATGGAAGAATTTCAGTCACATAGACACAATGGGCGGCACCGTTGAACGTCACCCTTTGACCTTGTCTATCGATAGATATATAGGAATTGTATGGAAGATGGATTACAAAACGTACGATTTAATTGTCTGGATCGAATGATACTTCAATGAGACTCTAGACTGATTACGCGCTAGGTCTATGACGAACTTGGTCGTGAGGTGGAAGTATTAAGTCGCAAAAGGGTGATACCGTATATCGGATTCGACGAAAGGTTTTCGGCCGCCAAGGTGCCTTCACTAGAAAGCATGTTTCAATATTCGATGCTAAGTCTCGAAAATTTCAGGACTATTCAAAAATAGTCATTAGTCAAGGCTCAAAACCAGCGCATTGCCATTGATAAGTTTGTTGTAAACACGCTTACTAGCGAAGAGAAATTTGGCAATTTGGGATTGACAAGAGGCAAAACGTCGAGAGAAAAAATGACCTGTATCTAACAGTTGAAGGAGAAGAACATTGTGCTCTCCGTCAAGGCCTCGACCAAGTCCACTTTGCGGGGCGTGGGTCACAGTCCTGCCATGAGGACGACCTTAGTAGGCGTTACTAATTGCAAGGGGCACCTATGTAGAAGAAAAAGATTGCAGAAGAAACCCCTAAAAGTGATGTAGGAAAATGACTATAACGGTTGTAGAGCCTGCTAGGAAACTGTAATAAAGAAAGCAGTCGTTAACCGCCTTAGAGGCAGAGGGTATTGGCAGACATCAAAATATGTCCAAAGATGCTCTTAAACACACTCCGACTATGATTTGCAACAGCCAGAACTCCGGGTAGAAGTGGCTCCGTCTCCGGCAGACCTGCCGGTACCCGGGCTTCCTAAGCTATGTGTAGTCTGACAGACGGACATGAGTTCTGCGACTATTTCCTCTAGCACTTCTGCTTGATCTTCATATCAGGCATAATGATAGACACTAGCTTTCTACTTAAGAGATTATATTACTATACTGGTACCTCTGTGATCCCAATAAGCATAATGAGAGCCTCATGAATGAATAGAATATAACGAATCACTTAAAACTAGCGACTCGTAACTACGATACCTACTGAAGCAAGATCCAGCAATATTTCGAATTTGATAATAGAAATTAACGAGCACCTTTCTTTTTAAGAGCGAATAATGCAGGAGACAGAGGAGGAAAACTGCTCCTAAGTCAGAAAAAGTAGCATAGTTTATGTATCGGAAAACACAGTGATAGTATTTCTTCCAAACCAATTCTACTAGGTAATCAACTAAACCTAACACTGTTATCTTAACTGTAAAGCCTCAAGCTCATTCAGACTTTGGACCAACTTCGATGAATCGTCAACATTCAAGTTATTTCGTATAACAGTCATAACATGGCTGATGCTTAGATCCTCACCAAGGGCGAGGGCGTAGCCATATGCTGTCCGGGTGAAGTTACGGATGTCCCGTCCATTCGTCTCGATCTGCCCCAATAGCTGGAACGTCTCTTCAGACCACTGAGAGTATTCATTGTGGTTCCGGGGTCTCTGCGTAGCTCGTGTTATGTGCTGGCGCCAGATGTTGGTCCGCTCTGAAGATTGAAGGGGGTAGTAGCGAAGAGAAACGTGAATACGGTTGTAAAAGGCATTGTCAAAGTCGTCAAAGCGATTTGTAGTGAGAAAGAGCATTCCGTCATAATACTCAATAAGACGAAGGAAAACTAGTGATACTGATCAGTCCTGGTGACAAAATGTAGGCATTAAGTCAACAAAAGGTGAGATTTCTGTCTAGCAGACAGCAAAGAGCAACTAACCGGCTACGACAGCGTTTCTTTCTAGCTCTGCTGTTGTTCTCTTTGTCATGAGAACATCCGCCTCGTCTAGTAGCACTACAGCCCCCCAACGAAGTCCCAGACGGAAGATTTCAGTCAGTTGCTTTTCTATAATTTCCACATTTGTACTGAGTTCACCTGTTGACACATGGTACAAGGGGCGATGAGTGCTTTCTGCCACGCTTTCTGCGTTTTCAAAAGTTAGTTGTTGATTCCGGTTTAATCAGGTATTAGTTAGCAGACCGATACATACCTGCTGTTAAAGTTTTTCCAAGCCCAGGAGGGCCGTGGAGAAGGAAAACTAGGCCTTTCCCTTTACCCTCAATGATATCTTCATAAGACTCCAGGTGAAAATCATCCTTATCCAATCCAAACCCCTGAACGAGGCTTTTCACTAATCTTTTCTTCTCTTCTGGAAGTTGAAGTGATAAGAAAGGGTCTTCTTTCCAAGTAATCTCCTCGAGTCCAGAAATGTAGATACGAAATGCCCAGACTTTGTGCTTAAGTAGAAAAGCAATCAATGTCGGAGGACACATCAGATAATCGTTGTCCGTGAATTGGTCACCGTCCCAAACCATATTGCGTTTCCTTGTTTCTTCTCTATACTTCTGAGCAATTTGTTCTGCGTCAAGATCAGAGTCAGAGCTCGAGTCTATGATAGAAACTAATGGGATATCGTCGTCATGCGTTGGTTCAAACGTGACTTCATTGTCGTGGATATCTGACCCATGAGGAGAGTACCCTAGGTATTCTTTTAATGACGGCGCCATGAGGTCAAAATTCTCGAATAAACTTCTAATTTCCTTTTCAGCCTTCCTATCAATAATGACTCTTTGACTAGTCTTAGATTACTCGTTAGCTTTTGCGCGGACAGCCATGAGAAGGAACTACAACTTACTGCCAGATTCCTGCTTGATTGGTCCTTATTACTGGTAATTTCACCTAAAAACCTGGCATTGCTGGTAGCAGTAAGGGCGATGGGTCCATTATAATGCATGAATCTGTGAGACGCTATAGAAAGCGCACAGTACTTCTTGCCTCGGGCAATGAGCCTACATCTAATCTCATGCTGCTCTTGTGTCGACAAGAATCTCATGGGAAGGAGCTTGAGGTTCATGATAGTAATGTCAACGACCTCTTTTAACCTTGACCCGAAATACTCGGTCTCTTCAGTTATGCCAAATTTCGTTCCGTTGTAGACCGATCTGACATAGCTTAGTTTATGTGTTGACCTGAGTCGGCCAATCTCTTCGGCAGATGTGTTACGAGCAGGTCAGGGCAACCAACTGTGGCACAAAGCAAAAGCTTCGGTAATGATGACTCCGGCATCATTATCCCCTGTTCTGCACTATATAGCTACGCCGGCCAGGCACCAACTGGTTGGGCCGTAACACCATGTCTCCCCTCTAAGAGGCATGTCCCTATGCCGAGGACCAATCGGACATATCGCGGGTATAAGCAGGGAAACTCCAGGCTAGTAGGGAACCAATCTACATAATTGCCTGCCCACGGTCGGGCGTCGCAGGGACCAGGGAGGACTGGCGACGTATGGGATTTGAACCCACAACCCTCTACGCGGGGTGGAGTCATCATTGTGTTACGAGCAGGTCAGGGCAACCAACTGTGGCACAAAGCAAAAGCTTCGGTAATGATGACTCCGGCATCATTATCCCCTGTTCTGCACTATATAGCTACGCCGGCTAGGCACCAACTGGTTGGGCCGTAACAAGATGACGCTTCAATTGAAGTGGAAAATACACAATCTTCGTCGACGTATTCAGTTCCTGTCTAAGAACCTAAGTTACCCCGAATATATACCTATTCGTGGGGCCGAAACAGAGTAAGACACGGAGATTGTTATACATAACTATACTAAATGAATCCTATTCCCAACGCAAGACTTGAATCCACTTCACACAAGAAGATTTTGTTTCAGTGACGGAATAAACGCCAGTATCCCACAGAAGAAAGAGACTATAACAGCCACAACCCCAAGGCTGGCATCTCTCCAGCCACTATCCACAAGATACAGCCGACTGAAGGATCCACGGTGTTGAGGACAATGCAAGAAAAGATTTTACGCTTCATCAATGCGCATCAGTCATACACACCGCCAGACCTTGGGGAGACCCTAATTGACCTACCCAAAATTGACGATCTGTCTCGATATGGAATATCAGAGACGCAAAAAGGGCAGCTATAGCAGCTTGAGACAGAACGACTCATGAGCGCCGTGAAGACAAGTGACGGTCTTAAAGCTTTTCGTCTCAAGGTCAAAGATAATTAGCCAGCGAACAAATCATATTTCGAACATTTATCAGTACTTGCCGACCAGCTATTGTATATCATAAGTATTTGCAACTTCGACAATCAGATTTTGTTATATGAGCAAAGGGAAGATCTATTCAACCGGGAAACTTGTCTCAGAGCGAAACAAATGATATTACACCGGTATGATCCTCAAAGACTAAGCGAGCAAACCAGGAAGCACGACAGCAGTTTGGTAATAACGAGAGACCAAAGCCGCGCATTCCACTGCGCATTAATTGACTATGTAACTGCTGTGGCAGCCCGTTACGCATGTTACACCAACCCAAACGAGTACTGGCACACGAGTGCATTGGCCGGATTAGCAAAATGCGCTGTTAAATTGAAATATCTGATGATAGACCCCGAACACTTTGCACATTTAAGTCTCGACTATGCAGAGGATGTTATGGCTGTAAATCAGGCACGCCATGCTTTAGGTCTAGACGAGGAAACACCTTTCGACACCATTGCTGCTGACACCAGCGGCCGAGACAACTTTCACAAGTTTTATATAAAAACCATCGAGAACCTCCTCCTCGAAGACGAACTAACTACCAATAGATACTTTGCCGAAGTATTAGTGTCATCTAAATGGAGTCTAGATAGTATAAGTGCTATCTTTGAGGATTTGAAGGGCAGCATGCTGTCTGGGTACTCTGTTGACGCCTTCGATATTTGTTCTATTGTATTTAAAGTAGGCTGGAATGACATGCCAACTCTGCTTTGTTAGGATAGAAATGGTGAAATCAGAGGCTCTGCCGCACGAAGCCATTTGCGAACTCTTTATGAGATGTACCGCATAATTCGTCAGGTTGCACGCACACTTGCAGCCGAGCAGACCAACGAGTCACACAATACCGCAATGGCATCGCCACAGGAGTCAAGTGTCCCCACAGGCGCACATCTTGTTCTGACCATGCAAGATGCTGAACCGAGGACCGAAGGTAACATTGGTGGCTTCGAATCGGCCGATGATATTCAGCATCTTAACCTTCATACACTTGCTGACGTCGTGTCTGTTATGGTTCCCCTGTTGTGCACCCAAAATGAGGCTTTAACGCTCATGAGCATGGCTTCTGGATGCATAGCAAGGTTTTCCACGATTTCAAGCTCTATCGACATGAGTTGATTGCCAGTTGTCAAATTCTCGGCATTCGCACCCTTACGTACATTGGCATACGAGCAGGTCCAGACAAGTATTCAAGACGTCGATTTTCGACCAGTATCGCGCTGTCTGTTGGCGCAAAATCGTTTATACACGTGGAAACACCCTTACGGCAGTACGGAAAACCCTACGTCGACGAGAGCTTGGGCCGAGAACCTAATTGAGTCACGGCGTCAGCTACTGAAAGAAGCTGAAACGAAGACGCAAAATCTCGATCGCGCTGTATGCAGCTGGGTCATCGAAGAGAAGACGATTATTGTGATGCGTAGGGTTTTTGTTGTGAAAACTATGATGCTCTGTGGGGTCCTCGTTGTTGGTGGCATCTTGGCTGGCACCTTACTCGGAGAACGCTTGGAAGGCGTAGACCCTTTTAACATCACCATGTTTGCCTGGGTTCTGGCTGGTTTTATCATCTTGCTTGCGAAGAGTCTCTATGTTGGGGAATGGCCGTGGCGCGACTTCCTGCGAGGTCGCGTTCCCTGTCGTAGTGTATCCGAGTTGCAAATGGTCACAGGCGTAGATGCGCAGGATATCATGGAGTACCTCTTAGCGAAAGAGTCGTATACCATACTCGACACAAAAGGTCCGTTCAACCGTCTCTTCTCTCGCCGCTACGATGACGGCTTTTCTATAGATGTTAAGATGGAACTGCGCACACTTGTTGCTAGCGGCATAATCGTGATCAAGGTGGCTACGAACATGGGACCAGGTCTTGTGTGCCTTGACGTCCGCAGAGGTGCGTATGGCCGCAGTGTCATCCAACACTACGATAGTCCCGAGAAAGACGAGCATGTTTTAGGGTGCTTTGAATTCCCGGAAGCTTTTGAAGACAACGAGGAGATTCCCCTTCAGACATTATCAGAATCGATGACTTGGACATGGATATTAGGTGTTTATCACCGCCCTTATAAGAAGTTTAGATAGGTTTACTTATTATTACTTGTTAAACCCTAACTCTTTGTTACTAGAGAAATTATCTAATTCAGCTATGAAAGAATTCTTCAATAATTTGAGCATGTATATAAAGTCGGTTTAGACAGAGTCTAGTGTCTAACTTTAGTATAAACCAAGGTAATACTAAGCCTTATCCCGTTGAGTGCGACTCTACACATGTTCACTAAGAGCGCAGTAAAGCCACAGTAGGCTTTCTGCTTATTATTGTCATCACGCATAAAGATGTTTCTTCACATCGTTTTCTAGCTTAATTCTGTCTTCTTTCACCGGACAGCGTCAAACGGAAACCTCTTCGGGGGTATTTGTAGCTTCTTTGCCAACCCCAAAGTCTAGGTGGACTGCACTCATGTCCGGCGGATTACTATTGCTGCGTTAGACCTTTCAGAATTATCTTTCCATGCCCTGGATACCTCCTGGCGATGACAATGAAAAGTTTCATCCGCAAGTTCACGACGGGCATATCCATTGTCGAAGATTCTTTTGCCAACTATACTTCAGACAGCTGGTGATTAAGGTTGCTAACGGGACGCGGCTCGACTGCTACGAGTAAGACATCTGTCACGAACATTTCCATTCGGTTCGTCATAAGAGTTACTAATGTCTAATACAGCTACCTTTGAATATATCACATCACTGATAGTATTCTCAGCGACTACTGGGTAATGAATGAGTATGACTTACGGCCTGTGTCGGGAAGTGAGTACACTAGCCCAAACCTCCGCCCTCTGACGATCCGCTAAGAAACCACCTATAGGATATTGCTCTATGATATACGTCTTTTCGCGAGAACCTAAAGAAGTCTCTAAAACCGCATAGGTATCTATGTAATATTTCAGCAGGCAGGTCTTACTGCGTCGCACTGGCATCTCCTATACCAGACAGGTGAGTCTTGCCAATGATGACAATGAACATTATGTATGCAACATACTCTTATTCTTAACTCCTACAAATCTATCGATGACAAACCAGTGTGCTTACAAAAGTTCACCGTTACAGCTCCCATACTAATCACAGAACCATACAGTCCCCACGTAGCCAGCCAGAAAGTCGACTGCACAGTGAAGGTGCTGCAAAATCAGACATTTCGTGCCCCGCGACCTCGGCCCGAACGACCTCATCATCGTTCAATTCTTTCCTTTCAACCCCCCCGTCAAGAGCGTTGGCACAGACATGGTTATCATCGACGCCAACGGTGTCCTCGTCCTGGACTTTTGCTCCCAGAACCCCGCCGTCAATACGTATTGTACGGGTCTCCAGGCCGTCTTCCATGTCTTCATCGGTCTTAAGGCTGCTGACACGCCTTAGTCTGGTTCTAAAACGGCGGGGTTGCCGGTGCGGGCGCAGAACGCCGAGCTCCGTGCAAGAGGGAATGATTGGGAAGTGCGTTAGCTCTTCTCTCGTTCAGTCTGGCGACGGGTACTGGGGGATCTTTTAGGCCAGGTGCATTGCGTTGGATAACGATTATGTATGCAACCCTGCGGTTAACACAGGCTGTTCCAGGCACCTGGCGAATGTATGTTTTTCTTTGAATTGGCGTAAGTCTGGAGAATCATGGTATAAACGATTTGCTTCTATACTAACAAGTAAACTTGTATGAATGTCGGGTTATTCTTATAAAATCTGTCTATAGGTAGAGGAAGTCTAACGAGTCCGTCAGCATTGCTGCCAGTAAATTAAACTGTACATCTCAGAGAAGAATAGCATTTCGAACCCTGCAGGGCGCTTCGTTTATTGAAGAGTACGTACCGCAGTCTGCTTTTCCAATTCTCCTAGGAAACAAGTCCTAATACTCCACAAACCGATTCTCAAACAATGCCCAACTCGATATGCTGCCTTTTCGACACAAAGGGTCGTTCAAACCATGACTCGAGGTCGTCCTTCTATGTTCCTAAACCATATTTCACTATGGGCCTCGCCGGATCATCGCCCAGCAGGCCTCCCAATCTCACCGCTGACGATGGAATATAGGGGTTCACGCCATTGTTGTAAATAAATCCCCGCAACTCATCCTCTAGCCCGATGACGTGCTCTCCTAAATGAGGTTCACCGAGGACACAATCTCGAATAAGCAACCGAGATCTTGCGATACGATCCTTCCAGCCTAAATAGTCGCAGATTTAGAAGAGCAGCTCTCTATAGTTGCCATTGTTCTTCAAAGACATAAGAAACCTGAGTTATATAGAGCGTATGGTCTGCATCAGAACGATGAGAAAATCTAGCAAGTCCTGTTGCTTGACAACTTAGGGTTAACAAGGAAGCGCGACAGCCCAAAGTGCGCCAGGTTCATCGACGCCTCAACGGGAAGAAATTATTTGAAAGCGGTCTATCCATAAGGCTTGGGGGCTGCGGCTCCATTTCCAGGCTGGCATTTTCGTCAGTCTCTAAGCCGAAATGTTGCAAATCGACCTCCAACATCTGCTTCAGGCGTCCATTGCGGAAGGCTAGGTAGTTGTTGTCGTCTACCCCGCATACCATGAGGTTAAGCTTAAGTGTGGTAAAGCCTGGCTTCTTGATCACGGTGGCAAGGTGGTCGTACTCTACGCATTATTCTGGTGCATGGAAGATGCCGCATGTGAGCCCCGATTGAATCTGGTTGTCGTCGGAAATAAGCTCTGTGATTTTGGAGAGTGCGGCCCCCCGTTGAGCGAGGATGCGGACGACATGGTGGAACCCGCGCCATTTATCTTTATCTTCCTCGCTTTCCAACCTCTCGTACCCGGCGCCTTCCTGGTGATGTCAAGGGATCCTTTTCAGGTTGGGAATATACCCTTCTTTAAGGCAATTTATTAGTATACAAAGTCTTAGTCGAAATAGACATAAGCAACTTAATCCAATCTGAAGCATCTGTTATTGTGCGTTTCGTACCGACTTAACCACCAGCAAAGGTTTATCTTCCAAGTGTTCGTCCCCGTTAAGTCTAGTTTACAAGATATGCGTCTGTATATAATATATATACCGACAATCGCCTTTATATTAAATGATTTTGAAATCCTACTGCATTATCATAAATGTACACAAGGTGTTTGCTGAGAAATGTCAATCGGAGACAGGTTATTATTGTTCATTAGCCCCCTTGCCTTTCTAGGTAGACAATGCTGGAAAATGTTAAGTTATGCGACGCGAGACAAAGAGGCGTTTTGCACCTTCTGTCTAAAAAAACATATGTAGACAAAAACAGTGTTTCAGGCTTGTAGCCTTACATTAATTCTAACAAAACGTGGTGTAAGGTTTAAGTAATATATACTGCACTGTTAAAAATCTTAATGCGTAGAGCGTTATTAGGAGTACAATGCTACAACTCTTCTAAAAATGCTCTACCCTAAATTTTTTTTGCCTTAAGTAAAAGACACTCTTCCTGTCACAGACACGTGATATCTCACGTGCCTGCCGGACCCGTATAAGAGACACCCGTGATAGCCTCACAGTTAGGATCATTAATCAAGGAGAGACATATTTACCTGATACCTACGTTTACACACTTATCATTTTTATTGCCTTGTGACCGTTTGTTTGACTTCTGTACTATTCTGTTTATATCTTTGTTCTTATCACGGTTCCGACTTCTGCCTGTTGTGGCTTCGTGATAACAAGAACTGTAATACTTACTATAGTATTACTAATAAGTGTTACGGTCAGCTATCCGACAGTAGGGTCTGCTAACAGAAGCTGGGGATTGACACTAGTAAACAGTATTGTCGTATCGTAAATCTGGTTCGTAGGTTGTAGGCTGTATCGTAGATCGGTAGTCAGAGGCTAAGGTGATCAGTCTTAGACTCAACAAGTTATTCGCAGTGAAGGTAAGCTGAAAGTATCCTGAGGATGAATACAAAGTTGATTGCTGAAGAGCTATGGAAGTCTGACTATGAGTCGAGCTCAGGTCATACTATATACAAGTCCGAACAGTACCCTTTGTTTGTTTTACCGTTCCTGATCCTGACGGGGTCCGTTCCTCGTTCATACGGATCCCGTATATGCTAAGGACGGACTCCGTATTCTTGGCGTACGGATCTAATCTCTTATCTTATCGTCACGTGACTTGCACCATAGTTCTTCCGTTTCCGAGTGAATCCCTGTTGTTCCTGTGATTCTGCAGTACAAGAAAACATCAACAACAGCGAGAACGAAATTTTTGAAAACAGCATCAAATTGATCAAACCACGCCCGCTCGCGCTCTCAGAGGTCACTTTGGGCATAATGTCATCCTCGGCATTGATTCTGCTCCCAAAGAGCCTGCTCGTGGCCGCGGGCGGGCTCTGACCACGAAAAATTCGAGAGCAAGCCACAAAGTATGACACGTCAATAGACAACACCATCGACACCACCGCGGTTGAGTCACGGGCTATCACGTGAGCACAACGACCAAGCCCAAACAAACATCAACACCACAGCCACCGATAGGTTATGGGTCGCCTATCACCCCCGACAAAGTTTGCAACGTCCCGCGACAACAACGACGACAAGCCCGACAGAACGGTATCACCTCCTGCATAGAGAAAGCACCAGACACCAGGCATGCTACGATCGATGCCACAAAATACTACAGTTTGCAGACAGATTGGTCCCCTGTCGCCCCCTCCGCGAAGAAGGATTGTCGCCCCTTCAACGTATGACAATGTCTGCGGAATCTGTGTACGAGCTCTCATACTTAGTAATCGGACGAATCGAAGCGGTTGGAGCATTGTGTTTTGCGGATTGAGTCCGACTCCAGGCGGTGGATGGAGGTGGTGGTCGAAAGATGGAAACATAGAGCCACATAGGAACCCAGCATGAGGCAACAAAAAGATTTACAGATTCAACTAAGATATAGCATATGCAAGTCTGAGAGGATGCGGACAAGATAAAGAGACGAAGCTGAGGGCTGGGGGGAGACTATAGGTATACAGAACCAGACATGGTGCCTAGCACTAACAGAACCGAAGTAGGAGGACGCGAAAGAAGGATTCTAGAAGGCAACACCAAGCGAGAGAGCAGGCAGGAGGACAACAATCTTCAACAGAGGGCATAAACACACAAGAATAGATAGCATAGTGGGAGCTTGGGGACAGCTGGTCCTGATCCAACAACAGGGCGAAGTGGGGCGTCGCGGTTTATCGTCGATGCTTCGGCTGTCTGCCAAACCCCGCTTTCCGGGCATAGCTGCTAGCATAAGAGCGGCTTCATAACCGTGTAGGAATCAATCAATCAATCAATCAATCAATCTGCAGTACAAATGAAAAACATCAATAACAGCGAGAACGAAATTTTTGAAAATCGGAGCAAAAACGGCCCTAAATACGCGTGCTCGCGGCCACAGAGCCCCCTTCGATGCAATGCCATCCTCGGCCTTGATTCTACGTCCCAAAGGGGCCCAAGATGGCCGCAGAGCACGCCCCGACTACAATGAAAAACTTGAGAGCAAGCCGCAAAATACGACATATCAATAGACAACACTGTTACCACCACCACAGGCGAGCCACAAGCCGCTACACGAAGCACTAAGACTGCGCCCAAACAATCAACTTCAACACAACAGCCGCCGACAGGTTTTGGGTCACCTGTCACCCCCGACAAAGTTTGCAACGTCCCACAACGACGAAGATGAGTCCGACAGAACAGTATCACCTTCCGCACGGAGAAAGCACCAGGCATTAGGCATGCTACGATCGATGCCACACAATACTACAGACCACAGACAGACTGGTCCCCTGTCGCCCCTTTTGCGAAGAAGGATTGGTGTCCCTTCAACGCGCGACAATGTCTGCGGAATCTGTGCGGGAGCTCTCATACCCAGTAATCGAACATGTCGGAGTCAGTAGAGCATTGTGCTTCGTGGAAGACCCTTAGGCCAATGTAGTAGAGGGCAATAGTGGTCAACAGGCAAGAAACAAGAGGCCACATAGGAACCCGGCAGGAGGCAACAAAGAATTTACAGATGCAACTGAGAAAACGGCATATACAAGTCCGGGAGGATACGGACAAAACAAAGAGACAAAGCTGAGCGCTGGGGGGAGACTGTAGGTACAAAGAACCAGATACGGTGCTACCAGCACCAACTGAACCGAAGCAGGAGGACGCAAAACAAGCATTCTAGAGAGCAACACAAAAGCGAGAAAGCAGACAGGAGAGCAACACACTTCTTCAACAGAGGGCACAAACACACAGAATAGAGAACATAGTGGGGAGCTTGGGGATAGCTGGCCCTGATGCAACATCAGGGCGAAGTGGGGCGTCGCTGTTCATTGTCGACGCTTCGGCTACCTGCCAAACCCCGCTTTCCGGGCATAGCTGCTGGCATAAGAGCGGCTTCATAACCGAGTAGGAATAAATCAATCAATCAATCAATCTGCAGTACAAATGTCCTGTTACAGCCGCCCGACGTCCAAGTGGGTCGTTCAGCTGTTATCCTTGTTTACGGGTCGTAACCCTAAGTTTCAACCTAAATTATGAGGTAAGTAGTTATTTCAAATTTTTATACTAAATGTAGTGGATAAGAATACTAGAACATCGGACCCCTAACTTATTTCGTCTAACTAACCCACTAAATTAAAACTATAATAAAGTTTTTACTTCCCGACGGCTCCGTCGGAGTTTTGTCTAATCTAATTAGCTTTTGTTGTTATTAAAAGATTCGGGGACCATAGATTAACGGACCCCGAGAGTTAGCGAGGGTCGATACTTTTCTAAATAGTATATAATATACCATGTGTTCCTCCGCTCCTTTGGTTATGAAGAACTCCTCACATCAAGTCGAAACCCCCCCTGAACCATTCACAACATGTTTTTCAACTCAGTGTTATTGGCAGCTCTCTTGCCATACGTGTAACCACTATTAAGCCCTCATCCCTTAGTTGTCACTCAAAACTAATGATAGCTAGAGCTTTTGCGCGCCATCATGGGTCGTGCTACTGCAATGCTGACATCAATGCTCAATGCCAGAAGGACGCCTGCGCAGCTTTTGGAAATGGTTACAAAATTACGAATATACCTTCTGGTCTCAACAAGTACAACGTAGGAACGACATGGCAAGCTAGCGTATGGATCTTACTCATAGTTTTGTTCTCTCAGTATTTATTAACCTCAAATTCTAGAGATGCTATACGAAAACTGCGAACGGCAACTACTTTAATGGCATTGAGGGCGACGACTGGCTAGCTCAATGCCAGGCGTCTTGTAAAACTGGTTCCAAATGTACTTAACAACAGTAGTATTGTTAAAGCTACTTGCCTAAGATCCTAGATTTGTTCTACAAGAATTGAATTGGATTGGGTCTTAATCTAACTAGCTATATTATATATGTTATGACCGTAGGGGCGTCAAAGGTTTTGTGGCACAGAGTGAAGAGGTCAGAATGTAGGGTTCTCAATGGCGACTGCATTCATCCCTTGGCCTCTCAATCCCTTATGGGATCGAGAGCCCTCTTTATAGCTCTGGTTGGGCTACTAGTGGGCTAGTAGTTCCCTTCCCCTTTATCCCCTTAATCTCCACATCCCTCATAGCGCCATCCCTAATTCCGCACGTGACAAGGGGTTGGATTTACTCTTGATCTCGCTGAATCAAGAGTGGTTCTCTAGTTCCTGTTTGTAGAATAGAAGTATTCTAAGCTTCATAATTTAGAGTTCAAGTTGATTATGCTGGTTGTTGCCAGATGTTGCTTTATTATCTCCCTAAACTTTTTAGTTAGTAAAACTCAGATATTCTAGTATTTCTAATAGGAGGTAATTTCTAATCTATAAATCCTTGTATAACTGCCGTCAGTAGTCAGTAGTCTTTATCTTGTGTGTCGGCAGCTTAGGTAAGACACTTTGTAAAAAATCGTCAGAGAGTTAATAGACCTCCCGGAGGTATGTGGTCTCACTCGTCAGGTTGGTGAATCTACCCTTCCCTAGTGCTGACTCAAAAGCAGTCAGCTGATGCAAAAATAACTTGTTCCTGTTCCCTAAGAAGCTTTTGGTAGTGGAAGTAAGCGACCTCAAGAGAAAACTGCGCGTCAGCCTGCTAAAGAGTCTCGATATGATGCGGTAACGTCCCACACCCACTTCTGGGTGTTACGGCCAGCTAACTGACAGTGGGTTTGTGTTAACAGTAAGCCAGGGATTGAGAGTAGTAACAGTCGTTCCGTGGTCCTGGTCGAATAGATCGTAGATCTTCAAAGGTCTTGGTGATCAGTCAAGGCCTCAACAAGAGTCGTAGAGTAGTCGTCACTTAGGTATAGCTGAAAGTACCGGTTAGGGTAATCACAAAGTTGATTGCTGAAGAGCTATGGAAGTCTGTCCTCGAGCCCGGCTCGAGTCCATCCTATATACAAGTCCTGAACGGTCCTCCTTATCTTGGCTATGTTGGATATTTGACATATCCAACATATCCGGGGATCGGTTGGATATTTGACATATCCAACATATCCGGGGATCGGTTGGATATCTGACATATCCAACATATCCAGCCCGGGTTGTCCTTACCCCGCGTTATCCCCGAGGCCACGTGACTTGTCCATAGTTCTTCCGTTCCGAGGATCCCTGGTTACACCTGTCCGGCTGGGTTACATATGCCCTGCGTTAGCCGCCGGGATCCAGGCGGGGTCGTGTTGGCGACCATGTCCAACGGGTCGTAACATCAGGTCTCCTCTCCAAGGGTCTTGTCCTCAAGACCAGCTTAAGTAGGTCGTCTGCCCTCAGGTGGGAGGGCGCCCAACTTGCTTCCTTTAATGATGCTCACATCATGTCAGGTCGCGTCAAAAAACGAAAGGTCGTTCGATCGTTCGATTCTCGTGCGGAAAAGACAAAGCAGCGCGATTCCCTCTTGAGTCTTATCTTGGGCAATCGTACCGTCATGCCTGTTTGTTCCTCCTGTGAGGTAAAGGGTTTTTCGTCGTGCGAAGCTTCTCTTTCTGATTCCTCTCGATGCGCCGAATGCGTTCGTGGCGGCAAGTCTTACTGCGACCTTCAGGGTCTCAGTGCCCAGCAACTTCGTCGGATTGGTGATCAGCATCAGAAGCTTGAGGATGCTTTGGAGAAGGCAGAAGAGGAGCGTCGTGCTCTGGACGCCAAAGTAGAGCGTCTTCGAAAGCAGAAAAAGATGTGGTTTGAAAAGATGATGCGCGCGGTGCGCCGTGGTATCGACAGTGTGGAGGAGTTAGAGCGTGTTGAGAGAGAGGAGGCAGAGGCAGAGCAGCGTCGGGTAGAACCGGTTCGTCCTTCGGCTGATTCGCCTCGTCTGCCGGTGGAGTTCACAGCGGATTGGGATACCCTGTACCCGGATGTCGCTTTGTCGCCATCCTTGTTGGCTGAGTTTGGTTTGTTGGATTCAGGGTCGGTTGTTGAGAGGCGGAGTACTCCTGAAGCGTCTCCTGGGGGTGTTGGAGGCCCTTAGTGGGTTCCTTTAGGTGGCTCTGGGGTTCCTAAACGAATGAGAGGGTGTTTATCCCGTGGCTTGTTTGATCGTGGTGGACGGATGATGGGTTGTGGTTGTCGTAGTCGAAATTGATTTTTTGGCGTTTGTTTCTCGATTCGTACTAGTGCTTGTCTTTGTTGTTCTTGTTCTTGCTGTCTCCAGTAACGTCCGAGTTCTTCCTGTGCGTTTTCGAGGCTCTGAGGTGGTTCCCATGTGTTGTCTTCGTGTCCGTATCCTTTCCACTTGACAAGGTAGCGGATACTTTTTTGTTCTTCGATGTGATCGATTATCCGTTCGACTTCGTATTCTTGTTCGGGATCTACTTCGATATAGTCCGTAGTGTACGATCCCTTTGGTGCTGATTCGAGAAGTGAAATGTGAAAGACTGGATGACACTTCATGCTGTCGGGTAGTGCGAGTTTAAAGTTGACGTTGGATACCTTCTTCGTAATTTCAAAGGGTCCAAGTTTCTTGAAGTCTAACTTATCGCTTGGTCGTTTTGTTTTGATGTTGCGGCGGAGAAGGTATACACTATCCCCCTCCTTTAGAGTTGGTCCCTCAACTCTTGATTTGTTGGCGTATTTGCGTATGCGTTCGCGCACAAATTCGAGGTCTCTGGGGAGTTCCTGCTGGATCTCCTTAAGTCTGTTGATGTCTGCCACAGCTTTCAGAGCTGCTGGGCCTTGTCGAGGTTGTCCGTAGGCTGTTGGGTTGAATCCATAGTTCAGATAGAATGGTGATTCTTTTGTACTTTCTCCTACTGCGCTGTTGTAGGCGAACTGGGCCATAGGTAGCAGTTGAACCTAGTTGTCTTGCTGATAGTTGACGTAGCAGCGTAGGTAGGTTTCCATGATCTGATTGATTCGTTCTGTCTGGCCATCGGTTTGCGGATGGAAAGCGGTGGACATCTTGTGGTCGGATCCTAGCTGCGAGATCAGGGATCTCCAAAACTTGGAAGTGAACAGCTTGTCTCTGTCGGATACGATTTCCTTCGGCATTCCGTGTTGGCTTACGATCACCTGTAGAAACTTGTAGGCGAGGTCTTCTGCAGTGCTAGACTCCATGTACGGGATGAAGTACGAATACTTCGTGAGTCTGTCGACGATGACGAGGACACTGTCGTAGTAGACGTTGGTTATTGGTTCTCGGGACTTGGGTAGTTTGGTGACGAAGTCTAGCGAGATAGATTCCTATGCGGTTTGCGGTACTGGGAGTGGCTGTATCTTTCTATAAGGCTGATGTCGGCTGGGTTTGCTTTTCGCACAAACCTTACAGTCCTTAATCGCTAAAGATACTTCTTGTCGTGTAGCCGTTTTGTCGTAGTGTTGGCGGATGCGTTTCCATGTCTTAGTTACGCCTTGGTGACCGTGTGCGGGTGCGGAGTGTATCTCCCTAATGGCTTCAGGAGACATCCTTCCAGGCGTGCTGGTACTGTCTCTTCTGGCCATCATTAAGAGTCTGGCTGCTGGCATAAGGTCTCCGTTTTTGTCTGTTTTGAGGATAACTCGGGTTTCCTTAGGTACCTGGACCTCGTGGTCCGGTCGTCGGCTGAGGGCGTCGGCCCTGCCGTTCTCCTTGCCCTTCCGGTAGATGATTCTGAAATTGAATTCTGACAAGAATTCGGACCATCGAATTTGTCGTTTGTTAAGATCTTTCGATGTGGTGAAGTGTGCGAGGTTCTTGTGGTCGGTGTATACTTTGACCTCGTACTTGGTCCCTGAGAGTTGCGGTCTCCATTCTTTGAATGCCTCGATAATTGCTATAAGTTCCTTGTCGTGTATCTGGTAGTTGAGTTCTGGGCCGTGTAACTTGCGTGAGAAGAAGGCGCAAGGGTGTAGTCGTCCTTCGTCGTCTCGTTGGCCTAGTTGTCCTCCTATAGCGTAGTCTGAGGAGTCGGTCTCGACTTCGAATGGTTTCTCGGGGTTTGGTATAATAAGTATTGGTTCCGATGTGACTTGTCGTTTGATCTCGTTAAAAGCTTGGTCTTGTTCCTTTTCCTATTGCCATGGGATATCTTTCTTCGAAAGTCTCGTGAGGGGGTCGTTTTTGTCTAAGTATCCTTCTAGGAATCGTCGGTAATAGTTCACGTATCCGATGAAGGATTGCACATCCTTGACGTTTTGTGGTGTTGGCTAGTCTCGTACTGCTGCGACTTTGTCTTTAGACATCTTGAGGATTCCAGGGGCTATCGTAAAGCCTAGGAATTCGACTTCTTGGGTGTGGAATTTGCTTTTTTCTGGTTCTACTAGGAGTTTGGCGTCTTGTAGTTTCCGTAGCACTTGATGTACGTGCTTTTTGTGGTCTTCTAGAGTCTTGGAGAAGATTAGGATGTCGTCGAGATAAACTACGACGAACATATCGAGGTATTCTCGTAAGACGTGGTTGATCATCGTCTGGAATGTCGCGGGTGCGTTGGTAAGTCCGAAGGGCATCACAAGGTACTCGTAATGTCCTCGGCGTGTTCGAAACGCTGTCTTCCATTCTTCACCTGATTTCATCCGGATCAGGTTATAGGCTCCTTTTAGGTCGAGTGCTGTAAACCACTAGGCTCCGTGTAGTAGATCTCGTAATTCGGAGATGAGCGGTAGTGGGTAGCAGTTCTTGATCGTAATGTCGTTGAGTTTCCGGTAGTCGACGCAGAGTCGTAGTTTGCCGTTCTTTTTTAGTACGAACAGGATTGGGTATCCTGCTGGTGATGTGGAGGGTCTGATGTATCCCTTCTGTAGATTTTCTTCGAGGTAAGCGTCGAGTGCTTCCATTTCTTTCTGGTTGAGTCCGTAGATTGCTTCTAGCTTTGGCTCCTTCCCTTCCTTAAGGGGTATCTCGTGGTCGTAGTTGCTGTGTTCCGGGAGTCCGGTCTCGAGTTCTTCGGCGAATAGCTTCTGGTATTGCCGGTATTCTTCTGGGATAGACAGAAGTCGGTCTTCCTTGCCGATGTCTGTTGCTGATAACGTCCTGGCGTTTGCATCCTTGATCCGTAGGTATGCTAGAAATCTCTTCGCTTCAGGAGTCTTGAGAGGTTCGTTTGAGGCACCGTTCCGTGGTTGCTTCTTAGTGACTGAATCCTGGTCCTAATGGAGTTGGCCTGTTCTCTAATCTATCCGTGGGTTACTGTCGTATAACCATGGTCTTCCAAGGATGACATCGTACTTGTCTCCTATCTCCGTAATATCGAAGTTTAGTCGCTCATTCCGGCCATGGATCTGCAAAGGGAGTTGCGCTGTCTCTATAGCAATGCGTCCTCCGCCGTACTGGACTTGTTCTCCTTCAACGGTGCTGAGTTCGTAGCAGTCTTCGGCTGCTTTTCTTTTCTAGGTTATCTTTCTTTCATTTACCGTTCTTGGTGATATGAAGTTTCCTTGGGCTCCGCTGTCGATCATGGCGGTAGCTGTTCTTCCGTTGAGCTGTATTTGGACTTGTACATGCTCGTGTCGTTGTGTCGTGGGCGTCGTTGCGCTACATAGGGACCTTGTCTGGACTGCCTGTCGTTGTCCCTTGTCTTCGGTAGGCGAGTCTAGTTTTTTGACTGCTCGTCCGTTCCTTGTTCGTCGTTTTCTTGCTGTTTCTTCCATGCTTCGTCTTTCTTGATATAGTGGACTCGGCGCTGGTCTTAGTAGCAGTGATACCACTGTATTTCTTCGTCAGAGTCCTCTCCAGAGCTGGTGTCGTCGACTGAAGCGACTTTAAAGGCGACTTCTAGTTGGGCATGTTGGCGGGCAACATCGCGAGGTGTTTCCGAGTCGTTGGGGGTGTTCTTGGTCGTTTCTGATTCGACCTGTTCTTCTAGTTCTTGGTTGATCTGGCGGATCCGTGCGGGATCTCCTTGTGCATGTTGTCGTCGTTCGATGTGTGCGTCTAGCGTACCGAGTTGTCGTTGCTATATAGGGTTTTGTGAGTCCTGTTGAATCCGCTGCAGGTGGGCTTGTCGTCCTGCGTAGAGGAGGCTCAGCCTTCGCTGATTGTCTTGTTCTAATTCCTCGTTGTCGTTTATACTGTCGAGCCGTTCGATTGTCTTGCGCTCGATTTTGCTATTGCTTTTATATCCCGCAGCGAGGGTCCGTTTAGGTATGTTAGTAGTGTCGTAACTAGATCGTTCTTAAGGTTTCTAGGGGTACTATCCTGCGTGTTCCTTACTGCTAGAGTGGATATGGCAGTTGTTATCGAAGCAGGTGGTCTAATTAAGTTGTTTATGAGGGATCGTCTTCGTGGCGATACTTGCTTGTCGTTTCTCTGGTACCGGTTGGAAGCGTTCCTTCTTGGGTGACCTGTATTCGTATGCTAGGTGTCTAATCTTCTGGCAGTTATAGTACTGTCTGACTTTCTTCTAACTGTCGTTCTTTTTGTCGTTTCTCTGTGTAGCACTAAGGTCTATTGGTCTACTGTGGTGACTATAGGCAGTACTTTGTCGGGGGTTGTTCTAGTTGTTGCGGGGTCTATTGTCGTTTCGCTGGTTGTTGAACTGGTGCTGAGGCTGCTACTGGTACTTGCGTCCTGAGTTAGGGTTTTGTCGTTTTTCGCCTCTTTCCTTTCGTCGTTCGAAAAGCCGGTTGTCGATTTTGATAGCGAGTTCGGCGTACTAGAGAAAGTCGTCAGGTCGATCAATCTTGATGATCTCGTCCTTGACTTCGTCCTTTAGTCCTTGATAGAACATAAAGATCTTGGTTTCCTTGGTGAGGTCGAGTTGAACGCTGAGTTGTCGGAAATTGGCAGAGTAGTCTTTGGCGGACTTAGTCTGCTTAAGTTGTGCTAGATCTCGTTCGGCTTGTCGCTTTTCGTCGGGGTCTTGGAAGAGTGACCTGAGCGTATCCTCGAATCCTTTAAAATTGGCGTAGATGTCGCGGGTCTCGGTGGTGTACTCGTCGAGGGTCTTGCATTTGAGGTATTCTTCCTGGATTGGTTTAAACTACTTGAGGGCCTTTCCTCGGAGGTAGGTGGCTGCGTGTACTACTTTTTCGGTTTCGTTGGTGAAATCTCCATGGTGAAAGTTCTAGTAATTTTTGACCTGAATTAGGAATCCTTTGAGGGTCCCGGGGGTTCCGTCGTAGGTGACAGGCGCACTGAGCTTAAGCTTTTGTCGTCCTCCGTAGACGGGCGTGGTGACGATGTTGGCGGCGGCCCGGAGGGTGGTGATTTCCCCCTGGAGTTCCTGGATCTTCCGGAGGTTGGCGTCCCCCTTGATGTCTTCTTCCAGCTTCTTGTAGGCCTGTCCAGCGTGCTGGAGTTGCTCGTTGAGGTTTTCCATTGCTTGTCGGTTTTCGTTGACGATTTTCTGCATGTCTTTTGTCTCGGCTTCTTGTTTCTGGATTATGCGTCGGAGCTTATCGTAGCTTTCCTTGGTGAAAGAGCCATCTCCATCGGAGTCGTACTTGAGGTCCGGCATGTCGAAGTCCTCAGTGTTGGCGGGCTCCTGCGCGAGGCTCTGAGGCTGGTTGCGCGAAGAGGATGAGGATCCTGGAGTAGGTGATTTGGCAGAAGCGCGAGAAGACATCTTGTCTATACTGTTTAGTAGTTCTCAAAAGGTGACTTACTGAACAGGAGCAATCAAAGTGTTACGGCTAGCTAACTGACAGTGGGTTTGTGTTAACAGTAAGCCAGGGATTGAGAGTAGTAACAGTCGTTCCGTGGTCCTGGTCGAATAGATCGTAGATCTTCAAAGGTCTTGGTGATCAGTCAAGGCCTCAACAAGAGTCGTAGAGTAGTCGTCACTTAGGTATAGCTGAAAGTACCGGTTAGGGTAATCACAAAGTTGATTGCTGAAGAGCTATGGAAGTCTGTCCTCGAGCCCGGCTCGAGTCTATCCTATATACAAGTCCTGAACGGTCCTCCTTATCTTGGCTATGTTGGATATTTGACATATCCAACATATCCAGCCCGGGTTGTCCTTACCCCGCGTTATCCCCGAGGCTACGTGACTTGTCCATAGTTCTTCCGTTCCGAGGATCCCTGGTTACACCTGTCCGGCTGGGTTACATATGCCCTGCGTTAGCCGCCGGGATCCAGGCGGGGTCGTGTTAGCGACCATGTCCAACGGGTCGTAACAGTAAGTAAGTTTAAGTAAGTAAGTAAGGTAGGTTTTTTATTTTAGAGAGAGATTAGGCTAGGCTAGGCTAGGCTATGGCTATGGCTATGGCTATGGCTAAAGGTAAGGTAATGTAAGATAAGGAAATGTAAGATAAGGTAAGGTAGGTAGGTATAGGTATTATACAAGGTAAAGGTAGGGTTATGGGGCCTAGGTAGGTGGAAAAGCCCCCGGGGGCTTTTCCTATTCTCGTACTAGAGAGGTGAAGTAGAATAAGGGGAGCAAGGCAAAGTAAAAAAGCCCCCGGGGGCTTCCTCTGTTCTCGCCATGAAGGAGGGAAAGTAAAAAAGCCCCTGGGGGCTTCCTCCCTCTATTCTCACCATGGAGAAGGTAAAGTAGAAAAGCCCCCGGGGGCTTCCCCTATTCTTGCTATGAAGAAGGTAAAGTAGAAAAGCCCCTGGGGGCTTCCTCTCTTTTCACCATGGAGAACGTAAAGCAGAAAAGCCCCCGGGGGCTTTTCCCATTCTCGTAGTAGAGAGGCAAAGTAAAAAAGCCCCTGGGGGCTTCCTCTCTTTTCACCATGGAGAACGTAAAGCAGAAAAGCCCCCGGGGGCTTTTCCCATTCTCGTAGTAGAGAGGCAAAGTAAAAAAGCCCCTGGGGGCTTCCTCTCTTTTCACCATGGAGAACGTAAAGCAGAAAAGCCCCCGGGGGCTTTTCCCATTCTCGTAGTAGAGAGGCAAAGTAAAAAAGCCCCTGGGGGCTTCCTCTCTTTTCACCATGGAGAAGGTAAAGCAGAAAAGCCCCCGGGGGCTTTTCCCATTCTCGTAGTAGAGAGGCAAAGTAAAAAAGCCCCTGGGGGCTTCCTCTGTTCTCACCATGGAGAAGGTAAAGCAGAAAAGCCCCCGGGGGCTTTTCCCATTCTCGTAGTAGAGAGGCAAAGTAAAAAAGCCCCTGGGGGCTTCCTCTCTTTTCACCATGGAGAACGTAAAGCAGAAAAGCCCCCGGGGGCTTTTCCCATTCCCATAGTAGAGAGGCAAAGTAAAAAAGCCCCTGGGGGCTTCCTCTGTTCTCACTATGGAGAAGGCAAAGTAAAAAAGCCCCTGGGGGCTTCCTCTCTTTTCACCATGGAGAACGTAAAGTAGAAAAGCCCCCGGGGGCTTCTTCTGTTCTCGCCATGAAGGAGGGAAAGTAAAAAAGCCCCGGGGGCTTCCTCTCTTTTACCATGGAGAAGGTAAAGCAGAAAAGCCCCTGGGGGCTTTTCCCATTCTCATAGTAGAGAGGCAAAGCAGAAAGGCCCCTGGAGCGCTTTTCTTGCCCCTCTTATAGACAAGGTGTAGCAGAGGACGGAAAGCGAACTTATATTACCTTATTACTAATCTCTTTAGGTAGCACCTTATTTATAAGTGAGTAAGGATAAGTTATACCTAGATAGTAGTAATAACTCTTTTAATCATATAAACCGTAATCATCTAACAAAAGTATTATACATAGTAAGAGAGCATGTTAAGAGTAAAGAGTGAAGAGGTAAGCAATAGGACATAGGAGGAGGATAGGAATAAGAACGAGAAACTAAGGGATAATATTCAAGAATGAGAAATGACGTATAGCATTAACGGAGTATCTAATCCTCCGAGAGAGGGCGAGAGTAAACACAAGAAAGGGATAATAAGGGACCACTAGGCGCGGTTTATTCTTCGTACGGCGCTAGGGCAAGCTGCCAGGGTGGGGGAACAGAACGTAAGTAATACGCGTCTACGTAGAGCTATTGATTTCTCAATATATATCAGTCCGACGCTAGAAATTAGAACTAAGAAAATAACTTATCTTATATCGAGATATTATAAATATCATCCTGTTCTAGCTGCTTTACGTCGAATCAAGGCGAATGAACGAGCCCGAGAGCTGAGAGAAAGAGAGAGGGTTGGGGTAGGAAGGGAGAGATTGAGAGAGAGAGGACGCGAACGACGAGTAAAAATGGCAAGGATGGCTGCAAACATGTTGGGTGACGGCGGGAGGAAGGGAGCCACACATTCCGGCACTATATTACATAAGATGATCCATATTACATAACAACGACAAGCTTATGTAATGCCCAAGACTATCGCGACAACGGCCTCACAAGCGTCTATCACGAAGGAGTAATCTAGAGAAGTCAGCCGTATATAAAGCTAACATAAAACACCTAAACTAAGAAAAATCATGGTTGAATGAGTATTTACATATATACTATCAATTTGATATAAATAATAAACAGCTCCCTGCCACGTAGAACCGTGAATAAATTTTTTATCTTCCATTTTATTACTAATTAAATCCAGTAGATATATAAAAAGACTGTTGGCACTTTACTACCCTAACGATCTCATAGTACTAAGAGCTCATACTAGTAAGCCTAGGAGTAAGTATTTTCTACAGCTAGTAGGTCTAAAACTAAAAGACATATAGTTACTAGCCGGGGAGTACTTAAGGGAATCTAAACCATAAGAAAAGAGTCCGTAGGTAAATAAATGTATTTACTAATAATTATTCTTTATCTTTAATAGACAAACCTAAATATCTATGGACGCCTTCTACATAGGCTATTATATGCTAGCCTATCGTAAGGCTTTGGTATAAATATTCCTATGGTTTATAGAAGTTGATCCCTACCTGTAGTATTATGCGTATAGATAGACTAAGAGTAAACATCAGGATTAGAAGGCTATACGCAAAGTTTAATAATACTCCGATAGAAAAGCTATTATCTGATCTTAGGGCTCTCCCTTCGATAACAGTTCCAACAGAAGTACTAAAGGGAGTATTCGCGGAACCCATCACTGATTGAGGGATTGCCCAAGGCGTGGGCAGCCCGAGTGCCGGTGGTTCGACCTCCCGGCGATGGAGCCACTTTAACCCGGAGCTCAGGTTATGGCAAATTACAATGCGGCAGCCAAATAGTTAACATGCATGTATAGCATTAAAAGTCTTAGGAGGGGAAATTCAAGGACAGCAATTTTTACTATATATAAAGCTTGGTAATAAATAAGAAAGTACAGGAGTAGGAAGTACGAAGCCTACTATAGGAAGCACAGTGTGGGAGCCATGGGGAATGTACGCATGGTGGACGCATAGAATCGGTATCATACGCGTAATAGTAAGTCTATACGAATAAGCGTCTCAGGACGAACGAAACTACCTAAGGAGCCTTATAAAGGTGCAAGCCCCCAGGGGCTTTTTACCAACTCTTTCACGGGGGAGAATCAAGCTTCGGGAGACGCCAGAAGATCCATACCACATAGACAGGGATTACAAAACGCGAGTAGTAGGCTCTCCAGATCCTACCATTTAGAGACCCCAATATGTATAAAGCACCATATTACATCCCAAGATTTTGTATAAAACATAAAATCGATGCAATAACTAAGTAGTTAGGATCTAGGAGAAGATAAATTACCTAGTAGGAAGGGTATAGCATCAACTAAGTCAGGAACGATCACTATCCTAAAAGAGAAGTAAGATATCATAATAATAAAGGCTCGGATATGCTTTAATACTAGGGGGCTTGAAATTAAGACAGGGTTTGGTATGTACGTAAGAAACCTCTTGATGCCCAGAATGCATAAAAACCAAAACAAAAACATCACACAGGAATGCCTGCACACCTTAACGTGCTAGTTGTTTTATATAAGCTATGTAAGGGAGGGTTGTGATTGCGCTTGGCGATAGCGACCACGTAGCTGAGATACTAGCATAGATAAAGCCTGGGACGAAGCAAATAACAAAACCCCTACTGGGAATGTAAGTCTGGTGTAGTTATGCCCGCATTCATTCTTTCTGTTCCTCTCGTATGCATACTTTCCCTCCAGGAGTGCCCACCATCCAGACAGACATAAGAGTATCTAGTCACACATAACTAATTCTGTCTTACTCTACAGAGCGGCCGAGAGATGAAACGGAAGCAGAACGGGGAAGACGGCGTGGCAACGCGCCCAAGCCCTAAGCGCCGGACAAGGGATAAACCCTTCCGAGAAAGCGAGTCGGTTCGAGAACAGGCGAGGCCCTACCTGCTGGCAGTCGGCAGGCTGCATATAGATGTTCTGGAGACGACGTGGAGTATAGGTAGAAACCGCCGTCTCGAACCTGGTCACGTCCGGGAACTGAAAGAGGCGTTCATGAAAGGTGGCCTTGAGCGCGGCGCACCCGAGAACCGTATTTTCGTCCTTTGTACTGCCGAAGAGGTCTACCGCATCCGCCGGAGCAGAGATAACGAAGACGATAACGACGACAACGACGATAATAACAATAACGGTAACGATAGTAATAAGGAAAGTAATAACGATAACCACCATAACAATGCTAACAGGAGCAGAGAGCATGGTGGCGACGAAGATCCGTTTCTCCGTTGGGCTGCCGTTAATAAGACCAAGGTGGAGGTTATGGCCGGACAGCACCGACTTCGCGCCCTCCAAGAGTATATCAAGGCAACAGGCGCTCCGGAGTCGGATAACTGGTGGACGTGTGAACTATATGATAAAGGTATGCTAAAGCGTCACCATTAGGGATACTTAGCAGCCTATAGTTTTATATATATATAACCATAGGAGGGCTAACTATAACTCTTGAGTAGACCGACTCCCGGTAGACCTCGACATAAAGCTACGTATCAACCGTAGAGACCCGAGCCTACCCGATAACCACGGTCAGATCTGGACGCAGCTTGTATCAATCGCGTCAGATACATCAGGAGGATCCACCAAAGGCGGAGCCGCCCAAGTGATTGTCGACTATAAACTCGTGGAGGCTTTACGGCTTGGTGGCGAGAAGAGCTTCCCCACGCGTAGGCTCGTCACGTTATGGAACCACGAGCGGTGGAGAAAGATAACGACGCGATGGTGCCAGACTCGCCTAGGCCTAGAGACCTTCAACATCTCTACCTTTGAGTGGATGGCCAGCCTCCGTATTGACGACTACTGGCTTACGACACTCAAGGCGGCGCTGGGCACACTTAAAGCCCTACCCCTCGACGAGACGCAGGACCTCGGCCAAGACGACTGGAATCGGCTATCAACAGCGATACAATCGGCGACACGTACGCGCGATGCAGTCGAGGCTATATTCTTTACCAGCGACGGCAGCAAGGGCAGCAGCGCGCCCCACCACCGCAAGGTTGGTCTCCTCGAGACCCTGGACGACTCGAATTATAGGGAGGTGTGCCGTGCAGTATGGGCAGTCCCAAGCCTCGAGTTCGTCGACTTGAGGCGCTTCCTCCGAAGCAAGAAGCCCGAGACGGAGGCTGCAGTCCGGATACTACAGCACGTCATCAGCTGGATCCACCACGCTAGCGCAGTCGACCTCGCAATGGTCAATCCCAAGTCGAAAAACAAGCCCCAGCTGCTCAAGTACCTACAGGCTGCTCTCGATAGTTTAGGCATGTCGAGGGGTATGACCAGTAGGTATCCGGCGGACGCAGCACTACAGCTACAGAAACGCGTCCTCGACTTTGCCCAGCGAAACGCGTCTGCCTTTCAGGCGCCGGAGGTGCAGGCATATATTACCGACAAAATCACACTCGTAAACACACCCGACTATAGCAAACGGTTTAACTACGTCGTATGGGCACGCCTACTACGGATTGTCCGGCAGGTCGTCGACGCGGAGGATAACAGCCACGTCCTTAGACCCGAGTGGGAAACATCGAATACAAACGAGGGAGGTGTCCCCCGGGCGGAGGTTTCAACACTCATAAATACATTCTGCGCTAGTCTCTTCAAACTCGGAGATCGGCCGGTTAAGAAGAACGACTCTGCACTTATCGCTCTCCAGCGTAGGGTTGAGAAGCTCCTGACATCGTCTACTACCGAATTACAAGGTATACTATCGACTAGTCCAGTTTCGTCGGCTAGTAAAACTATACCTTACGCCACAGAGGGTGATGACAGCCTCCTACAGAAGCAGAAACAGCAGCAGCAGCAACGAAAGGCGGGGGCTCTAAGAGATCTGAGCCCCCCGCCACCAGCGCAGAAGCCTAGAAACTCTCGGGAGAACAGCAGTAAAAGAGCACCTCCAACCCGCGGCGCAAGAGTAGATCTCCTGTCGGACGAAGAGGAGTCTCTACCCTCCTCAACCCCTCCTAGGCGACTACCGAGTGACCGGCAAAATAGAGTAGAGGTTACGTCGCCAATTCTAGGGGTCTCAACAGCTCTGAATACTCCTACTCCCAAACCAATACCACACTGGAAGGTAGGCCCGAGAGCAGGAAGGAGACAGTAGTGTAGGCCTAACCTAAAGTCGTAGCCAAGCATAAACACGTCTATAGGATAAGGCTAGGTCTGAATCTAAATAAAAGACAATGGAGAATGAGAGTGATTTTGTCGTAATGAGCAACGCTTACCTATACAAAAAAATAATGCCATAATCCCAGTTATGTCTCGTCATCTTATCTTACAACATTTTCATTTACCTTATTGCCTATGGCTACAGTATTATTATATTGCTTTTTTTTTTCGACACAGAGCCTAGAAACATGAGCTAGTTACCTAATTTTGTTTTTTCTTTCTTTCTTAGAGAAGCAACAGGGGGATAAGAAGGAGAGGCTAAGAGAGATATAGGTATAGATCGGAGGGGGAAAAGCCCCTGGGGGCTTTTTCATTATTTCAAAATACCGCTTATGAGTTTACATGTGATTTTCTAAGTGTATTCTAAGCATCATTATCATTCCATATTTCTTGTTTGTTGATTAATTTATTAGAAAAACTTAAGAAATAATCTACTAACAAAACAAAGAGTTGTCTTATCAGAATATTTTAGTACTTATAAGAAGGCTAGTAATAAGTAGTAGCCTTCTTTCAGTAATACTAGAAATTACAGCACCTACCATATAGAAACAGACGGAACACCCTAGGCTACTTAAAAGTATATAGACGCTATCGGTTTTCCTTTTAGACTTAACTTACAAGTAAAGCTAAACAGCCTAGTATAATGTCTATCCATGCCACCCTCTACAACAGGCCCTCTGCTATCGATGAGGCAATCTTATTCGCCGACGCGTCATGGAGGAATGAGGAAGAGGACGACGAAGAAGAAAATAGCGACCAGCGAGGCCATGGCGGAGAAACACAGAGGTGGGCGGTTGATCACTCTACAGGCCATCATCGCCTCCGAGGTAAGGAAGCATCTCAGGGCAGGGGGCGCCTAGTAGAAAATCACCTTGGTTAGTAAGCTATCTACTATTGCTAATACTAAAGAACAGTAGATCGCTTTATCCAAAGGGTTTTAGCAAAGGACTTTGAGCCCGATAACGCACTGAAGATGATCCAAGAGAAGCACACCATCGACTTCGGGTCTATCCGGACCGGGTGCACCCAGGCGCAGCCGTCAGATGGATACTACCCGCAATTCTTCCTCGACTTCTTTAGCGTTATAGGCAAGCCTGGTCAGGCTATATCGAAGCGCGACGGCCCGATCTTCGACAACATTATCGTATCGTTCCAGCGATGGTCAGCTCCTTACGGCGCCAAGCACATCAGCGGGATCCCTTTCGACATGACCGGGCGAACCTTTCGGATTGCGCAGGCGGCCACGCGCGAGACCTGGTTCATCGTCATGCACCCAGTGACGGGCGAGATGTCGGAGTTGCCCTCCTCGTCCGCCGACGCCCGCCGGAGGCGGGAGCAGGCCGGCGAGCGAAGCGGCATGCCCACGCAGTTGGCAAGCGAGTTAGCCTCCTACATCACCAGCGTATTTCAAGTTCCCGAGCTCCTGGGGGAGGGCGTCGAGCCCTCGTGGCGCCTCGGCGGGCAGGAAAGCTAGAGGATCAGCTCCAACCGGTGGATGACGTTCCAAGAGAGGTTTATGGAGGGCTGGGCGGCCTGGTCGCACCAGCGCGGGCCTGGGTCGTTCTGGGCGAAGCACGAGCCGGCCTTCCATGCTTACGACTACGGAGCAAATATCGAAATCGAGGTAAACGATGAGCTCTGTAATCTGCCGCGAGAGAGACACTACTCGATAGACGAGGATAGCGAGGATGAAATTGACGGATACGAGTGCTTAGAGGAGAGCAGTGACGAAACACACCAGCTAGAGGAGCTCTCTATAACGGACGATAGGGTTCCTTCTATAATAGCAGACACGAGGGGTAATAGGCGTATAGGAAGCAGCGGTAACAGCATCGACAACACGCGTTACGAGCGTATATTATCGGAATGTAACGGCCTCTAGAAACTGGTGTCTGAGTTGGAGGCGCGCTTCCACCTAGAGAGCATAACCGCCGTGTCATACGCGCTCGCCGTCTGTATCAATAGCGACTGGGTAGTAGCCGACAACAATAGCGAAGCCAGTCAGGCAGAGACGAGGAGCCTGCTTATCGACAGGAACATGATCACGAGGGAATTCGCAAGCGCTCGGGACTACACGTTCTATCCGCAGGCATTCCATCCAGTATATGGAAACATATCGTCTAGCCGCCCGCCCATGTTTCTAGACTTACTCTTCGCAGCTATGAAGGGTAATATGAGCGACCGGAACGAGGGTGCTGATGTGTTATCCTTTGGGTACTTCTAGGGCTACTCGAACATCAAGCGTAGCGTCCGTCACAGCCCCCACGACCTGTTGGCAACGAAGGGCTATGCGACAGCGGCGCTAACCGTACCAACGTCAGACGCCGGGGCCACATGGGCTACAAGCCAAAAGCGCGAACGACTATTACGCATTGTCCGCGGACCGGACGAGTCTAAACCCTTCGCAAGAGAACGACAGCAGATCAACGTTGCGATCGGGGCCGAGGAGGTTGCCTTCCGGCTCGAGCAGGTAGTCTCCCTGGACATGCGGCGTATGGTCGGCGGACAGCGGACGTTCGAAACCGTCATCAGACCCATCTTCCAGATGATGCGGTTCTTCCTCGTCGAGCACGAGTCGTACGTACACATCTTCCGGTCTATGCCGCTCGAGATATTCCCCCGGATCATGTGTGCCTACTCCAGGCTTTTCGAGGTCGTCATCGGCGAGATGGAGCGCCAGTTCGTCATCGGAGGGGAACAGGGGCTTGATCTCGCGCGCTCCGAGGCGGTCGCCGTTATCGATCGCCTAGGCGGTTATATGTTCTCGGGCCACCCGCGGCACCTTCCCAAGACTATACTGCGGCCGCTCGGCACGCTCGGAAGCCTCTGTGCCGGGGGCTGGCCCTTCATCGACCCGGCCGTCTTAAACCTCGGAGCTTCGGGGTCGTCAGGAGGGGCAGTCATCAACATGTCTTAGGGTTAGGGTTAGGGTTAGGGTTAGGGTTAGGGTTAGGGTTAGGGTTAGGGTTAGGGTTAGGGTTAGGGTTAGGGTTAGGGTTAGGGTTAGG